CGAAAACACCATTTTTGGAAATCGGTGAAGTTGCTGTTAGGTCTTTCATTGATCCATTGAGGTGACCGTTGGAACTGGTACACCTGCGCCGCTTCTTTGACCACATACGGGACAAGTTGAGCGGCCGAGCAGCCATTGCCGACCACAGCGACCCGCTTGCCCTTCAGGGAGACGCTATGATTCCAGCGCGCGGAATGCCACATGTCGCCTTTGAACTTCTCGTGGCCGGGGATGTTACAGTCTTTGGGTATGGATATTGTGCCCACACAGGAGACCAGCATTTCCGCTTCCTTATGGAAGACATGGTTGTCGTCGAGGTTGCGAAGAGTCACCCGCCAGACTGACTTCTCTTCTATCCAAGCGGCTTCAACCACCTCCACTCCGAGCTGCACATGGGGTCTGATCCCGAACTTGTCGACCGTGTTTTGCAGATATTGGAGAATCTCAGATTGCTCGGCGAACCGCTTCGACCAGTCGGGGTTCAGGTTGAAGGAGAAGGAGTAGAGGTGAGAGTCGACATCGCAGCCCACGCCAGGGTACGTGTTGAGGTACCAGGTACCACCGACAGATCTCTCCCTTTCATAAACAACAAAATTATCGTATCCCAGCTGTGATCTAAGCCGCGCAGAGAGTGCAATGCCAGCAACCCCGCACCCGATGACGATAAGGCGTGGTTCTGCTGTCCGGCGTGTAGGCATTGCGCGCGTGTATAGAGCCAGGACTTTCCGTTCGACTCGAATTGTCTCTGCAAGTTCGGCGTGTCAAGAAGACCTTCTCAGACTTCGAGCTCGCTCAATATATCACAAGCAGCTTGTGGCGAACCATCCGCTTGTCCATGTAGGCTGGAGAGACAGCTCCCAGCCGATATGATAGTACGGGGATTGGTCCCGGTTATATGAAGGTGGTCTGAGATTCCCGGGCGAGAACCGCGTTATGTTTCCCGGTGGTACGCTGTGGATCTTCGCGAAGAATAGGCGGCCATGGCGATCTCGGGGGGATTTGCATAGGCAGTAGATTCCGACGGAGCTGGGACTGCTGGCTCTATTGCTCGCTGGAAGAATTGGTCGAATCTTGCAGATATAATGGGTTGCAAAGTCCGGGCGGGCAATGGAGGATCGGTAGTTGTGAGCGGATGCATTGATGCCAAACATGCCAAGTATCACGAACGGACATTCTGCCACAGTCAACGGCGCCTCTGCTCCATCCGTCTTGACCGACGATGAGCAAGCAGTTCGAGACCTGAGGAAGTTCATCATCGATATCTGTCGACAGAACGGCGGTGGCCATGGAGGGTCGGCGATTGGCATGGCACCTCTGGGCGTCGCTCTGTGGCGTCATACAATGAGATACAATCCAAAGAATGCAGACTGGTTCGATCGAGATCGATTCGTGCTCTCGAATGGCCACGCTGCTATGTTCATCTACACCATGTTACATGCGACCGGATATCCGAACATGACGTTGGACGAGGTGAAGCTGTACGGCTCGGCCAAGGCAGTCGATCCGGAGACTGGCAAGTGGACGGCCACGCTGTGCCATGGCCACCCTGAACTCGACGTTCCAGGTATCGAAGTCACTACTGGGCCACTTGGTCAAGGGGTAGCGAATGCTGTAGGCCTCGCTATCGCCTCGAAGCACTTGGCAGCAACCTTTAACAAGCCAGGCTACGACATCGTTCGTTCTCGGATCTACTGCACCACGGGCGATGGATGCCTTCAGGAAGGAGTCGCCCAAGAGACCATGGCTCTTGCAGGTCATCTACAGCTTGATAACCTTGTTCTCTGCTACGACAACAATCAGGTCACCTGTGATGGCCCCCTGGAGTGGATTGTGTCTGAAGATACCAATGCCAAAATGCGCGCAATAGGATGGAATGTTATCGATGTTTTCACGGGTGATAGCTCAGTCGATGATATTGTCTCAGCGCTGAAGCTTGCCCGGTCTACCAAGGGAAAGCCTACCTTCATCAACATCCGCACCACAATCGGGTACGGGACCTCCACCGCGGGCACCTTCAAGTCGCATCACGGCACCTATACTGATGCGGATGCTGCCCTCTACGCGTCTGCCGACGTACCCAGCACACATACTCTATCAGAACAGACAAAAGCGTACCTCGCTGGATGTGTGGCAAAAGGCCAAACTTTCGAAAAGGACTGGAATGACCTCCTCGTGGCCTACAACAAAGCTTATCCTACCGAAGCCCAGCTACTGTCTGACCGGATGAATGGCAAGGTCGACTATGAGACTGCCCTTTCTTCCATCCAAGTTCCCAAGATCACCCAAGCTACCCGAGAATTCAATGGCACCGTCTTTAATACCCTCATGTCACATGTTCCACACCTCATTGCTGGCGGCGCCGACCTTTGGAACAGCAATCAGATGGGTGATCAGACGTCTCGAATCTATTCCGGGGGCCACCCAGAGGGCCGCGTCATTCGGTATGGCATTCGCGAACATGCAATGGCGTCCATCTCGAACGGACTAGCAGCCTACAGTCCTGGAGCCATTATCCCTATCACGGCGACCTTCTTTATGTTCTACTTGTACGCAGCGCCAGGCGTGCGTATGGGCGCATTAAGCCACCTCAAAGTTGTCCATGTGGCCACCCACGACTCGATCGGCGAAGGCCAGAATGGTCCAACTCATCAGCCTGTCGAACTCGACTCTTTGTATCGAGCAATGCCACATCTAGCATATATCAGACCTTCGGATGCCGAAGAAGTAATAGGTGCTTGGTCAGCCGCTTTAGGTCCTGCCACCAAGGACATGTCGGTTATCATCTCACTGGCTAGGGACCCAGCACTCACCGCGATACCAAACACAGATCGAGCCAATGTCGCTCGAGGTGGATACGTGATTGTTGAGCGGAGCGATGCCGTCGTCACTCTCGTTTCTTGCGGCTCGGAACTGCAATTTGCCGTAGCCGCGGCGAAACAGCTGACAGAGCAGCACAACATTGTGACACGGGTAGTAAGCATGCCGTGCATCAGCCTGTTCGAAGCCCAGACCGAGACATACCAGAATGAAGTGCTTGGGGTAACGAAACATGTGGTCAGCATCGAAGCCTACGTCAGTAGCATGTGGGCAAGGTTTTGTACTGCAAGCGTGGCGATGGATGACTTTGGGTATTCCGGACTGGGCATTGAAAACTTCAGGAGGTTTGGCATTGACGATGTCGGGATTGTCAAGAAGGTGAAGAATCTTCTCCAAATCAGCACATCAGGGAAGGGCAGAACAAGGTGGAGGTTGCTGAAGTAGTCGGTGGGCGGCGAGAGGTAGATTTGATCCAGGTAAATCATGCCAGTGGCTATGTTAGTGTTAGGAATACATGACCTGTTTTGGTAGGGCTCGAGCTTCATCCAGCGAAGAATAATAACAACCTCCTCCCATGGCCCTGTCAGGTTAGTCTCGACAGGAACCTAGCAAAGCAAACAACCGAATAGGGGTACCGTTGAAGCTTTCTTCATACCTTCTCATGGTTTTGGACCAACCGAGGTCGAAAGTCGGCATTGCACTGAACAGGGTGAGAGCTGACATTTTGCTAACAGGGATACCGATTGAGACCCGGCTGGCGAGTACAGTCGAGGGGGCGATGGACTAGCCCTTAACCGAAAGACCCTCGCCTTTATACTTTCTGGCCGCGAGCATGGCCCGCAATTCGGGTGGAGCAAACGGCTCCTTTTAGATTCAATCCAGGGAGACTGGGCTTTACTGCTCGTTCATAACACGGGCTGCCATTATTAAGTATGGTGCATATTGACTGCTTCTATTCAAGCCATTCAAGAACCTGGGGATTGCAAACTCTACCAGAACTGACCCTTCCCGGGCACAGTCTCTTTACCTCGAACTGAAAGCATCCAACTCATTCTTCACGTCTCATGATGGCCGGAATACTTCGCAACAAAGTGATTGCTATCACAGGTGCGTCGCAAGGAATCGGGCGTGCCACGGCACTGGCATGTGCTCGACAAGGCGCTGGTCTCGTCCTGCACCACTTGGGGACCGAACAGACGACCTCCGACATCGAGGCGCTGCAGTCTGAACTCCGAGCCATCGACCCATCGCTTCGGCACACCTCTTTCAGCGGCGACGTTGTCCTGCCAGAGACACCGGCCAATTTGGTGGCCACGGCTGTGGGCAGTTTTGGGCGACTTGACGCCCTGATCAACAATGCAGGTATCTGCACATTCTCCGCCTTCCATGATGTCACGCAGGCTCTTCTGGAACGGCACATGTCGGTCAACTTCACGGCGGCTTACATGCTCACGCAGGCGGCCACGAAGCAGATGGTGGCTCAAGGGACGGGGGGCAGTGTCGTGTCTATCGCCTCCATCACAGCCGTCCAAGGCTCGTCGGCCTTGACGCACTACGCGCCCACCAAGGCGGCCATCCTGGGCATGACCGTGTCCTGTGCGAGCGCCCTGGGCAGACATGGCATCCGGTTCAACAGCATCTGTCCCGGCACCATCGAGACCACCATGAACAAAGCTCACTTGGACCACAATGGCCAGCGCGAAGTCATGGCGGCCAAGGCAGCGCTGGGCCGCCTGGGCAGTCCCGAAGATATCGCCGGAGCAGCCGTCTTCTTCGCCAGTGATCTCAGTTCATATGTCACGGGACAGTACCTGCTGGTGGACGGCGGTGCATCAACCCATTACGAGTGATTGACGATGCATTTTCTTTTCTGTTGCTGCTGCTCTCTATCGCAAAGGAATCACCTTCGAGCGGAAGCATCATTTCCTTTCTCCTTCCTCGTCTGGCTGCGAACACGTCCAGGACCATGTGCTTAGAGTTCTATGAAGCTCCAGAGAGCTCTCCTTGTTCTTGAGTCTCGAGGAATCCTTTGCGTGTCATAATACTCCCGCACAGGTCCCGAGCAAGGCCGAAAAGCGACGAATGGAAAGGACATGTTCAGGATGAACCCTTTGCGAACGACGAAAGTATTGAATCAAGGGACCTCTCAAATAAACATTCTGTCTCCGTCATTTCTTTTCTTCTCAAGTTGACAGCGTCTTGCCCTGCAATCTTGATCTCTCTGCCTCAAGTATACCAGGAGCCTCCTCCTCAATGCTCTTCTCCTTGGGCGTCCAGGCCAGAAATTTTCTCAATCGCTCGGCCTTTCCCCGTGAATTCAAGCCCCAGCTGACGGCTTCGAAGCCGGCTACCCCCAGAGCCTCGTCTTTATCAAGCTGCTTCTCCACGGGATTGGCCGGAATGTAGCCTTTGTCCGCCGCGATTGCCGAGATCTTCCTGGCCAGGTCAGCCCAGACATGCTCGCCGCTCTCGCAGAGATGGTAGCCCTTGGCGCCCCAGATTTCGTCAGACAGGTTCTTGGCCACTGCCGCTTCAGCCAGGAGGACAAAAGCAGCAGAGAGGTCATAGACATGGACGTGGTTCCACCGTGCCTTTCCTGCACCCACGATGGGAGTGTAACCCTTTTGGAGTATGAGCTTGCTCAGTTCATAGACCTGGCGAGACCGTCCGGAGGTGGGACCTCGACCGTCACCTAAACGGAAAGTTAGCCAGGGGAGAGTACGTTTATAAAACACATAACAGTTAGAAGTCGGCTTAGAACGACGAATTCAAGGACGATCGCGTGCTGCCTGGGGTTGTAAGACTTGCCGTAGATGGTGGGTGGGCAAACCAATGCCGTCTTCACCCCGTCCGCATACTTGGTTCCAGCTTCGAGAACGATCTTGTCGACATTACGATGAAAAGCCTCGTCAGGAAGGTGTGTCAGCTCGTCCACTCCACTAAGATCGTTGTACTCTTTAGTCGACCACTCTCCCAAGCGATTGTTCTTGGAGTCGTCGTAAGTCAAGATCCCAGTGCCGCCTGTGTGCAGCCAGAATCCAGGCCTAGATGGTGCATGGCCCTCGGCGAGGCCGGCAGCGATGGCCCTTGCCGCACCTTCGTGATCCGATGCGTCTGCAGTATCTGTTGAACAGGAATATTAGGGTCAGAACACTCTCCGACAAGGTGGGCATCGTCGGCAACCTACGCAGGACGATATCTGCCTTTGCACTCTCTTCACGCAGCACGGCCGAATCATCCAGATCACCCAGGACGATGCGAAGCTTGGGGTACTGCTGTTGAACTTGGCTCGCTTTCTGCTGCGTCCTGATCATGGCAGCTATCAGATCATGTCAGCAACTTTGGTTTCCCTGTTGTCACCAACGCGAAAGCAAACGGGCATCCAACCGGTGCCGAGTATGGAAAGAAGCAAATGAGGCGATAAAACCCCCTGTGAAATTTGCAAACTTACAGTATTCCCATTCAGGATGTTTCTTGTTCAGGGCATAGAGGGCGTCGCCACCGATGTACCCTGTAACTCCTGTGCTGGATTGTAGTTAGCAGGTGTGGTTTCTCAAATTCATCGCGTCGGCCTCGTACATAAACACTTTGACTGCCATAATGGGTGTGACAGGTCCAACTATGCTGCAGTGAGACTCTATGCTTCTCGTAGAAGTTATCAAGATAGTGTGGCCTTTTGTTGGAATCAAATTTGTTTTTGCAGCAATTGTATCATAAAACCCCTCCAAGCCTGAATATTGGAGATCGAGCCGAGACGATCGAGACCCGCTACTGCAATCATCGACACACGAAATAAACCCCCCCCCCCCGGGTTCAAGTGCTGCGATCCACCTGAATCGATATCAGACCATGTGGTCAATCAATCAGTGGACAGTCGAGTGCTTCACTCTCTTGGTTTGCGCTTGACTAGGCTACTACTGTATCATTACTACCTCACTGGCTTCAAGTGCTCTGCGCGAATTTTCTTTTCACGTGCAGTAAAGACATTATTGAGCCAGGCTCACAGGTCGCACAGCGGGTGCAAAGGTTGGAGCCCTAAGGTCTTTCATTTGTGCTCAATGCTTCGTGTTTGGCGCCTCCGCTGCTGGATCTTGGCTCGATCAATGCGAGCAGGAAGCCTCGCCTGGAATCCTTGCGCCGAGAGCCAGGCCAGTTTACGACACTCACTAGAATGAATGCTGACGTTACCCGCGATGGGCGTCGTGCAACGCAGACCCGAAGGCCTCGACAAGGAACCAACTCTTACGTGCGCCGCTCTGAATATTACCAACAACGGCCTGGCAAGCGTGTCAGAAGAGTTCTTTCCCAGTGTCACGGACGGGGGGTGGATCCCACGAATCTGGCAAGGAGCGACACCTGCGGAGCTTCACCGGGAATCAAATTCCATTACCGAGCACCGTTTTTTGGAGGTCCCGGGAGTCGATTCCCTCGGTCTCTACGTCTTCGGCTGGCGTCGCACGGCTTTATCCCTTTAGTTGCCGGCCTCACCTCCGGCTATGAGGGTTGTTCGATTTGCTGTTGCTTTTTCCCGCACCATACCCCGTATCCACATTCACTGTGCGGAAAGTCGCCGTTGCCTCCATCGACTACGGTGAATGGCCTTTCAAGTGAACTGTGCCCTCCCGCCAACCATCTAGCTTGGCTTACAGACGGGGAAGCATGGAGACCCCTGGGGTGGAATTGCCCACGTTCCATCAAACGTGGCTTCGCTGCCGATCGCGGGAAGTGGAAGTGTACAACCGGGCTTTTGGGATTGCGCACACAATGAACTGTCATGGGGCTCCCCATGGGGAGAGACGGGTAGATGCTTATCACGACGGTCTATTTCAACTCAGTGCCTTACGGGAGTATATGGGGCACGGTGTTTCTCTCGTCTGGATGACTCTTTCATCTCAAGTCAGCTTGTCTTGCTTGCCACTATCCTCTTCAACGCCCTCATTTTATGCTCCTTGAGAGCTTCCTGAGACAAAGTCAATACTGTGTTCCAAAAAGCGCCGAAAATATGGGTCTATTTCCCCTGCAGGGTCGCGCCCTCACGGTCGCCATCACCATGACCTGTGGATTTTCTTTTATGCTCTTTGGCTGGGATCAGGGCGTCTTCGGCGGCATCTTGAACGACCCGACGTTTGCAAAGCAGTTCAAGAACCCAAATGCGACAATCCAAGGCCAAATTGTATCGACCTATGACATTGGCTGCATCATCGGCGCCATCATATCCATCTATTTTGGCGACAAGCTGGGCCGTCGCAAGTCGATTGCCATGTCGTGTGCCTTTGTCATTGTCGGAGGCCTTTTGCAAGCGTCTTCTTTCTCCCTGGCACACATGATCGTTGGCCGCGTTATTGCCGGTCTGGGAATCGGGCAAAGCACAGCCGTAGTGCCCATGTGGCAAGCTGAGACCAGCAAGGCAGAGCACCGTGGCAAGCTTGTCGCTCTTCAAATGGTCATGGTGATCTTCGGAATTGATCTGACCAGTTGGATCAATCTGGGGATGACCTACGTCTACTCAAACGAAGTCAGCTGGCGCTTTCCCATCGCGATGCAATGCTTCTGGGCCTTCGTCACGCTCGGAATGCTTGCCTGCACGGTGGAGTCTCCGCGTTGGCTTTGCTACAAGGAGAGACATGCGGAAGCTCAGGTGGTGCTAGCTCGCCTTGCTGCCAAAGACCGTGAGGACCCGTCGGTCAAGATCGAGCTGAAGATCATCAGCGATGCCATCGCAGCCGAAAGAGCTGGAGGAGCCGTTGGTTGGCGTGAGGTCTTTTCAGGCGGTGAACAGCAGAACTTCCGACGCATTGTTTTGGGCGCCGGTACGTCCGTCTTTCAGCAGATGGGGGGAATTAATGTGGTAAGCATTCGAGACACACAACTGATTCCTTCCCCCGTCTTTGTCCCTGATGTCTGCCGGTTTCTGGGTCGCAATACTGACAGTAACCCCGCCAAAAACGGGCAGGTTGTATACTATTTTCCGGTGATCCTGACCAAGTCATTTGGCTTCAGCAACAGGCTAGCCCTGATCCTGTCAGCCATTGACTTCATTTCCCTCTGCGTCTGGGGCTCCGTGATCATGCTGCTGATCGATCGCTTCGGACGTGTCCCCCTCATGCTATTTGGGTCTATTGGATGCGGCACATGCTTCACCCTTACCACCATCGGTCTCGGCATTGGAACAAAGGCCAGCTACGCCATGGCTGTGTCGTTCATGTTTGGATATCATCTCTTCTACGTAAGCCAAATCTCTTCTTTTCCAGACCCCGTCGAAAAGTCCGAAACTGACATTTTTGATCTTTTGATCCACAGGGCCTCTCGTACCTGGCCATTCCATTCCTCTACCCCTCCGAAATCAACTCATCACGGATGCGCAGCATTGGCAACAGTGCTGCCATGGTTACGAACTGGGTTTTCGTGTACGTCGTGGTCATCATGACCCCCAGCGCCATCTCAAACATCTCCTGGAGGTTTTACATCATCTTCGCCGTGCTTAACTTCGCTTGGTTCCCCATCGTCTGGCTCTTCTACGTCGAAACCAAAGGCCTGTCCTTGGAAGAGGTCGACCGCATGTTCAAGACCAAGTATCACGCCGGCAAGAGCATGAGCTACAAAGAGGCGGCGCGCTTGGCGAAGGAGGAGACTGAGGAACTCAAGAAACAGGAGGTTGAAGGTGCCGACAAGGCCGTGGTGGCCGAGGTCGAGATCGAGGAGAAGTAGCTTGTGGCCGACCACGCAATCATCCATCTGCTATCACGAGATTTGTCCATCATCATACTGACCCAGGGTTGGGGTCTCATGCATACAACTGCCAATCCTCATACCTAAAAATGGGGTTGCCAAATGCTGGTGTCCGATAGAGGTCAACCACTGGTGGAGGAAGGGGGAAGGCCAAACAGAGAACGATAGGGCAACCTCTTTCGCTAGTATATAGACATGTCAAACAAAGAAATGTATTCGGAAAAGGTAAATGAATGTTGGCTTTCGCGGTTGTTGAAAGCTCACTGCTTTGTGGGCCGAGACTGACATGTGTGTATTTCCATCTGAACCTTTTTGCCTATCATCTCGCTGAGCAGTTGGAACGCAGCGTGCCTGGTGGCAATACGGAAGCGAATTTCTACTTATTCGAGTGCTGTACAACATCTGATTCAATCGAGTCCGGATATTTAAGTTCACCTTGCTTGCGGACTTCGTCCATGACTTCCATGACGAGGATGCTTTCGTCCCAAGGCATGGTCTCACTTTCAAGTTTACCATCTCGGATGCAGCGCGCTGCTTCATCTGCCTCATAAAACATGCCATGCCCATTCGCCGGAAAGGGCAACTCAACATCGCGGATGGTAGTCGCCAAATCCCCCTTCTTGGCCGGAATCACTTTATATCGGGTAGGCTGGAAGGCAGGCCCGTAAACCTGAATTTCGCCTCGTGTACCCTGGATACGGATCGCCGGGCCAGCACTGTTCTTCTGGTCGGGGTCGGTAGCTACAGCAAAGGCCGTCATTGCTACACCGTGAGAAGAGCTGTTGGGGAGGTTGGAAGGGGTCGAGGTCGGAAAGGATATCAGCAACGTCGTGGTCTGATCTACGCCCGTGGGCTCATATTTGTTCATGTAGGACAAGATGCTCGACGGGCGCTTGCGTTGATCTCGTGGTAGAGTGTGATAAAGTGTCTGGAACACCCAGGTAAGGGAGTAAATGCCAACTGGACACCACATTGAACGTTAGGGGAACCGAAAGTCAGTCTACTTGTCATCCGGGAAGGTGGTAAACGTACTTTCCAGCAGAGCTCCACCCGCAAGTTCATAAGTGAGCTTCCGAGGAGTTTCCTTCAGAGCAATATCAGGGTGTATGCCGAAGGACGTATCGGCTATGACGCGAAGGACTTCGCCAATTTCCCCTTTTTGGATCGACTCCCGTATCTGAATGCTCAGCGGGAAGAACCGTGTCCACACTGCGTCGAGCAAGAACAGGTTGTTCTCCCTCGCCGTCTTGTACAGAATCTTTGCCTGGGCAGCGTTGACTGTGAGGGGTTTCTCACAGACGACATGCTTGCCGCCCTCGAGAGCCAGCATCGTATGTTGGAAGTGATGCGAATGTGGACTTGCGACGTAGACAATATCGACGTTGGTGTCGTTTACAAGCTCCCTATAGGAGCCGTAAATAGCGCAGGCTTCGGAGATACCGAGATCGCGACAAAAGCGTTCGGCACGGTCTTTGCCTGAAGATGATGCGACCGCCGCCACGACGTGGGCTACATCTCTGGTGTTGCGTGTGCTCGGGTCTTTCAGAAGATCGCCGGCAAATTCTGTTCACTCCAACTATCAGGCCCAACACTTACAACTCCATGGTCTCCATTTAACAAGGGAATACTGACTTTCAGCAATCCAACCCGTTGCTAAAAGACCGTGAATCCAATGTTAGTGGTATCCATTCAGGTTCGTTGCGAAAGGCTGAACATTTCTGCAGCTGTAGAAGAGGGCCCACAAAACTATCTTACCAAGGATTCCCCATCTGACTGTGTAGACCATAGTGGCACTCCTTTCGTTGATTCCGCGAAGTCTACAAGTAAAGTAAAGTAGACGGACTGGCGGATATTTGCTAAAGTTTTGAGACCCTTGTCACTGAGCTAACCACAGGATCTGGTATCCGTGGGCGTTAATAGTCTTGATCATACATGGGACAATGGGCTTATCGACCTTTGCTTGGGTGCCTGCAGCCTCTATAACTAGATCATCCGTGGCCAGTAGCCGGTAGCTCCTTTTCTCTGTTAAACTTTTAGCTTTGAACATGAATCCCCCGGGAATAATATTGCCAAGTGGGGCCCCGGGGTATATAGCCGGCCTATGTTCAGCACTATCAAGGCCGAGTCAAACAGGTAGAAAAAAGAGCCCAAACGGAAAGTGCCCTAGATCCAGGGAGGGCTGACATGCACCCCCGAGACGGAGAAGGGTCACCATCGAGCTCTGCACTGCTACCTCTAACAGCACAGTCACCCAGCTTAGCCCCAGTTGAGAGATCCTGACAACTGTCATACGGGGTTCGTGAAACCCGTGACTGTGGACCAGGGAACAGGGCAGGTTGGCCGAGGCCAGGGACGCAGCCTTGTTCAGCCGCTGAGCGGCGGGGGGGGTCTGTCTGATCTGTAAAGAACACACAGAGCAGATCAGACAGAGCACACAATTAATACATACACAGTCATTACATAACTTTACTGCGTAGTCAACTTCGCTCTCGATCATACCCATACGTTTCGGTTGTGATCACTTCGCTTCGGCATATCGCTCATACCTACGACGCTCTCAGGTATACCCTATACATCCCACTTGTCGAGAAAACCTTACGTGCAGTGACACCCTAGGTGGAGCGAAACGTAACAAGATTCTATTCTTTTTTGAATCAACTAGGGGAGCGTAGCTATATTTGGCTAAGCCTAAATCTCTCTTCTATCTGATATATTGTAAGGCAGCCTGAGGTCTCCCACCTTTATGGTGACTGTGAGGCAATAAGTGATAAGTGCTAAACTATTAAGTCTGATAGAAATCAGACCGCCTCAGTATAGAATATAGTTGATCCTCAATCCTCTACATCTGAAATGGCCTTCGACACCCCTGGCCTTCCCTCCCGTTCACACAAAATTCTGGGAACGCGAGAGGATCTTGTTCTATTTCTCCTCGGCCTTGCCTCGTGGCTTAAACACTCTAGGTCCAGGGGCCCTTCCCTGTAATGAACATGTGACACCTTGCATCTGAAAAGCAGCGTCGCGGTTTCGAACGACCACTCCTGTTATACCATTGTGTAGGAGGGAAAAAAAGATATTGGATGTATTGGGCAAAAAGTCCTTCCTCTTGTCTCTGTGGCTGCGGTCGCACTCACAGCCAGTGATGAAGTACTGGGGTGCGCACCCCGAGATGCCACAAGACGCTCCCACGTCACGCTAAAATGACAAAAGAAATGCCGGCGTCGGTCGACAACCTGCTCCTCCTGCGCTTGCAATGTCACCAGGTTCCTGAAACGTGGCTACAAATCACTTAGTAAAGAATATCAAAATACAATCCACTGTCACCTGCTGGGAGTTTACACTTCAGGCAGGAAACAGGCGAACCTTGACGCCATTCCTTGAACAGAGTGTCAGGGTCAATGATTCCTCCCAAGGGTGTGGATCAGCCGTCTCTATGGCCGCCAGGTTCTGCACCATTCGGACAAGGACGTAGCTTGCTTCAGTCAAAGCGTACTGCTGTCCTATACAAACCCTTGGCCCGCCACTAAATGGTAAAAACCCCCAGTGTGGCCGAAGCTTACCGTCCTCCCAGCGCTCCGGGCGAAATGCCTCTGCATCTGCGCCGTAGATGGATGTACGACGATGCATTGCATAGACATTCCAGCTGACGACAGTGCCTTTGGGTACAAACGCAGGAGAGAGGCCGTCTTTACCCCCGCCCAAAGGCAGGACAGTATCCCGCATGGCCATTCGCTCGTTTCGGGGAACAGGCGGGTGAGACGGAGAGCTACATACGTTAGCCAGAAGATATAATCAAAATGTTTGGATGCAACTTACACTCATTGACACAGTTTCGAACATACTTGAGAGCCCGAAGCTCATTGTAAGTCGGTGGCCGACCTTGAAGAACAGAAATTTCGGCTCGCAGCTTCTGCCATATCACCGGACTCCTGGCGAGAACAAAGAAGAGGTTGCTCAGTAAGCAAGCGGTAGTGTCTCGTCCTGCTAGGAGTACGTTCATAAGCTCGTCCAGAATGCGTTGTTTGTCAGATGTCCTCGAGGCGAGCTCGTGGGAGAAGATGTGTTTCTGGTGCTTTGTGTCTGTATCTGGTTGTGCATTGACCGTGTCTTCGGCACCCTGTTTGAACGGAACGGCCTGAACTGCGTCATCGACAAACTGCTGAGCAAAGTTCCGACAGATGCGATTGCATTCATCGGCCTTTCGATCACGGTAGAAAAGATTGAGGGGCCCTATCTCGGTCGTCAGACTCATCATTACAGGGAGACACAAATAACATCCACGGACCTGTTGTTGCTCGGGTGAGTACTGCCTCTTGGGCATAATGAAAGGCCTCTGCAAATTCAGTTTCTTCGTAGGCCTTCTTCAAACTACCGACAGACTGTCCAAACAGGAAGGACGTCGCAGAATCGATCGTATACCTGAAAAACAATTCCTGCAGGTCGACAATAGTCATCCCATCTCTCGGGAGTAAAGCAAGAAGATCCCCCACCAACTTCTCCAGCTCCCTCAAATCCGCGACTTGGTCTCGTGTAAAGCTTGGTCTGATCAGAGCGCGAGACGCAGGCCAGTGCTCGCCGTCTGCACTGAAGATACCTTCCCCCAGTAGCGGCCGGAATGGTTCCAGGCGGTAGTGGATACTATAGTCGTGGAACCTGACCGACAGAACAGTCTTGATGTTCTCCGGCTCAATTGTCAGAATCAAACTACGCGGCAATTCCTGAAGCGAGAATGTATTCCCATAGGTAGAGAACAGGGAGCAGCCATGTTCAAGAATCCTATGCCGCCTAATGGCTCGCAGCGTACTGGGCAGACGATCGAGGCCGAGAAATGGATCTCTGGTGTACGATCGAGCGACTGGTTGGCAACCGTAGGCGTGTGCAAACTTACGGCGCTTCAAGAAGCGATGGATTCACCAGGTTATGGCGACCAGCGTAAAGAGCAACAGAATGACAGTCTTTGGAAAGAATTTCACCCCCATAGCTGCTGAGCAGTTCGAAATCTTCCAAAAGCGATGCTAGATATCCCGCAGGTGCCGGGGTTGGGCCAGGCACCAGGGCGCGTGCCTATGAGGAATGTGACAGAAAGAAGCCTCGATTACTAGAACTGACTATCATTCCTCATGGAACTCGACTCAGACAGGGGGTAGGAGACTGCAGTAGAAATCAAACTGGCATCACGAGTGTGCGAAGCAGAAGGGTGAGAAGACAGTGAGAAGAGGGTCAGTCGCGAGCATCTGGCCTTAAAAGCGGCAACTGTTGGAGCAGCCAAGCGCATCCAAATTCCCCACACTCCATCTACATACAATCACCCTATACTGCAGTTGAGGTACATAAAAGTCCAGGTATAAGGCACTTGTTCGAACGGCCTCTTGAACCTTGCACAGGCCGCACAACACAGTGTCCGCTACCTCCACTAGACTGCTTCTGTGCTCTATAGAGCCCAGCATGTCTCACGCTCGTGTCGAAGAGCTCTCCGACTCAGATCCCGACATCGACGACCCCTCCGAATTCCTCCCACACTCCGACAACCAGATCCTACGCCCCGTTGCTGCTTCGCAACCCTCACCCGCAGCCCCGTCCTCGTCGTCTTCTTCAGCCTCAAAACCCTCAAGCACTACTCCTCCTCCCAACCCGACGCTTTTCCGCCCTCCGCCACCATCTCAGCAGTCCCAGCAACAAACCAGAGAAAGCATCAAGACGTTCCAATGCCTCTACCCGATCTACTTCGACAGCACGCGGACCAAGGCGCAGGGTCGGCGCGTGGGATCGAAGCTCGCCGTGCCCAATCCTCTAGCGTACAACCTGGTCATGGCGGCGCGAGCAACGCTCGGTAACCACACACAAATCAACTTCGCATTCGAGCCGGACAAGACACACCCCAAGGACTGGGCGAACCCAGGCAGGGTACGGGTGCAGCTGTTCGACAAGGAGACGCATCAGCCGCTACACCCGCAGATCAAGAACAAGGCGCACCTGTACAGGGTGATTGGCCAGTGGCTCAAAGACAACCCGACGACCAAGGAAGATCCGCTCGAGCTGAGGATTCAGGGGTTGCCCGTGCCCGACAACTTTGGCAAGGAGGAAATCCCCAAGCCCCGAGGTTGGAAGATGGGCTCGATACTCCCCGTGCATTCCCCCGCCGTCAGCGGCGGAGGCGTGAGGGACGATTTCTTCAAAGAGGCAATGGAGGAGATGAGACAGGCCCAAGCAGCGGGTGGCGGTCAGTTGCCTGGTGGTGGTGGTATGCCTGATATGAGCGCCCTGCAGAACATGATGAGCAGTATGGGTGGACTAGGAGGCATGGGTGGCATGGCTGGACTGGGAGGTGGCGGCGGAGGGGGAGGAGGGGACTCTAGCAGCGGGAAGAAGAAAAGGGACAAAAAGAAAGGTTGAGGGAACGACCGACAAAAGGCCTAGGTCATCAAAAGAATAAATATCAGCGATGAGGTATTCATTCCGCCGCAGTACAGTGCAAACACCGTACGAGCACAGAACGACCAGTCTTCTTTCCGCTCTTCTTTTTAGCTCACGCCTCGTCGACCAACAAGTCTTGTCTGTGAAATACAAATCGGTTCTTTGTGAGAATAGGGCCTTTCAGTGCCATGTCACCAAGTCAAGTTAACTCGCCATGTCCCACGCGCAACTCCCATCACTATTCAGTAACAATCGCTCCACATAGTTTTCATGATATGATGCGCCCAGGCTCAGATACCTTCACAATATACCCAAACCAGGAGACACTCCAAAATGAACCGAAACAAAAGGCATCAAAGAAAGCAATCCTGAGGGGTCAAAGAAAGAGGAGGCGGAAGATTATGGAAAAGTAATATTTCCAAACGGACACGACCTCATTTATGTTTATGTGTATAATTCAGCGAGGCCAACCATGCCTGCTGCTTTTTTTTGGTTATTATTTTCTATTTTACTTCCTCACACGACACATTCATGGTGACGCCGTACACCATGATGTGATCTTGTGCTACATATATAGCTAGACTTTGGGCTTTTGGGTATTTTTATTTGCAATTACACATTCGGTTGTTTTGTACTGAAACCCCCATCCTCGAAAGAAGAAAAAAAAGAGCAAAACTCCCTGCCTATAGCATTCTTCAATTCAATTACCCTCCTAAGTATTCCGTTTTCGCGATTCTTGTCATTTCCCAGTCGGGTATCGTCATCAGGTCATCGGTCGAGTCCAGTCAGTCGACGTTGATCTTGACGTACTCGCCTTCGTCCGCATCGGACCCGTCCTTTTCCCAGTCACTCATGCCGTCATTGTCGTCGTCGTCATGCTTTGCGTGACCGCTGTGGACGCTGGTATCCTCGGCCTCGTAGCGAGGTAGAGTCTCGACTGTCTCGTTGGCTTGTTCAAAGTCCAAAGTTGTCGAGCGCTCACGTTGGCGCTCGACCTCGGCTTCCTTGCGCTTGCCGTTGGCACTGTCGCCGCCGCTGCTGCTACTGATGGACGCCTTTGCAGGGTACGGCTGGCCAGCGGGGGAGTGCGGGAGGTCGTTCGCCGTGTATGCGTCGTGCATCGGGTGGTCGTTCTCTGCTTGTTCCTCAGCGTCGAAAAGGAGGTCTCGTTCGGTGGCGTACACTTCGTCGGGATGTTCGACTGGGATCTCCGGCGAGGACGAGACGTTGACCGTTTTGTGCTCAAATGGTTGGTCGGCCTTGGGCACGCGGACGACGAGGACGCCGTCGACCATCTTCGCGGTTATGCCTTGGACGTCAACCTTGGCGGGGTCTCGAGGAGTCCCGAGATGAACCACCTTTTCGAAAACCCCAGTCTCGCGCTTTCTGCCGTCCACCACCAATTTGGTCATCATCTCCTCGTCAACACCGGGTCGATGGACGACGCCGGTGATTCGAAGCAGGGAGTGTTCGCCGTCATACTCAACCCCCAAGTCGGTCTTCTTGGCTCCAGGAAGTGAAATATGGATGGTGTACTCTTTGTCAGCATCGAAAATGTCGGTTCTTGGTTCAAAGTCGGCGTCTGACGATCGGTGCGGCTTCAGACCCAGTCCTTCAGCGGCGGTGGACAGATCGACGCCAATACGCTCTCCTAGGTCGTTCAGGAAGGCGTTCAAGTTGAAGCCTCCAGTCCGGCCGTGCTCGGGGCCAAATGAAGGGGGGCCCCGTGGGTGTGGACCATGAGGATGAGGAGGATGATGATGATGATGTAGGCCGCCTCGCCCACCACGAGGCCCGCCCATGCCCATGAATGCAGCTGGATTAGGGTGTCCAGCAAATGGCCCGCGACTACCGGCAGCCATGAATGGCGGAGGACCAAATGTAGGACCGCCTCTCCAAGGACCACCAGGTGGGCCGCGGTTACGCCACCATCTGCCACCGAAGGGTGTCCAGGCATTGTTCTCTCTGGCTCTGTCATTGTCGTCGGAGCTGGAGCTAGAACTTGAGCTCGAGGAAGAGCTTCGACTGCGGCGTCTGCCCTTGCCATGGCGTCGATGGTGGTGATGGTGTGGTCGACCGTGACGGTGCCTTGAACGGCCAGGACAGCCGTCGCCGCGGTTTTCGTCGCCATCTTCGGTCGGGAAGGCATTTCCAAACCGTCCACGCCCACGGAACGGCATGCCTTGTTGATGACTGTCCGTACGTTCTGGTCGGACGGTAGAGGGATCGACTTCTGGTGGATCCTCGACATTCACATCGGCTGGCTTGCTGTTGGCATTGCCGCTCGCCTCGGCCGCAGCAGAGGCTGTGTTTGGCTGCGATCGGGCTTGCTCTCTACCAGGTCTTTGAGGGGCACCGGGAGCAAAATTGGGGCGTTGCTGAGCGAAGAAGGGGTGGTCTTCAAGAACGGCCACAAAGTCCCAGAAGGGATTTGGCGGCGGATTGAGATGATAGATGGGAGGCATGTTGGAGTTGACTGCAACACGTTTCGGAGGATAGTGTAGGAAAGATAGAGGAGGGTAAAGAGAAACCGACGTTCAAGCCACAGCGCTGGATGTAGGTCTTATACCACGAACCCCCGCGATTAGGCAAACGCGTTTCGTCAAGTCGAAGGCAATCGAGCGCAACGAATCAGCTTACCTAGAGATACGGCGAGAAGGTGCTCGAACCAGGGGATACCACACCACCTTACGCAACTGAAGACAGGATTGGGCAACCAGGCAAGGCAAACTTATAGCCACGCGGCTGATACGTTGGAAGTTGAGGTTGTCGTTATCCCGGGTGCCTGGACGCGGAGGCAAAAACAGGCTTGAGTCGCTCTCGGACCTTTGAAATCCAATGTCCGGACCGAGCTCACATGCCCTATCGGCGGCGAGGCTGCTCTGACCTTCGGGGTACACGGACTATTCTATTTCGCGGTCCTCCTCAATACTGGGTTTTCTGGCCAGACTCTCTACCGTCAAAATTCATGACTTCGGCGCCGATAGCAAAAACAAAAAACAAAGCAAACTAAAGTGCCGCAAGCTAAAAAAAAAATTGAAGCGAGTTTAAGTGATGATCAGAGTGAGATTCGAACCAACACAATTTTACCCAAGGGCAGCCAATCCCTATAGGAGCAAAAACCCAGTCCAATCTAGCCCCCTGTTAAAGCCTACCTTGGTGATGAGTACGACGAGGTAGAGTTACCTGAAGAGCAAACCAATGCGGTGGCCTCCATTTGGAGAATTGAAGATCATTATTCGGCCGACTGCGGAATCCTGCAACCTGTGACCTACATCCGGGCACAGTTACTTCTTAAATTATTACCACCACTTTTGGACTCAAAATCAGTCTCCAGAAACGAGTCAATCTCTAGAGGCTTAACTGGCAACATGGCCGAGTGGTCTATGGCGCAAGTTTCAGGCGCACCTGAAGCATCGCTTCTTTGGTTTAATTGAAGTTTACTTGTGGGTAAAACCGCGTGGGTTCGAATCCCACTGTTGTCAAACCTTTTTTTTGTTCTTCGGAGGGATTTCCTGTTGTTTTGGGGCAATTTGCGGCCATCTGACCGTGAGTTGTTTTCGGTTTCTCGCCATGATTTACAGGGTAAATTGCCGGAGTCAATATCACAAGCTTTAACATTTGCAGGACCTAGAGAACAGTCTTTCGCGCTTTCGTCCCAGCGACACGGGGTATCACATATTGTAACGTATCAGCTCCTTTAGTTCAATAGCTCCTCAAAAGGCTCTAGGTAGAGCAAGGCGCAGATCGTGTGCTTTCTCCATTTCTCGGTACATTTTACTATCTAGTCGTGCTAAACATGCGTTATGCTGATATCGAATTCATGCCCTCTTTTCCCATCGCGCCTCAAACAGGAACGGGGTCACCGATCAAGTGACACGATTTTGATCTCTGTAGCTACGGAGTGAAAGAATCCACAGTACCGTAGACCATCGGGTATGATGCAAGGGAGTTCAGAGACGGTAAACTTGAGTTCCTTGCAGATCTTTACAAAGGTTGCAAATGTGTCGCTTCGTATCGTCGCGGAAATCAATATCTTTGTTTCTGGGAACGCGGCTTTCAAAGTACTCAGTAGTTCAGCCAGAGGCCGAAGTATATCTGGATGATACGTGATGTCTGCACCTATGATCAGACCGTAGCGTCGGCCGGACTGATTGGCTTCCATCAACATTTGATCGATCTCCGGACCATCTGTCCAGTCTAGCTGACGAACAGCAGGTGGAGCGTGGCCATCTAGTGTACCATTTTCCAGATTGAGATCGACGTTGTGCTGCAGACTTTCGCAGACATGGCCGAGGCCGTCTGTGGCTAGGACATGGGACGCCTGCAGTTGTCCCGCGCAAAGTAGGGATAAGAGCCCTGTTCCAGCTCCCAATTCAAGCACGTTGCGATGCTGCACAAGGTCTGGTTGCTGGACGGTCAGGTGCCACGCCAGATGCAAAGCAGCTTCCCATGTCCGCAGGCCGACGTTGTTGCCTCTCGAGAGGAGATTGCGCGCCTCCTTGATCAGGACTGGCTGGACGCCTTGCTGGTCGAGCGGTAGCGGCGGGAAGTAGGAATGAACATGCAACTCTTGAGCTTCGTCAGAGTCATTTCGTTGTGGAATCGTGGTCAGATATGCCATATGTTCCATCAGTTGGTCGGATACTTGCTGTAAGTGAAGATTCAAAAGTCAGTAGTTCGATGCTGAGCGCAGAAGCCGTCGATGAACATGGTATAAAGGGAGATAAAATGATGAGACAGCGAGCTGATCCGGGGGGAATAATAGGCCTACATCTTCTTCTGGATCTTTGCATGACTTTTCAATTTCTTGGATGATATGTTTCAAGATCCTGGCCTGGTACCGAACCGGCGGGAGAAATTTGTTCTGCGTGGCATCGAAAAAGTACTTGTATAGACAATTCTGGACGTCTTGGTTGACCAGAAGACTGCCGGGGGGATAAGAAACATCGTTGATCACCTGCATGTATTGACGATAGAATTTGACCATCACAGGCTCGGTGCCGGCCTTGGTGATATCCATGTTGCGGACATGCAACGGGGCATAAGTGATTGGGACGACAAAGTCTGACTCAGGCACGCAATATGTGGTGCTGCTTCCAACTCATCGACTTCCAGCATCGGCTCTCCAATCTCCAGCAGTGTCAGGAAAAGAAAGTGCTGCTCTCGGAAACCAATCTAGACATGTCGTGAAAGCCGTGAAGAATCTGTTACGACGCGTTGGAAGTGGTTCATCCACATTCGGACTAGCGCCATCTTCGCCAAGTTTTCGCCAAGAAGCTCACACAATCTCTTTTGGACGGTGACCACAAGCCTTCGACGACCTCAACCAGGCGCAGTCAAAGACACCTCGAAAACCTCAACGCACCTCGAACGGTCTTTCAATTGATTGCGAGTTATCCTCCTTCATCCCACACACACATTCGCAATCATGGCCGACACACCCGTCACCATTCGAACGCGCAAGTTCATCACCAACAGACTCCTCTCGCGCAAGCAGATGGTCGTGTACGTGGAATCCCAATTTGCAATCTGTGGCCATCGTGTTTTCTCCCGCTCAGCACCGCTCGTTCGTTCGGGGGGTTCTTTTTTTTGGCTTTGACCGCACAATCCACTCCCTTCAAGGCAATGTTCTAACAAAAGTAACTCAAACAGTGATGTCCTCCACCCCAACCGACCAAACGTCTCCAAGGACGACCTCCGCGCGAAACTGGCCGAAGTGTACAAGTCGAACAAGGACCAGATCAACGTTTTCGGCATGCGGACGCAGTACGGTGGCGGCAAGTCCACTGGCTTTGCCCTGATCTACGACTCGGTCGAGGCCATGAAGAAGTTCGAACCCTACTACAGACTCGTCCGTGTCGGCCACGCCACCAAGATCGAAAAGGCCAGCAGACAACAGCGGAAACAGCGCAAGAACCGAGGCAAGGAGGTCCGGGGCACGGCCAAGACGAAGGGTGCCAAGAAGGATAAGAAATAAACCTGACGATGATGTGACGGTGGTGCCGATGGAGAGACATCGCTCGTACCGTGGCGTGTGGACGGTGTGGATGGGCAGAGCACGGGAGCACGGAGGTGAAAACTGCCCACGTCTGCGCATCGGAAGGCATCTCCTTCGTCCGCATCTTGTATTTCTTTTCCCACGCGGTACAAGGGTGGTGTCGACGAAGCTTTCCACTGTGGACCAGGGCCTTCGTTCCCAGAAAGAAAAAACCGCAAAACAAGGCCGGCTGTCGTATTGGAACCGAAGCAAAATCTGCATGTGGCCAGAAGAACAATTGCGCATTGAACGTTTCAAACCCGATGGGCAACGGCGCATGAGATCGATATGCTATTTGAAATGAAACATCACCAGCAGTGAATCACAATAAGCGTTCAAACACACTTTTCTTGTTGTGGTCATGAGAATTCCTGCCTCCCTTGTATTCTTCCCCCTTTTAACGATGACAGCCTCAAACAAATTGCGCGCGAGTGAGGCATTGCTACAATCTAGCTGGCGCCGGCCGACTCCAAGCCAGAGACCCATGTCCTTGTCCTTCCTACCAAAAGTCAACAGCACGAGTTGACTTCTGTGTACCAGCCTGTCAAGAGTCGAGCATCAAAACCCTCTAACAAACGCCACTACAGCCACCCAGTACTCCCTCGCACAAAATGGGACATATTAGAATTCCGTACAAGATGCTTTTCTTTCCCCATACCCAGAATCTCCCCAACGCCGTCTGGAAAGACAGCCTCAATGAATAAACATGCATACAGCCCACTCCAGAATAGTCAAGGACACGATGACAACGTTGAAACCAATTAGTCACCTCCTGAAGACGTACCCGAAAAAAGTCGTTCCAAGTACTACAGTCGTTGTGTTCTTCTGTCTCTGGACCCGTAGCGTCGATCATGCCGCACCGTTAGCCCCTATGAATCAACGTCGCAATACTCACGAAACAGAATCTCAAAACGAGACAACAAGTCGGACATGAGACGGCCAGATCACAGTTCAACGGTCATATAGAAAAAAGAGGTCTCGCCGGATATTGACCAAACGAGATAAGTCTTTCGCTCAGTATCCAGACGTGACATTGCTGATGCCAGTGGTTGGATTTCTAGTGGGGTTCACTGGGCATCCTGAGGAGTCCGCAGGGTTGCAACCATCCAGGAGGGCCTCTCTTCTTGTCAGGAGTGGGTGCGAGTGACAATACACGGACCCGTTTGAGAGCTGAGTTGAGGTGCTTCTCATTTGGGAGCTGCGACCTGTCATCAGAGCCGTGTAACCGTACGTGGCGGGCGTGTTGTCTAAGTGGGATTTTGGACTTTCTCGAGATCTCTGGACCAGGGACTGATGAGCTTGCAGACCTTCAGCTGAAGTTACTGTAGGAGGCGTATGTGGTGCATCGGCAGGTAGAGAGAGTCCGACTGGAAGTATGCCCGTGGAAAGGCTGTCACCCAAGGCCACGTGACTGTATGACATGTCATTCAAGCTGTAAGATGCATTTCTCCTGTCGTCGAGCTGCTCTTGGTCCGCATCGCTGTCGACTTGAGAAGGGATGTGCTGAGTAGAAGCAACTGAATCTGGTGACCAGTACATCGAGCTTCTTTGGGTCGATGCCGAGTTCGGGACGCTATCTAGCGAGCTGGCATGCGTTGAACTTGTGCCACGGGCTGAAAATGGGGTCGGTAGGATACGATCTGAGGGAAGATTGCCAAACCCTGCTGTCGCCGCATATGACTGCTGAGTTTCTGGGATGACTGTAAAGGTCGGATTCGACAGAGAGGAATTTTGTTGCGAAAGACAGCTTTGCTGCTCTGACCAAAGGGTACCAGGGTGTGGACGGACGTTTTGGGTATGGACATAGTAGCTACTCGCAGACGACATCGGATCAGTGTTGGGAAGGATATAAGGAGGAGGATAGGAGGTGTAAGGGCTGGTTTCTTCGTCGTCGGGATATGGGGAGTATGTTCCAACGTAGGGTGCTTTGGTCCAGTCGGCTGTAGGTGTTGTTGCCCCATAAGGAGCAAAGTCGATGTTCGAGTGGACAGTCGGATAAGTTACAGAGTTCTGAGAAGTATATCTCGAGGACGAGGGGACGTAGCTATGACGGTGCGTTGAAGGCACCGAATAAGGCGAGTATCGAAGAGGCGAATGCCAGCCTCGTGGACCAAAGGTGCCCACATCGGCAGAAGAAACCTGAGATCATGCTATTAATTTGAGGTGTGCCGAGACAGGATTTGAACTCACTCGCAAGAAGCGACAAGAGTCCCCGTGCCCAGCGTTTTTGCAGTTTGCACAACTTTGATTGTCTCCTTCATTCCCACTGCATTTGATTTTGCGCTTGCGGCATCGTTCACACTATGCAGAATCAGCCCGAAACAACATGTTGCTCGGATACATCAAACATACTGCAACTGGAACGCGCTTTCTCTGTCCTCCGGTCGATCTGTTGTCCGGTTCAGATGATGGAGTGGTGCGGTTGCTGAGATGGCCTGGGCCTTCGTGATAATCCTGGATGTGGTGGATTTGGCTCAATGGCATATGATCACCTCGATCACTGCGTCTGAAGAATTCCAGATTAGAGTTGTAGAGCGGCCGTGTTGAGATCTACCTCTATTGTGAGCAATTTCAGGGACCGACATGGGGGCCTTGTGGTTACCATGGTGTCTGTCCGAGACTCTGTTGAGACGAGCAAACATTGCCTTCCAGACACAAATCACAATAGCGTTTCGACCGATGGGTGGCAACGAATGGTATCGATCTTGGAAATCAAGCTCCTTAAGGGATGTCCGGACGCATATAAACGCCTTGATATGAGATTTTGAGAAAAAAGAGCAGGCGGAGCAGGCAGATTTGAGCCAGGGTCAGGTAGATGCGAATGCTTTTCAGGCAATATGCTCCAATAGGAGCGATTGTCACCCGCCCTTGTATCGATGCCAGAATCAGATGCATGCAATATGTCACGCCCCCATTTGTATTAGACGTCAGATACTCATTGCTCCCTCAAAATGATTGCGTGCACTAGGTCATGCTGTCGGAGGTGTCCTTGAAACTTGATCGCAAAATTTCTTGTAACGGGCTTCCTGCAAGCTACCGCTCGTGTCACGATAATACTTGGTCCACATCAACAGCCAGAATTAGGAGACGAGATTTGGCCTGGCCAGTCATGAACTTGATCAAACCGTGCCTCCCATATCGGTCGTGAAACAACTTATGGTCCTTCCCGCCAATGGCACTTACATGTTATCCCAGAAGCTGACCATCAAACGTACTCATCATAGAATGAAGGCGGCATTGGGTCGGATTTCTTGTAGATAGGTTCCATGTGGAGAGACGAACAGGCCGACCAGCTGCTTCTTTAACTGGATGTGTGGGGGTGGAAACAGGATGTACGTACTGGCCAGAAGCACCCTCTGTGGAGAGTGTGCCTCACATCGTCGTTTCATTGGCACTGTGATCAGGATCAAGCCTGAAGCTCATGATCTGTTTGCTAGCGGGCTCGAGCCGCTTGATTGGCCGGAGATTTCTGCTTCCAACGTGGCAACTACACCACCAGCATCCAAGCAAACATGTTAGCCGACAGCACACATTCGCCAACATTCGACACACAAATTGAATTCGGAGACCTCCGGAGTTGATGGGATCCCAACACAACCCATCAATGCGCGTGGCTGCTCTCCTTTGTGAGGCACCTGCATCGTCACAAATTGTGATTACTGCCAACTAGCGCCAGTATCTAGTGCTGGAATGGACTGTTGCCTGGGCCGTGAAAGGACGAGTTTGCCTTAACAGTCGGAAAGCGCTCAAGGATTCGCGGAAGGCTTCATGTAGCATTCGGGCAGCTCCATCAAGGCACATGACAGATATCAGCAGTGAAGCCTGCCACTGGTTTGAGGTACAATCAAACAGCTTGTAGTGCTGCCACAAGGGTAGCCCCTGAGCAGCTGCAGTAGAATACCTGCGGAACATTACAGGGATGTGTAGTAGCACAGAGATGTCAAAAGACTAACCCCGGGAACCACTGGCCCAGCGCTCAGTGATCCTGACAAATCAGAGGCAGAGTTCGCAGTCAGGAATTGTCACACAGAGGCGCAATGCTCTAGCACGAAAACCAAAGTAGCCCGACAGACTTGCCACACCCCTTCAGCTATTGCAGACACATGCACCCACAATGGAGACAGGTCATGTGCAATATGAAGAGGTGCTGAGAACATTTTGTTCGTAAGCGGAGGGCGAGCTTGAAACTTCAACCTCAATCGCGCGGAAAGCTTTGGTCAGATCGATGTGCAGGATCAAAAAGTGACCTCTGAGGCTAGAGACTGCTTTTCTGCCGATGCGTCGAGAAGTTTTTCTCAAGGTTATTTGCAGCCCACGTGCAGTAAACCTAGGCCCCAAGTTCAAAATCAGACCATGCCCGATCGAAACCTTCCTGTGACCGGGTAAGTTGTGCAAGGAAGTGGTTGCGACGACACAAAGAAGCCCAACAGCCTGACCAGGGCTGGGCGGCTGAACCTGTCATCGAAGCGGGTGGAAGCCGATAAAGAAGGCGGTTTGTGGCAGAATCGGGGGATTTCTGTATGACTGTAGCAAGTGAGTAGGGAGGCTGTGGACTGTTGCATGTGTAAGTATGAACTGGTAAGTTGGAGGTAAGTTGGAGGTAAGCCCTGGAGTTGACAAAAGCATCAACGAGGCCTTAAAGTGCTTTCCACGTTATCAGTCGTCTCAGAGCTCAATTGCTTTCTGCAGAGCTCATCATCTAGCGACATTTGCTGGGATTCAAGGAAATCATGACTGTTCCCCTTCTCTGCACTGCATCAAGGCATCGAAGCATTCCCTAACTGCCATCAGCTGTCTCAACCGCGGAGAGTATTGGGGCAAAAGCCATGGTCAAGAGACCCACAGACTGCATTGCCACCTTTGAACCAGTCGTCCATATAGACGGTGTCACAACGCGGTAATCAAGTTGGTTTCGGTTTCGGTGTAGATGGAATGCGTATCTTGTTCGCGCGACCGTCCTCGGGTGACACGCCGTGCAGTCGGAACATCCAAGGAGGTTTTCAATCTGCACAGGTCCCGTCACTGCCGCATCGAATGCCACGCAACTGTCGCTATAGTGGAAGTCGTGGTCAAGTCAACTAGAAGGGAGATGTTGGGCAGATCGAGGTCGCTTGATCAAAGAGTCGGAAGTGATCGAACACCCATTTGGAGGCGGAAAAAGGGCGTCGATGGAGCTATTCCGTTTATGGAATAGTGTATATTCATTTTGTCGACAAACGACTTGGGAAGACTGTAGACACTGGCTGGGCACTGGCTGGACATAAGTCTGTGGCCACCTTTGTCGATTGCAGCATCGTGTTTCACTTTCGAACTGCTAAGAGACCGCCGTACCGTTTCACGAAGACTGCATTGTGTTCATTCGGCGCGTGTCCATCCGGCTCACCTGGACTGCTCGTTGCCCTTAGCCATGGTGCGAGGCAGTTGCGATTTCAACGGTTAATTCACAATGAGTGTTCTTCTAGAGACCTCTTTGGGCGAGATCGTAATTGACCTCTTGGTCGAAAATGCACCCAGGTGCTGTGAGAAGTAAGTCCCCCATATTGATTCTCTGACCTGGTCTAACCAGTACTCTAGTTTCCTCAAACTTTGCAAAGTCAAATACTACAACTTTTCTCCTGTCCATACCGTCCAGAAAGGCTTCTCCTTCCAAACGGGAGATCCGTTAGGGCCGGACTCCCCTGACAGTGATGGCGGCAGCTCAATATGGGGCCTTCTGTCTGGGCCCTCCAAGAAGAGTTTCGTAGCAGAAATTGACCCGAAATTAAAACACGCTCAGCGCGGCACGGTCAGTATGGCAACCGTACCTTCGTCCAAAGATGCCGATGAGCGACTGGCCGGTAGCCAATTCATCATAACACTTGGCGATAACATCGACTATTTGGACGGCAAGGCCGCCCCCTTTGGCACAGTTGTTGAAGGCTTTGATACACTCGAAAAAATCAACGATGCATTTACGGACGGCAATGGCCGACCTTTGAAGGACATACGCATACGGCACACGATTGTATTGGAAGATCCTTATGATGATCCTCCAGGCCTCGCCGTTCCAGACGAGAGTCCTGCTCCATCTAAAGCCCAGCTCGCTACCGTTAGGATTGCCGATGATGAAGAGCTGGCTGATGACATGGATGAAGCTGCCATGGAGAAGTTGCGGAGGGAACGTGAAGCGCGGGCCCAGGCTCTGACTCTCGAGATGGTTGGAGATCTCCCTTTTGCGGAAGTCAAACCTCCAGAAAACGTTCTCTTTGTCTGCAAGCTGAACCCAGTCACCCACGACGAAGATCTTGAATTGATTTTCAGCCGTTTTGGTAAAATTCTCTCGTGTGAGGTCATCAGAGATAAACGAACTGGCGACAGCCTTCAGTACGCTTTCATTGAATTTGAGAACCAAAAGGACTGCGAGCAAGCATATTTCAAAATGCAGGGCGTCTTGATCGATGACCATCGCATCCACGTGGACTTCTCACAAAGTGTATCCAAGCTTTCAAATGTGTGGAGAGATGCTACGAATTCGAAGAGGGCAAAGCGATCCGGAGGATTTGGTGGATTCGATAGCCTGGAAAAGAAAAGCCACTATCGGGATCAAGGGAGGGGAGACCGAGGTGGGCGCGACTACCGAATGGTCTTTGACAAAGACGATATCCGTCGGAATCGCGACTCTCGACGGTCTAGGAGCCAGAGCCCGGCACGCGGGCGGGATGATGCCGCGACGGACAAGGACAGACGTTATCGGGATGATCGAACGGACAGAGATGCTGGGCGTCACGATGGAAGGGACAAAGGTCGGTATCGTGACCAGGAGAGAACGTATCGGAACCCAGATCGAGACAGGGACAGAGACAGAGACAGAGACAGAGATAGGGACTGGAAGGGGAGTAGGTCTGAGAGGTGGAGAGATAGTCGCCGGTGATGTCTCCAACATGGCTCCCAGAGCGTATCTGGACTTGTAACATGTAACGAAAGACTTGGTGATACCCTGAGCTCCTCCATTTTCTCTCGACATCGCCATCACTCCTACTGTGTAGCAGTACGTATCGCATTCGGCGCATGAGTGGTGGTCATGGCACTGACCATTGGCTTGTCATACGTCAGCACGAGGCTGAAGCTGCGCTGCGCTTTGTTGCGGAGAATTCACTGTCATGTCTCTCGATCCTTTGTCTTACTTCGCTAACACAAAGCTGAAACAAGAGACACGCCGTCCAGGGCAACCCATTTCGCTTGCCTCCGACGACCGACGGAGCCCGATACACTGCCTGACTGGTGCACTCCGTCATCTTTCTCCCTTGTACCACACGAACCCTCTTCCTCCCTGTTTCTCTCTCTTCTGTACCTCCGTCCTGGCGATTTCCCACGACGAGCTGTCACGAGAGAACCCACCGTCAACATGGCAGCAAACATGGTGAACACGATCCTGGAAAAGCTCCATCTGACGTCTGCGGACCAAGGAGCCCCCGCCCAAGAGCCCAGCGCCGAAGACCTCAAAGCACTCCGAGAGAAGTACGAGAAGGCCAAACAAGAACATGTGTTCGCCTTCTACGACAGCCTCGACACAGAAGGCAAAGCTGCACTGTTCGCACAACTCTCCTCCATAGACCCAGATCGCATCAATGTCCTCGCAGACAAGGCGCTCAACCCCCCCAAACCGTCCGCGGAAGAGCAACAACCCTCTATTGAACCACTTCCCTCCTCGGCATGTGCTTCCCTGCTGGATGCCACGCAAGAACAGAAGGACGAATGGTACAACTCCGGCCTAGGCCATATTGCAGAGAACAAAGTCGCGGTGGTCCTCATGGCAGGCGGGCAGGGCACAAGACTGGGAAGTTCAGACCCCAAGGGCTGTTTCGACATTGGTCTACCCAGCCACAAGTCCCTGTTCCAGATGCAAGCAGAACGGATCTTGAAAGTGCAACAGCTAGCCAAGAAGCATGCATCGACCTCGACAGACCCCGTGGTGCCATGGTACGTCATGACCAGCGGGCCTACTCGTGGTCCAACCGCGAAGTTCTTCCAAGAACACGACTACTTCGGCCTCTCGAAAGAGAACGTGATCATCTTCGAGCAGGGCGTTCTCCCATGCATCTCCAACGAAGGCAAGATCCTCATGGAGTCCAAGTCTCGCGTCGCCGTGGCTCCGGACGGCAACGGCGGCATCTACCAAGCGCTGATGCTGTCCGAAGCACGCTCCGACATGCGGAAACGCGGCATCGAGCACGTCCACGCCTATTGCGTCGACAACTGCCTCGTCAAGGTCGCCGACCCGGTATTTATTGGCTTCTCTTCCTCCAAGGACGTCGACATCGCGACCAAGGTGGTCCGGAAACGAGCGGCCAACGAATCCGTCGGTCTAATCGTCCAGAAGAACGGCAAGCCCGACGTCGTGGAGTACTCGGAGATCGACCAGTCCATGGCTGAAGCCACCGAAGCGTCAGGCCTGCTGAAATTCCGCGCCGCCAACATCGTCAACCACTACTACTCCTTCCGCTTCCTAGAGTCGATCGAGCAGTGGGCGCACAAGCTCCCGCACCACGTCGCGAAGAAGAAGATTCCCTATCTGGACACCGAGACCGGCGAGTCCGTCAAGCCCGAGAAGCCCAACGGCATCAAGCTGGAACAGTTCGTGTTCGACGTCTTCCCCTTCCTTAGCATGGACAAGTTTGCGTGCTTGGAGGTTGACCGCAAGGAGGAGTTCTCGCCCTTGAAAAACGGCAAGGGCTCGACAGAAGACAACGCGGAGACCAGCAAGAGAGACATCATGGACCAGGGTGCCAGATGGCTACGTGCCGCTGGGGCCGTCGTCGTGTCCGAAACTGACTCTGCAGGCGTCGAAGTGTCTCCTTTCATCAGCTATGTAAGTGGCTAGACTCACTCTTTCTTCTTCTTCTTCTTCTTCTTCTTCTTCTTCTTCTTCTTCTCCTCCTCCTCCTCCTCCTCCTCCTCCTTCTACTTGTACGTGTATAACTTGATCACCGGTGCTAACTTTGCTACAGGGCGGCGAAGGACTTGAATATCTCAAGACCCGGGAGATCAAAGCGCCGGCCGTCATTGAAAGGGCCGAGAGCAAGAGCAATGATGACTAGGTCGGGATGTAGTTTGGCAGGGTCCGCCCGGTACACTTCGTACCGCGCAAGGTCAGACTAAACATTCTGTCCAGTAGAAGCTATGATTATACGAGAATATGACGATTCCCAGCAATTGTTTCTCACAAGGCTGTTCGCATAAAAAAAGGAAGACTACTATTTGATAGGTACGGGTGGGCATCGGAGGCTAACGGACACGGAACAATATGGCAAGGTCGAGAAAGGAACACTGCGAGCTGGTCGTACGCAGCACCCATTCCAGGGGAAAGCATCACACACATACACACGAAAAGACAAGTTTCACAAGCTCAATTCTCAGCTGCCAACCTTGATTAAATTTTTCTCTCTGCTTCGACTGTCTGCCTAGGGTATCAACCAATCTATCACTCAGTCACACTCGCTTCGGATGCCAAAGTAGCTCCTTGCTCGCGTCCTACCTCTCGCTTCTCTCGCCCATCCACCACTCATTTGCCATTTGCCATCTGCGTTTGCTTCGCCTCGTTGCTTCTCCCTCCCGCCCTTTTTCTGCTGCGCTCACTCCCTTCCGTGTCATGAATTGGCCTTGCTCCGGTTGTGGTGTCATATCAATAAAAAAGCGTGATTGCCCATGGGGTCAGATTTCTCGTCGCGGTTGCCGTCCGGTCCAAGCAGATAGCAAGTAAATATCGTGGATATAAAAACGGGGCGTCATATGGTTGTGCATGCGCAGTATAAAGCAAGATCATTACGCCGCCTAACGGAGCCATAAAACCTAGATGCTGCTCGTGGTGGATGCGTGATAAATCCCGGAGATTTTAGGCCACCACACTTCGCACCTCGTGGTGGCCATTGTAATGAAGGTCGTTTGATCATCAAGGGGCTCAACCTTCTCTTGTCGTCGTAGGTTGTCGTGAAAACTTTTCCGAAAAAGGTCGTGGTTGGTGGGGGAGTCGTGAATATATGAAAAGAGATGTTGACGACGTATTGAGCGTCGCCCAAACTAAAAGGAAGAAAGGCTTAACTGCCTTTCAGGAAATTCGCGACGACATGCTGTGATAAGACTCAAAAATTGTAACAATAAAGAACCAAGGGAATTCGAGTGGGCGTGGTTGAATCGGAAATGACTGTTACGGCACTTGCAAAGTGAGGAGGAAATGATGCCGACCAAGGAGAAGTAACGAGCTCTGCAAGTGCTAGGTATTGGGAGAGATGAGGGATGGCCACTCTACGCGACCGCCGCGGTAGCCGCGGCAGCCAAATTGATGTCGGAGCCATCCGCTGCGGGTGCAGCTGCGGGAGCATCAGCAGACGTTCCATTGGGCACAGCAGCAGTCGAACCATTGGTTTCAACCGAAGTGCAGTCCTTGCTGATGTGGCCGGGCTGGCCACATTTATAGCAAGTCTTTCCGGCAGCATTTAGTGGACCACCGTTGGGAGCGGTGCAATCTCTTGAGATATGACCCTACGAAGCTGTTAGGAGGAGCCCAAAAGACAGTTGGAAAGCTGTGACCTACAAGCTTGCCGCAAGCATAGCACTTCATGGCTTGTGCTTGACAGTCGCGAGCATAGTGGTTGGGTCCACCGCACTTGTAGCAAGTGGCAGCGCGATTGTTGACGACGTTGTAGCCGCCGCGGAAGCCACCGCTGTAGCCACCCCGACCACCGCGTGTAGCAGGTGCTGCGCCAGGTGTTGGGCAGTTGCGGGCGAGATGGCCAATTTGTCCGCAAGAGTAGCAGCGACCACCACCCGCGGGACCACCGCTAAGGCGCAGGGTGGGACAGTCAGCCTGGACATGGCCCAGACCCTGGCAATGATAACATTGTTTAGCTGCAAGTTGTGGTCAGCAGGCAGCTCCCGATATCTTTTTGGCCTCTAGACTCACTTTCTGTAGTGCGAGGCAATGGGCACTGGTTGGATTCGTGACCAGGCTGTTTGCAATTGTAGCACAGTCGCTCAGACGAGGTGCAGACTTCTGCATAGTGGCCGACGTTGCCACACTTGTAGCAGGCACGACGTGATAGAGAAGACATGGTTGTAGATTTGTATTGAGATCTTCCACGTGTTCCTGAACAGTCTCACACGTCAGCTCCAGCTCTTGTTCACAATGCGCCAAAAGAACCATAGCATATCACACACAGATGGTGTCGCGCGGGCTGGCCGGGTCGCGACTCAAGACGGGCGCGTGAGGCAGCAAAAGGGTATCTGCGCAATCGCGATAGGGGAGGCAGTGTACCAGCTCAAGCTGAACCTTGCAATAGTATCCCAAATGCCCGCGACTTCTGGCGCAAGGGTTAGCCGCCGAGCTGCGACTGCGCGGGTAGTTGCAGAGGGGGATGTGGACAGGCGACCCGGGGTCGGAAAGAGGGGCAGAGTTCTGGAAAGTGAGCTGGACAGGGTGGGCAAGGACTCACAGATGGCGCAACTTCCCTCTCGACCTTTCCAACGTCTTCCAGCCTCCGTCAAACTCGTTCTGACAAGCAACTCCAGCTGATAAGGAACTGGCGACAGGATGAGACCGAAAAGTCGCAGATGAAAAGCGGACAGCCCCCAATCGAGGCACCGAACTGCCAAGGCCGCGCTAGTCCCGGAGTGGTGCTAGCGCCCTCAAAGTCACGTGAGTGAAATCTTCCTCCCCCAACTTACGTCCTGCCGAGGCATCAGATCGACATCTAGATCGATGGACGAGTAACGCAACGAGCTCGCCGTGCTAAGTTCGGCAATTGCATGTGCTCTCGAGTCGGCGCTTGAAATGCTTGTCAGCCATTTCGCCGCGCGTTATGCCCAATGGCCCAACAGCGACATGATCCCAGCGCCGAGGAAAACACTGACGAGCATGAAAACGATCCTCTTCCCATCCCTTGTCCGGACGGGATTAAATATGAAGTCCCGCGCCAGCAACTCCACCAGCCCACTGTATATTAGGATCCCGGCAGACACCGCATCAAAGACCCCACTCACAACATTGGCTGTGAAGCTGTTTGGGTTGTATGTGGTTCTCAACCCCAGTCCGATGGCGATGGAGACGGGTGTCGTGAGGCCGTACAGCGCGCACAGGATCCAAGGTAGCCAACTCCTGCTATCGAACGGGATGGAAGACATTCGTGCACCAATCCCTAAGCCTTCAAAGGACTGATGAAACACCAGCACAGGGTAGAGTGTGCTGAATTCATCCCCGGACACTCCAAGGTTCATACCGATGATGACCGAGTGGAAGATAATGCCAAACTCGAGGATGAGGAATCCAGCAATCTGTTGACGGAATGCCGTCTGCACTGCCGCAGCCTCGACGTCTAATCCATCGACGTTGACAGCGTCTTCAATGAATCGCTTCTCGAACGCAGATTTTGTCCGTACAGGTGAGTCGTCACCACGACCGGTGCAAGAAGGTGGAAGTCCTTCTTCGTCTTCTGTGTCATCATTTCCTCCTCTTTGTCGCTGATGGTGGGAGGAAATTCTCTCTGCCTGGCTGCCGCCGCCGCCCCCTCCTGCCCTCGTGATAGCTTCCTCGAGGTCTGGATGTGGGTTGCCGATCCCGTACTTGGCCTCAACGTACCATTCGGCGGCAAAGTCCATGAGGAAAATGATCATCTGCGTGTTGATAGGTATCCATTGTCAGCCAGCCGGCGCAGAAGGCATAGGTTCAAAGACCTCTCTCAAAAGGATCGCGCTGTCTCCAAACTTACAACAGAAGTCAAGACGATAGCAGGACACCACGAGTACACTGCCCATCCACCAGTCATGCCGACGCAAGTGCTGGGGCCGATTTCGTCGTACGCCGGGTCGAGAAGGTGGATCTGCCGTGGATCAGCAAATTTGAAAGCAACCACAGCCCCTCAAAAGGGAACAGCATCAGGATCAGACCGAACGAGATACTTACAAAGGCCGTGGCGACAATGACACCGGCTCCGAAATACCTCGCAAAGAGATACACGTACAGCGGCAGCTTCAGACGTGGGAACCACTTGGCGAGGACGGGGAATATGGTGGCGGCCGAAGAGACGATCAGGATGACGAAGATCGACGAGACCCTCGCCCCCAGGTGTCCGTTGTACTCGTTGCCCGAGTCCGCAAGGGTCAGCGCGCATATCACATCGCGTACGTTGGCTGTTGTGAGGTCCACGTTTCTCGGGTCGAACGTGTCCGCGGTGGCGGTGAGAACGCTCAAGACTTTCATTTTGTCCAAGTTCCAAATGTGCCGTTGAAACGAAATCCGCACGTGTCCGAATTGGATGAGGCCTTAAGTTTATATGACAAGGCACGAGTTTCTGTCAATGTCTGAAATGGGAATGGTACCAAACCGTACAAGGTACGAGCGTCAAGAACAGAGGAGGGCAGAAGACGACGCGGCACCAATCTCCCTATGTAGGTATATATATACTTGCCTGCTTACCTGCCTGCCTGTCCGCCCGCCTACTTGGCTTGCTTGTGGAATGGACATTCGGATACATTCCACTGTAGTAGGTCCCTAGCGGTGCAAGGATGGAGCATGTACTGCAATACTGCCATACTGACCATACACGAGTCATATGCATGCCTGCCACGGCCTCGTCTTTTTCATTCGTCGTGCCGTCCCCAACGATAGCGGGGGGAATTGAGGACAAGCCCTCGGGGACACTACCCTAACTACGATGATGGCAAATCATGAAAATTGAGGACCACCACAACGGAGTCCTGACTGACGCAGCGAGTCTGGCACGCAGGCAAAGGGGGGACGAGCAATGAATTCTGGTTCCGGACGTGGGCTCTTTTTTTCGTTTTGAGTACCTTAAAAAAGAGGTGCCCAGGTTCGTCAAAAATTGTGGATGCGGATTTCAAAGGTGTATTATACGGAGTACGTACTCTGAACCCAAACATTATTATATTCCGCTACACAAAACACCCGCACAACACAGACACCGCGAGACCACCTGTACGTGAACCCAAATGATAAAAGCACGACGACCCAATTGATCTCTCGCTGTAAAAGTCGCCAATTTCTCTGGTTCACAGGCACCAATGGGTGTATACTACACTGCCACGCGTCCGAACCCGCCGACAAGGACGCGATGCTAAATTCATCTGGAGAGAGAGAGCCGTCTTGCGACGAAGACAAGAAGATCGGGGCAAATGAGCCCGCCCCCGCGAGCAGTCGATACAAAAGGTAATATTAATAGTACGGGTTTCCCGTACCCCGTACCGTGTGTGTGTGTGCACACCCAAGGCCAGTTTCTGTCTATAGATCAAACACGATCCTTCTCTTCGTCTTCCTCATTCATTTGATGTTTGACGCCTGTCATCATGCCGATGTTCAGGAAGGTCTCGGTCAGGCCCCGAAACCGAGCTGTTTCCTCGTCTGCCCATAACCTCCGTGGGGGTGGGTATATATTAAAAAAGCCAGGAGCACGAGGTCCCCCCTTCCCCCCTTAATGATATTGTGTTTTCGCGCACGCGCGTATGTGTGTGTGTGTGTGTGTGTGTGTGTGTGTGTTGACAACCGAAACGAAAAACGCTGTACCTGGTATCGAGAACGAACTTCATATCAACCCTTACTCCAAAAGGAAGGAACGCTCCAATTTACTGGCTGATGGTCCGCCGCCCGTTGCCACTAGAGCTTCTATTCCTGCTTCCACCACCGCCAACGCCACCGCCAGCACCGGCACCGGGATTACCTCCACCAGCACCCGCAGAAGTGGTTGAAGTACCAGCCATGACGGCGGCAGCAAGACTCGCTGCAGGTGCGACGTGCCGTTGAACCTTTCGGTGAGCACCAGCACCCGCATGAGCCTCTCCGGCCTTGAGTGCCTCCTCGACATAAAACCCGAAGACGAGACGATAGAGGTCTCGCAGCCAGCCAAATCCGTAAACACAGCTCGTCATGCCGCGGACTGCTCGTGCGACTTCCACCGCGTTGATTCTACCCCGTTCACCCAGCGTGCCAGCAACGCCCAGGTTACGGAACCCGGAGTCATTTATGACGGCTTTGCGGTAGTTCTCCAGCAAAGCCACCTGCCACGTCTGAGTCCCGAATGCGTCGTCTGGCAGGTTTTGGACGAAATTCGGCAAAGAATTGAGGGTTGGGTCGATCGACGTTCGCGTGTAACCACGGCCTGTGGCCAGAGCGGCTTTGACGAACAGTGCCTTCAGAAGGATCAATGTAGGGTCATCGGCAGGGGTGCGCACTGTGGACACCGTTGTCGCGGAGGTGGGATTTACGCCGCCTTCGGAAATGGCCGAGGCGGGGAGAGACAGGACCGAAGAACTCGAAGACCATCTCGGATTTGCGGAGCTCGACGCAGGTTTGGCAGAGTGCGGATGCCGTGTCTGCGTGTTAGGTGTTACTTGCCTTTGGACAGGCGCGGCTGTTGATGAAGCGGATGATGTCGACATCCTTGATGCTTCCTCAGCACCAAGAATCAGGATATTTGGGATAGGAGCCTCGTCAGGCGAGATGGTGGTGATTGTGTCTTCAAAAATGGTGGTTGGTGTCTCGGGCAGCATTTTGGGATTGCCGTTCTCATCAAGAGGAGCGAAGCCCGAGCGTCTGGCTTGATTGAAAGCCTGAGTGAACGTCGTCTGACTCGGCCGCGGTGTGCCTCTTTCGGGGCGAATTTGAGTCCAGCCTTCACGGAAGAGATCACACAGTTCCCAACAAGCTTGGATGGCTGATCCAAGGAGCTCTTCATCTAATCTCTTCCCTTCTCGCCGGCTCTGGCGTAGACTGAATAGCATCTCTGCCAATGACCAGCAGGCCTTCAACAACGAATCGGTCTCTTCGGCCATTTTTGCTTTTTGTTTCATCAGGCGATGACATAGAGTAATATAGAAATCCAGTGTTCTCTCACGAAAAGCCTCGGGGAGACTCCGATCATGAGTATTGTACAGGTGGTTGTTCAGCTCGAAGCTGACCCTCAGCACCGAATCTGCTGTTTCGTTATCTCGCACTCTGACTTCGAACAGTGCTTGACAGAAGTCTCGACACAGGTCCAGTGTAGGTCGTGAAGACCCATGTGAAAACGATCCTGGGGCATTTTCGTCTCGTGTGTTGTATAAATTTTGACATAACTTCCAGCATGATTTCCATGCCTGTTCTTGCATATCGCCTCGTCCAGAGAAGTTGAACAGCCTCTCGCGGTGGATATGGCTGAGGTTGGCCAATGTGTTGCACAATGTCCAGCATTCAGACAGCGCATTCCGTAGCGCATTGATCTCAGCCTCGGCATCGTGTAGAATCGCAGCGGCGAAATTACTCTCGTCTCCAGTCTCGTCGGTGCTGGGGTGATCAGTATCGTCTCCTTCCATGATACCTATAGGTGTTAGTCCGTGGAGGGCCACCTGAAGCCTTGATACTTACTGGCTAGACTCGAACCCGGCCGACTCAATGCGCTGAGGTCTTGTCGTGTCTGCGCCCTCGGAGTTCGTGACCAATCGTGTATGGGGAGGGTAGGAAGTGACGTCTGCAGAGGTGTGGGTGGCATTGGCATGTCATGACCCTAGTGAGCAGTCAATTTCGACATCTATGATAGAGATCGTGGCAACAGACCCGTGCGGACGACTTCGTCTCAGGGACTGCAGACTTGATGGTTGCGTCTGAAGCTCGAGAATCGGTAGAGTCGGTCGAGCCAGCTCTCGCTCTTTCGATGTCCTTCTGCTGAGCTCCCTCCGTGCTTTCTGAATTCCTGTCCATAGGCGGATCTGGTTCTTCATGTGCCGACTTGAAGTCCTCTTCGCTCTGCGATTGGGATACTTGGTCACTCGGCTAGATTACATTGAGTCAACCACAGTCACCCGCGACATCTTTGCGGAGGACATACAAACTTTCCAAACCCCGCTGGGATATGGATGACAGATTGTGGTTCGGTTTCTTCGTCCAGTCGTTCGCGAATCTGCCGCTCTAGTGTCGGGCCCGTGTCAACCTATACATGCTATCAGCGTGTCATCCCATCGACGCCCAGAATATATCGTACTCTGAGTGGTGTTGCAATGCGATGTATGCCTTCTCTCTGAGGAGAAACCACGTCTGACCTTTGCACAGTTTGCGGACTGAAGAGAGTCTCCGCAACGGACCCTTTTTCTGTTGCCTCCTCTTCCAGCTCTTCGTCTACGTCCTCGAAGTTTGTGACATCAGAGTTGACGGGTGATGGAGCTATTGGATCTTGGGGTGAGGTTATGTAGTTGGCGGGAGGAGCCCTGAGGTGACCATCGCTTGTGGAGTTTCTTGTCTCGGTTGCAGACCTGCCTCAGTCAGTCACGTCCGCCGTTGACACCGCCTTCCATGAGCATACATAGGTTGGTCCCCTGCCGCAGCACTGCGCGGTCGAGGGGAGTGTGAATTGTCGCCAAATGGAGAGAAGGGCGGGATGAGAGGATTTGTCGAGGGGCTGAACCCAAGGGGAGCCCTCACAGCCATCATCTCAAGTGCTTCTGGCCCGTGGCACAATCAACCTGAAGTACAAGGTTGACTGCGCCTAGGCGAAAGAGTAGACAGGTTCGTTTGCGCGCGCGAGATGGGAAGATGCAAGAGTCTCCAGACCACAGGGCAGAGTGCTCAACCGCAAGTTGCTCTGTCTACCGAATCCGGCCAGATTCCAGTCAAGTAGTACGGCTCTGTTGCGGCGACCACAGAGGTCGCGTGTGGCCGCACGGGCTGGCACAGCAAGCGATGTTGGGGTGGCCGGACAAGGTCGATGGGGCCAACATGTGCAAGACCATGGACAAGACGAGAGGATGGACCGTCCCAATGTCTGCGCGCTGCAGCCAGCAGCTGTGAAGGACGTGGTGGAAAGTAATTGGAAGATATGGACCACACAACTCTCAATGAAGAGGCTCGAAAGACGGAGGGTTGACGATACACACTTCTGGAGGCCTAATATTCTATGGTGAGGGATGGAAATGGTAGTCGAGCTAGGGCACCAGAGGTCCAGCATATGATTCGGCTCGCGGTGCGTCGCTAGGGCATATGCAGCTGCCCATAGTGTCTTCCACCTTGTCAACCTCAGTATACAAGAAAGTTTGTCTCCCGTAGCCTCAGGCTTGGGACCCGGAAAAGTCAAGACTCGCGCCGCGCCTAGCCTGGGAGGAAATGTGATGCTAAGCTCAGCGGCATGTGAGTCCGGTCGTTTCAGGAGCAGCAGCGCCTCGAGGAGACGACGTGAGTGGCCGCCGCGTGCCAACCCGCGATGGGAGATGGATACAGGGTGTAGAATTGTGGAAGTGGGAGCGTCGATGGAGGGGCAGCAACTGAAGGCTCAGCGGCCCGGAGAATTTGGGAACCAGGAGTTTGGAGTCGGCGACGATGCAGAAAGCCCTGGTCTGCCACGAGCCCCGTCGAAGCTTGAAAGCTTTGACCGTGATAGACAGCGCAAAGGCTGCATGCGAGACCAGGCTCTGAAGGCGGTGATTCGACCAACTGGCCGCTGAATGAAGGTGGCTGCAGCTTAGCCTCGTTTAGCCAGGCATCGAGACAGATTTACGCGCCGACCGGGATGGAGAGCCTGAAGAGGGTGCGGCTGGAAAACACACCAGACCAGGGGCCGATGCAGGCGAGATGCGAATAGGAACGAAGGACACAGGATAGCGTTGACCGTAGCCCTCGCCAGCGGCATTCGACACTATCAACCACGCTGCGTACCTTTGCTACCAATCACCACACCGGTTGCTCTCGCCGTGCTGCACGTAAGCGCCGCATCATATACGGACGATGCTCGTTGGCACACGGGCGTCTTGGGCGAAATGCCACATCATGACAACAGCCATGCAACCGGTTAGGGGCCGTTTGTTTGATCAGCGCAAGCAACTTCACATTTCCTCTATCAACAGCGAGCTGGCCGACTCTCCAGGATTCGAGTCGCAGAGACTGTGGAGTGTTGCTATCTATCACACTGCAAAAGTCAAAAGAGGAGAACAGAAAAGTCGTACAGCAGGGATTGATTCATCATGCAACGAAGCACCCATGGATGGATGTCATGGCCCTCCAGGCAAGCAAGAGCCTCATTATCGTCGTTAGTGGCCCAAGTTATGGCCCCCAAACCAACCCCCAACACCTTGCATGAAAAGAACAAGTACCAAGGCCGTAGAGTCAGAGACCAGCATCTACCGAATGGTCATCTGCTTTGCCATTGCTCCGCCCTTTCCGACGCCGCCTTCTCTGGAGGCTGCAGCGCTCATTCCTGCCTTTCGCTCGAATACCTTCCAAAACTTCAAGCTCTCATCAGCCGCTGCGAAGTCTGTTAGTGCATCTCGCTTAGATCTGGGGATTCCACATATGTTGACTTACCCGCTGTAGCCAACATTTGTCCGTCGGGGCTTAGGCAGCTGTGGAGGACCCGAGTTTCATGTGCTGGAATTTCCACATTTCGGACCAAGGTAGGGTAGCTCCAGATGCTCAATGAGTTATCAGGGAAGCCGCTAGAGCTGACCAGCTCACGGTAGTGGTTGCTCCACTTCAAGCTCGTCACTTGTGATCCAGTGTCGATGCTGTTGACGCGAGCTCCGGTTGTGGTATTCCAGAAGTGGATGTGCCTGTCGTTTGAGCCACCTCCGGTAGCCAAGAGATTCAATTGCCATGGGCACCAGCTAAGAGCCTTGACGGCGGCGCGGTGATTCTTCTTGGCAAACTTTGGCGCGGCAAGAGACCGAGCATCCCAGATGGAGACCAAGTTGTCGTTGCCTCCAGTCGCGAGTTGAGCCCCATCGGAGCGCCACTCAAGACCGCAGACCTCGGAGGTGTGGGAGACCAGTTCGGCCACCTTGTGCTGAGCAACACGGACGTCGTGGTTGAAGACGAGGCCACTGCGGGCTCCCGTCGACAGCGTGTGCTTGTTCCACCCCATCACTCCGACCCGGGTTTCGTGGCCGAACATGCTTCGAAGCTTGGTCCCCTCTTCGACATCCCAGATCTGCACTTCCCCGGTGCCCAGACCCACACCGACGTAAGCGCCGTCACCAGACCATTTCACACTGCTAATGTATGTGTCTGGAGATGTCTCCAACAAGCAGCTCACGGTGCCACTGTCGGCAGACCAGACGTAGACATTGCGTTCGAGTCCAATAGCGACTTGGTTACCGGCGCTCCAGTCGAGCAAGTTCAGGTAGTAGTCGTCAACGAGGCCGGGAGCGTCCAGCACTCGTTCTGGGGCTGACTGGATGCGTCTGCGAAACTGTGCAGACTGTGCATTGGCCTGCTTCAAGGGTCGATTGTACTGTGATCGGAGGTCGATGGGCTTGGATGACTCGGGAGGAGCTGGCTTGAATTCAAGGATTCGCTGGCTGGTAGAGATGCCGCAGGCAGAAGCCAGAGATGATTCGTATGCAGTAGATTCTTTGCTCGAGCGAGCGTACGAAGGAGCGCTATCATCCTCCAAGCCAAGTCCCTCGAGAGCAGTTGTGATGTCTGCGTCGGCTCCTCGGGCAGAGATGTCAAAAGCGCTTGCAGCATTTGCGAGCACAACAGATCCGTCAGCAGAGCGAGGACGGGTGTTTTCGTCAGGCTTGGCTGCGCCTGCTGTAGCAAGACCGGCGCTGGCACCACGGTTAGGAATGAATCTGTCTGCGGTGTTGTGTGGAAGTCTGATTGTGGTCTTTGCAGTTCTTGATCTCAATGCAGTCTCTTTCCTTGACTTCTCCCGCGACGGGGTTGAAGAAGTGTGTGGCCCAGTGCCGGCCAAAGTCCACTCAGAGACCCCGAGGTCGAGCTGCTTCGGTGACTGTTTCGTTCTGGCAATGTTGGATTTAGGGGAATTTGCGTAGGCAAACTTGGAAACTGATCGTGAAATCGATCGAGAGAAGAAAGTGGAGGGATCTGACTTATGGATGGATTGGTCTTTCCGCAGAGGAGTGGAAGGAGATGAGTTTGTAGAGACGTTGTGAGGCATGCTTGTCGTTCTGCTCCTCGGCGAGGGTGTCAGAGGCATTCTGCCGCCGGCAGTCTTTGTGGAGAAGATGCCATGGTGGCTTTTCAAGGGTGTTGATACTGCTGACGTTGCCATGATGATTGTGTTATTGGTGATCGAATGGACAACCTAATGTTTCGATCGAGGTCCCTGTTGTACCGAATATCGAGGTGATCTTCGGTGGTTAGTAACGTTGTCGATTAAGCAACCAGATCTTGTCGTAAAAGTCTGTGCTTGGGTCCAGCAATTCAGTGATATCTCAAGAGTCTCAACTGAATGGATCCTGAGACGCTGTTGTCGTTGTGTTAGTATGTCTCTGTTGTGTCGCTGTAATTGTTGGATGATTGAATGAACCGAACTTTGCACGGCAAGGCGATGCAGTCGGAGAGCGATCAAATCTAGCAGATGCAAGTATGATCTAATGGACTGTATGCTATGCACGAGCAATGATGTGCGTAGTAGAGGAAGATGTGGTAGTGGGAGAAGGATGAGAATGTGGTAGGAGGAAAGAGAAGAGCAAAGGACCAGAGCAATTGAAGCCTTGAAATATTGTCGCTCAGTCGTGCAGGGCAACCACGTATGGAGACGGACCATTATGTCAGTGCTCCTTTTGGGCCTAGTGCGGTCAGGTGTTTCGGAGAATTATTTGTCCGGGTCCGAAGCCGATCCGAAACTCGACTTCATCTTGTCCTCCAGACTTTCATTTTCTCCATCCATCGAGGCCGCCTTTTCTGAAAGGAGAATTCCATCCTTGCCTGATTCTCACACTACCGAGCGATGGATGCACAGTCCATGGCTTGACACGTAGTCCGGTGATCACTTCCTTCGGTGCCTTCCCCTTCTCTCAAATCTTCATCCTCGATTTGCACCCACTCTTGACTCCCTGCTTGCTTACATATGATGGCACACCCATCGACGCCACAACCTCATATCTTTCAACCAACACCGATACCTGCAACTTCGGGTCTTTTCAACAGCGTCGCTCCGAACTCCAGAACAGTATCTGGTACCAACACACCCACCGGATCCACCTACCTGATGCCTACCAGCCCGGCCAAGAGCGCCCTGTCGTCCAAAGATGGCTCGAAACCGAAAATCGTCAAGACAACAGGCCAGAAGCCTGCTTGTCTAGTCAATGCATCCGTGACTTATTGCGGTAACGAGCAGATCTACGCCTTTGGTGGCTTCGACCAGTTCACAGACGAAGTGTACAATCACGTGCTGAGGCTGAATCTGAAGACGCTAAACTGGGCGCTAGTCGACAATTATGGAGATATTCCGGGCGTTCGCATGGGCCATTCAGCCTCGTTGTACCAGGGCGATAAACTTCTTGTCTACGGCGGAGAGAACGAACATCGAGAGTACTTGTCTGACGTTGTGATTCTAAACCTCAAGGATCACCACTGGACCCAACCAGAGGTTCAGGGGCCTATTCCCAAGGGCCGTGCCCGTCACGCGGCGGTCGTCTACGAGGACAAATTGTTCGTCATTGGTGGTCTGACAGGAGAAGCTAATTACATTCTCGACGACATCTGCTATCTTGATCTGAAAACATGGACATGGTCCAAGACGTGGAGTTTCGTTCAACGATTTGATCATAGCGCTTGGATCTGGGGTGGCCGATTATGGGTGTTGGGTGGCCTCGGGGCAGACATGGAGCGTCCGTCCGAGATATGGTGGTTGGACCTGAAAGGAAGCCCTGCCCTCTCTGGCTCTGGAAAGCAATATTCAACCATGGGGCGGATACCAGGCTCTCGATCGGATCCATTCTTGCATCCCAACAGAGCCGACCGCGTTGATACTTACACAGCCAACTCCGGCAGTGTTCATATCCGTTCGTCTCGTAGGGAGAAACCCACCGCCCCCGGGGCGATATCGTCTCTCAAATTTGTATCAGGGCCCCATGTGCCACTGCAGTCATCCGGAACCCACTTCCATGTGTGCTCATCGGGAACCTTATTGGATTTTGTCACACCATCGTCCACGATACGGCATAGCGAGTGCAACTTATCCTCTCTTGAGCTGGACTCACTGAGATGGCAACGCCTTGTTGAAGGTCCAGAGCTATTCCAACCAGGTTACAAATGGCACTACTGCACCATCAATGAGGACGGCACCAAGGTTTGGCTCCTTGGATCTGCGGCCGAAGACGCATCTGCCACCGGTCAAGACCTTCAGCTGAGCGAGGTCCTGGCCGTCGACCTCAAGAGATATGGCCTATTAGGCACGCAAGAGGGCAACCTTTCATCCGAGCAAAATCGGATCCTTGCGTCTGAGCGTCCAACCGTCCACGCCAATTCTCTGAGTGGCGGAACAGGCCTCGGCGCTGACTTCGCCGCCATCTTCGACCAGCCACCAGAGACGAGTATGAGTGATTTCGTTGTCACAGCTAATATTGAGTCAGCCGACGACGATGACGTCTCCGAGACCGGGTCTCAGGCCAGATTCTCACTCAACTCGACTAGCAGTCAACTGCTCGTGTCTGACAACAGCAATGTTTCTCACCCAATATATGTCCACAAGATGATCCTTCAAGCGCGCTGGCCACACTTCAAGCGACTCTACGCGTCGAAAATGATCGAGTATCAAACTTCACGCTTGCATATACCGGAGCCATATTCCGTGGTTCGGGCATTCCTTTACTACCTGTACACAGACAGCATCGCCCCACACGCCGAGTTTTGTCGAGACCTGACCGATGTAGCCGGCATGCTGGTCATGGCCAACCTGTATGATATGCCCAAATTGCGTCTCTTGTGTGTGAACCGACTCTCACGCGAAATCGACATTGAATACGCGGCCGTCATTTGGGAACGCGCAGGACGCACCGAGGAAGAGTGGCTGAAGGCCCGAGCTGCCCGATTCTGCTTGATGAACTGGGGCCGCATCGTCCGCACCGAGGGCTTCCGAAGTCTCAGCCGTCAGAGTTTGATGGAACTATGTGAAGTCGTCGACACCGAAGGCAGAGTCGTCGGTGGTGAAGAGCTCGACGACGTGTGCGTCGATGGGTTTGGCGTCGGCGGTAGCTACCGACACCGGCGAAGAAGCCACCGTCCCAGCGAAACCGCCGATGAGACGGAAGGAGACGACGAAGACGGGATGGATATGAACTAGAGAGGTGGTCCGCATCTCCTACAAGAAAGACATCACTGATCGTGTCGCATTGCACCGACCTTTGCCGTTCAATGTCACAAACTGAGCGTGTGCTGATACGTGCTCCTACTTCTTTTTTGCGTCGCTTTTCTCTGCGCTCGGCCCGGATCCGACTTTCCGGGTCAGAAATGCTGGTGAGACGGCATGGGACGGGATGGGATGGGGCAAACCAAACCCCGAAACCCATCCATGTAAGACTAACAAATATATATGTGATACGAAAAGGCAACAGCATGCATTCGAGGGGACTTAGCACAATGGATGGGCGTTATGATGATGGTCCGGTTTTCTATCCAGCCACTACGGGAAGCGAGCGTCCATTGACAGATCGACACAGCTGGGCGCACGGGGGGATGTCTACGGTTTTTTTTTTCAATATTCGCTACTAGCTATCAACGTGGTCTTGCAGCTTATAGACGTATGGCGGTATACATACATGTACTTCTCTTCGAATCTGTTGAATGTTCCGTCATTTGCACTGCTGGAGACTAATGTACGCAATGGGATCTACTGACTGACGTGAGGTTTTATTGAGCTCGTGATGGCCCAAGGAGTATCTTTGATTGAGGGTATCGTTTTCTCATTCTTACCGATGCCGGTTTGACTCAAGGTCCTATCTCAGGTATGAAGTGTTACAATGGCCGTTCCAAAGCGCATACAACGGTCGTTAGAGTAGACCAGCTTCGCACTGAGCAGTTCTGATCTTGTGTCCTTCGGGGGTGTGTCTTTCACGCTCTGATGACTATTCCAGCCATCATATCGAGTCTACGTTGGGTTCCTGATCCTCCCGTCTTCCACTCCGTGGCCGGTCTTTCATATCCAGGCGTGAAATGCCAGAGAACCAACCCTTTGATGAGCGTACCGACATTCAAACTGCAGTGCGACACCACAGTTCGAGTAGCAAGCACGACAATGCTTAGCGCTACAGAGACATTGTGCGTTGCTGGTGGGAGGACATCACCTCGACACTCTCCGGTCCGTCGCTTCATGACCATATCCTCCAGGTGCCTTCGTCACCTTGTCTTTGTCTGAAGTTTCTCCTTCACGAGTCTATCGTTTCTTGCCACCCGGTCGCGGCTTGACCTCGTCTGGCTGGACACCGTGTAGCATGATCTTGCAAGGCATCTGTGGAGTGTTCTTCTGGTATCCTTGGCTCCAGTCGTAACATACCGCATATGCAAACACGCTGCCTTGCCTGTTGAATGCCGTTGCGGTGATAGGTGCTCCGACATTTGGGTACCCTTTCAGTCTGTGCTTCGCGTTGCCGTCCCAGAAGTGGAACGTCCCATCACTACCGGCTGTCGAGAATGTTCCGTGGACTGGATGGAATGAGATCGCATTTACAGCGTATACATTAGCAACATCGCGGTTGGGCCCAGTGGTGTTCGGGTTGTCTCTGTGACATTTGAAGCTGAAGTTATTCGAGGCATCCTTCTCTTCAACGTATTGAATGGCACAGCGACCCTCGATGCTGCCAACGGCGAAGCCAGAAGCATCGGTGAAGCAGCTGACAACTCGTGTTTGGAATTTCAGTGGTGATTGCATGGATTTGTAGAACTTCTCGGGGGAGTTGAGGTCGACGATATTGATGTATCTGTCCGCGGTGCCGATGACCAGCAATTTGTTCTTGACGTCCATCGTGTATACCCGTTCCTGACATTGCAGTGTTGCGACAGGATTTTGTGATCTGAAATCCCAGTATTTCACTGTCTTGTCCCATGAGCCGGTAACGAGGATAGGTGAATTGTTGATAGTCGCGAAGCAACAGGAGCGTATCGGTTGTTCGTGCGCTACGAGGGTCTGAGGGGTCATGTTGCCGGAACCAAGGTCGAGTAACCGAAATGTTTTATCGGCACCACAACCTGCAACCTTCTGACCGTCCTGTTTGCGTTGTTAGCAGGAGACTTGTGCGACCAAAACATAATACGACTTACTTCAGACCAGGCGCAGTTGAGCACTGGAGCATCGAAATCTATTGCGGCTTTACCCTCGCTCTGTCCTTGCTCGTTGACTTGGTATATGCGGACCTTCTTATCCCATGATGAGACGGCTAGAAAGTCGCCTTGTGGAGAGAACTGGAGGTCGGATATGCTGTCTTCAGGAGGTTGTACGAGAGCGACATCCTTCGAGACGTCTCCGGTTGTGCTTGAAGGAGCAGTTGTTGTGGCCGAGGCGCCAAAGAGACCTGACATTGTGCCAGCGGTCTATCGGTGTCAGATGAAACTTTCGGATATATTCCTGCGACTAGAACCGTGATTTTGAAGAAAACTAAATACTTGAGCGTGGGCAAAGGACAAAAGACAGGCAGCCGACGTCGTAGGCGGACACGCGATGATTTTAACGCGGTTCACTTTGAAACCCTGGGGGCGGAAAAATACGGTAGAGTAAATATACCACAACGTACTACGGCGGAGTGTTCGGGAGGCGGAATTGTCACAAGTCCGAGCACGACATTCAAGCACTTCAACCCACAAAGACCATCGTCGTGCTAGCAAGATCCCTCATTTGGATGCTCTATGCTCTACGTAAGTCTTGCTTGCCCCAATCCTGACATTTGATTCTCGCGTTAGCTTTTTAGTATCAGCGACTACGACCATCAATTCTTGACCGACGAAAATTGTAACTTAGCCGTTGAGGGCGGAGAAATAAACACGCGTATCGTCACAGCCAGTTCATATCTTCTGGCATCCGGGGTCCGCCATATCTGTTCTAATGCCCACAGACTGATGCTTGATCAACAGAGTTGAATAGTTTAAGATGACGGCAAAGTGACTTGAGCGACACCGTCCGCAACCTTTTGGACTGCTGCGTCTTCTCCAACTTCAGGCACACTGTTCACCCGTTCTTTGCCCTCTGCACCACCTTTTGCGGTGCTTTCGACACCCTCGTCCCCTGTAGCTTTAGCGGTCTTCTGAGCGGCCTTCTTTGCCTTCTTCTTTTCTTTGTCTGCGGCTTTCTTGGCGGCAATTTCGGCTTCCGCCTTTTTCTTCTTCTCCCGCTCAGCCTGATTTCCCCCGAAATGTTCCCGCCACTCATCTGCCTTCTTTTCGTCTATCTTTGTGAAGAGATACTCTGCTTTTCCAATCTTGTGGCCAGGTTTGATATACGTCGGGAGCCAGCCACCTTCAATGTCCTCCTCCGACGGGATCTGAAGAAAGTCGGCGTTCAACTGTTTGCGGATTGATGCACATGTGGCCGGAAGATAAGGTTCGAAGATGGCAGAGCAAACGTAGATCAAGTTGATCACGGTGCCAACCACTGCCGCGGCTAGGGTAGGATCGCTGGCAATTAGGGCATTGTCAAGTCTATGTGCCTGAATGAGACCATTGCCTGCCTCTGCCACTTTCATGGCAACAAGAACCCCATTTCGAAGGTGCACGGCTTCCATTTCGGCCAGATACTGCTTCATGAGAGCTGTGACATCGTCCAAGTGCTGCTTGAAGGATGAGGGTAGATTGTGCGCATCAAAGTCTGGTATGACGCCAGAGTAAGCTTTCGGAGAGTTGACGAGCTTGATGACTCGGTTGACGAAATTTCCCAACTTTGCGAGAAGCTCTGCGTTGTTGCCATCGATGAATGACCGCCATTCGAATTGAGTGTCGCCAGACTCTGGGCGATTCTTAAGAAGGTAATACCTCCAGACATCTGCTGGCACCCCGGTTTCTCTTGCATTGTTTCCGAAAACGCCAATTCCGCGGCTCTTGCTGAATTTTCCATTTTCGTAATTTAGGTACTCAGTCGAAGAAAGGTGATGTAGTTGGGTCCATGACTCGGTAGTGCCGATCTGGCACCCAGGGAAAATGACGGAGTGGAACGGAACGTTGTCCTTGCCCATAAATTGATAGAGTTGCACATTCTCCGGGTTCTTCCACCACTTTTCCCACTCCTCGGTGTAGTTTGCCGTGATGGAGGGATAACCGATGCAAGCTTCGAACCACACATACAGTACTTTATTTTCGTAGCCCGGCAAAGGGACTGGGACACCCCAGGCCAGATCCCGAGTAATGCCTCTTTCTTTGAGACCTTGTTTTAGCCATGACTCGGTGATGATTTTGGCGCTTCTTGACCATCCACCCTTTTCAATAGACTTCTTCGACCACTCCTCGATCTTTGGTTGTAATTCGTCTAATCTCAGGTATGTGTGTTTCGTCTCTTTTGTTACAGGAGTCGCACCATCTACCTTGCAGCGAGGGTTGATAAGGTCCAAGGGATCGAGCAGGCTGCCACACTTGTCACATTGATCTCCGCGAGCGTCGTCATAGCCGCATTTCGGGCAAGTACCTTCGACGAAACGGTCGGCCAAAAACTTCCCGTGCTTTTCACAGAAAGGCTGGCTGTTGGTGTGCTCAGTCAGATGACCCTTGGCGTGGAGCTTTAGGAATATGTCCTGTGCGATTTCTGTATGCTGTTTCGTTGGCGTTCGGCCAAAGATGTCAAAGCCCAGCTCAAACCATTCATATATTTCAGAATGAATCTTGTTGTATTTCGCACATAGTTCTTCCGGGGTGACGCCCTCTTCTAGTGCCTTCGTCTCGGTAGCTGTGCCGTACTCATCCGTCCCGCACACGAAAAGCGTCGGTCGCCCGCGGGCTTTGTTGTATCTGGAAAAGACATCGGCGCTGAGCACGCTACCCACGATGTTTCCGAGATGCGGTACCTTTGAAGAATGTCAATGAAAGAATATAATCTATCGCAGGAGACTTACATTGTTCACGTAGGGTAAAGCAGAAGTAATGAGAATATTTCTCTGCCCTTCCTGTGGAAGGATCTTTTCGGAGCCCATTGTGGGCGTGGACGGCGACGGTTTACTTCGTTTGCTTTGCGATCGTCTAGCGAAGTACAATCTGCAGAATATCGATAAGTCCACAGGATCCTCCCGTTGACTGTTCTCTTCCACAGTCACTCCTCGGCGTCGTGTGTGCGTTGTAGAGGGCAACTTCAATCACTCGAGGCTGCGCCAGGATTGTGTCATATTCGCACTGAGTCAAAATCCCCCGCAGCCTGTTGTGGCTTAGTCATCACCACTCCGATCTTATCGATTGTTTTCTGTCGCATCTTTTTTCTCTTGTGCTTCAACATATGGACTGAACAGTCGCCATTGCTTTTGCTTTCGCAATCTCTCAGAGCACAAGTCACGTAGAGCCACCGTCCTGTAATCGGCTGTCGCTATCATCCACATTGTGATGACTGTTCGCGCCTGAGCAAACTTATTCTCTTCACCATGGCTTTCGACCCTTTTGACGAAATCCTTGAACTCGAGAACGACTACTACAGAGAAGGTTATGACGCTGGAGTAGCCGACAGCAGATATGCTGGCATGATTGAAGGTAAGGTGTTTGGCATTGAGAAGGGCTACGAGAAGGCTATTGAACTCGGCAAACTTCATGGACGAGCCCTTGTCTGGCAAAGTAGATTTCTGCAGCAGGAATCCATACACCCAAACCCACAACAAGAACCTCTGAAAGCTCCGAGGCCCAGGAGTGCTCAAAAATTGGACGAAAGCGTCATGGCTCTTCGCCAGCTCTCGACCACTACACGGCTGCGGAGGCACGTCGATGGTTTGCAGTCCGTTACCGACGGCAGAACCCTGGCACGAGATAATTCAGACGAAGCGGTGACGGAGTTTGACGACCGAATTACCAGGGCTAGTGCCAAAGCGAAGGTCATCGCCAACACAGTTGGCGAATCACTGAATCCTGCAACCAGCACCAGGACCGGAATTGAAGACGCTACAGGACTTCAGGCAAGGCATTAGACTGTTGATTTGCTGTCATTGTCAAGGGGAACATCTTCTAGCCAACTGTGGTCTCGATTCTACATCTATAGGCTGTATATTCGGCCTCTATGACCGCCTCATGCCGACCGCCAATTGGGAATCGACAGCCTTCTCCGCAAATCCTGAGGTGATCTCCACAGTACCAGGGACAAACGGTGTTGAAACGCCGTACAAAGTTATACTCCGCAGATCCTTCTGCGCGCTTCTTACGCATTTTCCCCAGGTTAGCTGCCACCAGTCCATGATCGACACGGCTTGTTACCTGGCCGTCTTCAGTCCTTTCCCAGAAAATTTGCCGACACGAGGTATGACGAACGACAATGCATATTTTCTCCTCATGACGCTCAGGTAGCCGACAGAGAGAACTCTCCCACCCCGCAGAAAGACGCAGGATTAAAAGGATGGCGTGCTGCAGTGGTAGTCTCTCTCTTCACAATTTCAGTCCTCCTCTTGAAGCGAGTGTACAGTCGTGATGAAGACCTCAAAATATGTCTTAAGCCTTTCTCTAGCGGCTTCCGCGTTTGCGCAAGTCCAGCCAGCTGGCGTGACCCGGCCCATCGTGGAGGAATGTGGCTTCAATGGCTGTGTTGTCTGTGTGAATAAATATGTTAGTCTCTGTGAAGAGAAATCTCTTGGATCACTCTGACCCATCCCAGAGCGCCGTTCTACCCTATCACTTCAACCGGTCCATCTCGAACAACAAGGCCGACTACGACTACCGCAACACCAGTGTTACCAATGCACCCACTTTTGACCTCTTGGGATCTGCCGACTTTGTCGTCTTTGACCGAGAGCGAGGGTTGCAATACCTCGGAGACAATCCAAGCTATGAGTTTGTGTTTCACGTCTCCAGCGCCGTACACGAAGCTCCAATCTACGCGCCCGAGCAGAATTTGTTGTTCATCTCCCAGCTCGCGCCGCCAACGGGTGTCTTGCCTCAACTCGTCGTTGATCTCAACCAAGATCCGCCCACCTTGAGCAACTACACCCCGAATCCGCCCATATACGCACCGAACGGCGGTACTTTCCGTAACGGTGACCTTCTCTTTGCTGCAAGCGGCGGGATCGACGAGCTGGGAGGAATCGAGCAAAGGGTATCACTGCGGACAGTCGACCCTGCCACAAACAAGTCAACCGTGCTACTGAACAACTACTTTGGATTCTACTACAACAACATGGACGACGTGGCGGTTCACCCTACCACTGGAGATATTTTCTTCACGGACCCTGACTACAGTTATTTCAATGGCCTGACAGATACTGCGCCGCAACTACCAGCTGCGAGCTATCGGTTTAATCCGGATACGGGCGCAGTGTTCCTCATAGACGACACTCTCATTCAGCCCAACGGCATCGCTTTCACCCCTGATGGTCAGACGCTATATATCTCTGACACTGGAGCTGTCTATGGTGCAATAGCACCTGGCTATCGAGGAGACGGCACCCAATTCAACACGACCGGCCCACGTACCATCTATGCTTTTGACGTTACGAACAATGGCACCCGAGTCTCCAATAAGAGATCTTTTTATCTTGCGCAGGATTGGGTCCCAGATGGACTCAAGGTCAGCCGAGAGGGACTCGTCCTCACTGGTTCGGGACATGGTGTTGATGTGATCGACGACGTTGGTCAACTTGTTATCCGGATTCAGACCAATTACACTGTTCAGAACTTCGCCTGGACCGGCGAGAATCTGACGACGCTCTGGCTGATGGGCAACAATGGGATTAGTAAGGTTGAGTGGAATATCACTGGACAGACGTTGCGTTAGTTGGCGTGGATCATCGAGGGGCGAGGGTACCCTGTCTATCTGTCTGTCTGCCTGCCTGTCTGTCGGAAGCGATGCTTGGTAATGTTGGGTCCCAAAACGTATAAAACACTTGTACGGGAGAACATTGACTGGATCATTGCCAGTGAGTGGTAGGGGGTGCGCAAGGCACGCGGGAAAGGCATCACCAGTCATCATTTACTCTGTTTCAAGAATCAGAAAAAGAACAAAACATTGGTGAACCGCAGCTGCCCCCGGTCCCCTCTTCGTGTTATAGTGTCGCATTCACGGAACGACTGCAGTACAATGCCGGTTGTCTTCATTTAGCTGTGACCCCAGACCCACTTATACTTCACCCGCGGAGTCTCACAGTCCTCTTCCTAGGGACGTGACCGTGGTGAGCACATCGACCTATCTAGGAGGATCCATTGGGCATTGTTGTCGGTGTCTAATACCCCTTCCTCCTCTTCTAGAATCTGTGTATGTGTGTGTGAATAGGACTGTACCTGCGCCTCAACAAGTGCTGATGTGACTGGGTACCTCACATATGGTAGATCAGGTAGAAAAGGTACCTCGGTTACGTAAAGTACAAGTATAAACGTACCCAAGGATAGTATACACAAGGAGATCATCCACAGACAGTCAAATCAGTCAGTCAGTCAGTCAGTCAGTCAGTCAGTCAATCCGAGACACACTGTGACTCCTCGGATACCAATCAATACGATGAGTTCAAAAGTGCAGGTTTATTCATAGGTTTACACATGATGAAAATTAGTGGTGTGGAATCAGAGGGCACTGTCACTGTCGCTCACTCAACACCACCACTACTACCGGAAAAAAGAGAAAAGAGAAAAAGAGGGATGGAAAAAAAAAAGGAAACACTCTATTGCGGTCCCTCGATCAAGACCTTGATAGCCTTACCATTCTTGACGTCCTCAAAGGCCTTTTCCGCCTCCTCGAAGCTGACTTTCCTACTGATCAACTTCTTCACGTCGACCTTGCCACTGCTCGCCAGGTCGACGGCGGTCTGGTAATCGCCCGAGCCGTACCTGAAGCTCCCCTTCACCGTCAACTCCTTGGTGCAGGCGGCCATGATGGGGAAGGTGATTTCGTCGCGGCCCATGCCGCCCTGCACGTAGCTGCCGCCCATGCGCAGGACGTGGATGGCGGTCTGCACGCTCGGCTCGGCGCCGCTGGCGTCGATGGCCACGTCGGCGCCCCGCCCGAGGTCGTTGTCGCGGATCAGGTTCTGGGCGTTCTCCGCCGACGACACGCGCGAGGGCTCAAACGCCGCGTGCGCCGCGTACGACTTGGCGAACTCCAGCCTCTCGCGGTTGATGTCGACGGCGACGACCTTCTTGGCCCCGAACGCCCTCGCGACCGCGCAGCACAGCAGGCCCACGGGCCCCGCGCCGAAGACGACGCACGTGTCCCCCTGCTTCAGGCCGGACTGCTTCGTGATGTGCACCGCCACGGCGAGCGGCTCCATCAGCGCGCCCTCCTCGAGGCTCATGCTCTCGGGGAGCCGGTAGCAAAAGTCCTCGGGCAGGACGTAGTACTTGGCCAACGTGCCGTCGTAGGGCGGCGTCGCCGCGAACGCCATGTCGAAGCACAGGTTGTATTTGCCTTCCTTGCACCGGACGCACCGCCGGCACGGGATGCCCGGTTCCATCGCCACCCGGTCGCCCTTTTGTAGGCTCTTGACGCTCGATCCGACTTCGACCACCGTCCCTGCGGACTCGTGGCCCAGCACCATCGGGTCTGTGACCACAAAGTGTCCTATCCGTCCGTGTTGCCAGTAGTGCACGTCCGACCCGCAGATGCCTGTGTAGTTGACTCGGAGGAGGACATCGTAGGGACTGGTGAGTTTGGGGACGGGTCGGTCTTCGAACAGGACATCCTTGATGCCACGGAGGACGAACGAGTTGTTTTCCTTGAGCGACCATGTCAGTAGTGCGTCCTGCTTGTTGTGGTGCCGAGGGGGGTTAAGCAACTCACCCTGGTCTTCGTCTCGGAAGCCATTGTCGCAGACACACGTAGAGGGGAAGCAAATAAGGGGCAGTGTCACTTTTCTACAAAGTAATAAGGAGGGTTGGGTCACCTACTCTCTCTGAGGACTTTTTGATGCGATAGCAAGTCCTGCGGAGTAGCAGAGAGCAGGTCAGGTAGATGTCGGCCAGCGGTCCGGTTTCCCCTGCTGGTAAATGACCGCCTTTGTGTTCACGGCGTCCGAACTGCGTCTGGCCCGCCAAATGATCTCATGCGTTGACCACCGGAAGATACCTAGACTTTGAGAACTGCACGGAGTGGCATTTTAGGCTAAATACAGATCCAGTGATGGTGGTGGAATTGAAGTGCGAGTCACTACTGTGCGGGGTCGTTTATTTGACTTTGATGCTCGCGGCCTTTGACACGCTTCATTCGTTCGGTATATAAACGTCCGCTGACACTTGTATAAGGTTCCAAGGTTTGTATAGGGATCTACCTCCATGAATCGGCAGGCCAACCGCTTCAATGCCCAGCCTCCAACTGCACAATCTTGTCACAGTTCAGAATTCCCAGAGGATCATACGCTTGTTTGAGCTGTTGTACGTTAGATGCCACAAAACACCGTAGAAGGGCGACAGAAACACTTACCTTGCGCATGGCATCAACCGTGTCCTCACCAAGTTCTTCACGGATGTAATCTCGCTTCTTCAAGCCGACACCGTGCTCTCCAGTGACCGTCCCATCCATCTCAATTGCTCGTTGGATCATACGGTGCACGACGTCTGAAGCGATCTGCTTCTGCGAGTCGCTGTACAGCAGGATAGCTGTGTACCGTTAGACTTGACCGGAACCAAATAGCTCAGAAGACCTACTGTGGAAGTTTCCGTCACCAACATGCCCGCAGATACCTCCTATCAATCCACTCTTCGCGACGTCGTCATGGGTTTCTTGTATGATATCGGCCAATCTGCTAATAGGCACAGCCTGTAACATGTTAGCGTCCCGCAATTGTTCTGTTCGCCAGCTCACTTACCACGTCAGTGGTCCAGACATGATCACTGGGATTTTCTTTGATGGCTATTACACTCCAAAGTGCTTCCTTCCGCGCACTCCAGAGTTCCGCAGCTTCCTCGTCGTTCTTCGCAAATTCAAAGCTCTTGTTCTGGCTGCCTTTGGCCAGGTTTCGTACGATGTTGATCTGTTCTTTGACACCATCGGGGCTGCCAGCAAACTTGAAGAACAGAGTGGGAGCTTCCTGCCATTTTTTCGATGTCATGCCGCTCTTGTTGATGCACCTCATCTGAACGTCGTCCAGAATCTCCATCCCAGCGAGGAGTATACCTTCGCCGACCACTTTGGCAACACATTCGGCTGCAGCATGAATTGTTGGAAAGGTAGCAACCGCAACAGATTGTTTCTTGGGAAGAACAGTCACCTTCAAGGTAGCTTCCGTGACGATACCAAGAGTGCCTTCGCTGCCGATGAATAGCTGGGTCAGATTGTAGCCAGCACTAGATTTCCGGGGCCGACGTCTCGTCTTGATGATGGTTCCGTCGGCGAGTACCACCGTCAGTGACACCACCCAATCTCGCATGGTACCATATCTATACGCATTTGTGCCTGAGCAGCCGGTTCCCACCATGCCTCCAATCTTCGCACCTGGGCCGGGATCAGGAGGAAAGAACATTCCGGAATCACCAAGGTATTCGTTGAGATCTTCCCAGCCCAGGGCCGGCTGTACAACGATGTCCAGATCTTTGGGATGGAATTGTAGAATCTTGTCCATGCGGCTCATGTCAATACAGATACCACCTCTTGTAGGGGCGAAATGCCCCTCCAGGCTTGTACCCCCGGATAACGCGGTGACGGGGATGCGTCGTTTATGGCATACTTTCATAATCTGAGAAACCTCCTCGGTGGTAGCAGGGTACACGATTGCGAAAGGTTTCTCGTTCGGCTTCGTGGTATATGAAGACCATTCTGACCCAGAATGCGAAAGCAAATCATCCGGTGTCGTTGACACATTCTCTTTACCCACAATCTGAGCAAAATCAACCCAAGCGGCTTGTAGGACGGAGTCTCGTGTATCGTGCTGGGGAGGTTGCGCTCGAGAGAGAGGTGTTGTTGAGGTGGTGTCGAGGGCCTTTTCACCTCTTGAACCCAGCCAGTATGCACCGCCAGCAACAGACAGAATGACTACCACGGTCAGTAGGGATACTCTATATCCATATGGTATACATACCAACGCTCAAAGCCAGGGCTCGCGGCTCTCCTTTGCGCTCACTCGACGCTTTGATGTACTCTGCCTGTTCTTGTCTCTCGCGCTTCAATCTGTCTGCGGTGCTTTCGTATAGCTGTCCGCGAAATGATCTTGACGCATCTTCTTGCTTGTCGGATGTCCTCGTGGAACTATGAAACAGCTTCGCAGCAGGCACGCGTTGTAGAACTGAGTTCCGACATTGGGATTGTGGCTCAACGCACCGCAGAACCGACGCAGCCGGACGGCCGACTCGCAGCATGGACTTCATTCTTGATGGAGGCGGTGGACTTATAAGGATGGCATTTCGGAGTGCTGTGCTGGGCTCCTGCGACGACTATCGACAAGTTAATAAAGTTCACCGCAAGATCTCTCAGACCATTAGCGACCTTTGAGAACACTGCGTTCCCCGGAACCTCAACCGGCGGAAAGTGCGGAGAGACGGAAATGACGAATTATAGCCGAAGTTTGCACCATGTTGATAAGAACAGCGATGCTTCGGAGTGCGCTGAAGCTCCGGCAAGAGACCATCTACCTGCCTATCTACACATCAGGCATGGCTACGAAAACATTGAGAGTCGAATCGACACTTCACTTCAGTGTTGGCCCACCATAGCCCTCAATCAAACCACCCATCTGCCTACCTCAAGTTCGCCTCGCTCTTCTCATCGGATCGAGCTGCGACATCTAATAGGCTGATGACCTTGTCTCGCCATTCCAACCGATGACATTTCGGCAATGCGCATCAACCTTTCGTATGAGCGTCAGGCATTTGGCCGTACCCCAATATGTGCTCAATGTGGCATAGACGGTTGCCCGCGAAACACGTTGAGGACTTAATTCGTCCCTTGATCAACTCCATCTAGACCTCTCCTCCAAGCTTGTGTTAGGCGAACGTTCTCATACGCTTCAAGCAGCTCCTTCGCATGTGCCAGGGTTGATGACTCGAGACTGCCCGCGAGTTACGACCCTTTACGACAAAACAAAAAGAAATGCCCGAAGGCTCCGAGCCAACCCTCTCACTCAACCAGGACTTATCGAAATCAATCGTCAATTGCCGCGTTTACGGCCACCCCGAGTGGACTTCGGCTTGGTGATCCTACCATCCGCATCTGTTCGTGACCCTTCGGAATCATTTGATGCGGGATTCTCGAGTCTGCACGTCTCGCATCACAGGGAGCACCGCTTGGTTGCGCTGGTCCTGAATACAAAGTCCCTCCGCGACTTTCTGCGCTGATTTCTGTAACGCATCTCGGACCACATCTATTCGCTGACCTGACTTCTTGCTGTCAATCTTTAGGCTCTCAGCAATGAGCTCCCGCCCTCAAACCTCCGTCAGGCTTTGTCGGGTGCAAACTTGCCTGTCTCTTCATCACCCTTGCGTGGTGCTCGCGTGGTCCCCTTTGCAGAGCGGACCGACCGCAGTGCCTTCTTTGCTACAGCCTTAGCGGTCAAACGGCGAGAGTCGTGGCGCTGGCGAGGGGTCTTTCTGGAGCCATCCTCGACGCTCATGTGCGGCGACTCGAGTTTGGCGTATCGCCACCCCAGTCGGGAGCAGGGTTGCCCCATCGTGACGCGGATGTACTCCTCAGCCAGGCGAATGTAATCCTGGCCTCGTTCGAGCGTGATTTGCACCATGGCGACATCCGGATCCATCTCGTGTTCTTGAACCAACATCCAGGCCCGGGCGGCTCGGGACGCGGGCTTGGGCATCTGCTTGCATATCTGTACAGTTGTCAGCGGTCACGAAGAGTCACGAGAAAGTGGGAGGAGTTACCCACGGGCTTGTTGTCAGCTCGCAGTCCGTTTCCTTGCACTGCCAGACACAGTTTGCACAACCACCCCGCTTGAGAACTCCGGCCGAGCGGCATGTAGAGAACTTTCCGTGACCAGAGGCACACTTGGAGCGATCATATCTTGTCCAACTACATCCCAGTTCCGTGGCGTCGCTTTAATTCTTTTCAGTCACCTCCACGTCCAGATTCTTCGTTGTCTGAGCTTCTTCGCTGTCTGGGGTTCTTCGTTGTCTGCCATATTTGACAAAGGCTCAGAACTTGATACTGTTCGATACACAGCAATGATGTCGTCGGGGCTCGCTGTCTCGGATCAGGAAAGGATGGCGAGGTTGCATGGAGGATGGGCGGTGTATCCTCCTGCGGCGAGCCGTTTGCGGTGTCTCTAGATCGAGAGTAACTTGATCTGCACATTGGAAATGTCGCTGACCAAATGAGAATCCATCACAGATCTTTGTTCCCTGAATGGTGACATTTTTCAGGGGTAGTCCAAGTACTCGACGATTTTGATTATGGCGATAATTCATACGTTCCCGGTTGAAATAAGATATACTTCCCCCAGGGTAACATTTCAAATATCCAAGATCGTCTGGCTTTGAGAGTACTCGAGCGTCACTCAAATCACCCATACTGTTTTGAAAGTCATATGGATTGGTAGAGATGGACCGTATTCCAGTGTTCGATTGAAGTGCTTTTCGAAGTGGTTCCGATGAGCAGAATCGTTGCAGTGTCCACGGCTTGCCTCGACTTCAGAGCATCGAGTTCTGCCCGCAGTGGCCGCGTCCACATTGATCTAGGTTATCAATGTGAACAAATTGACGATGATCCACCATGTTTTCTGGGCGGAGATAAATGCAATGCTCGCAGCCCTTCTCCGGACACGACCAGACGCAATTCAGGTGAAATGACAGCAAGTGTGACGCCAGTTCATATTGTTTGCCTCGACGTCGGAAGCTTCTTTCCCAGGCTTCCCTTTCGGGCCGGGACGCTCACGTTGCATGCCACCACGGCTCGAATTTTGTCGAGCACAACAATCGACCACGCGTTTCGAATCGTTTGGGCGTGACATGATAGCCACGACTGTAATCGCCCATATCGACGACCGAGCCACCGTCCTCCTGAGACGCTTTCTCAGGACGCTTGGGCGGTAGGTGTCATGCACCGTGCTGTCTTTTTGATTAGGGTAGGTCTACTTCGCCCTTTCTTTTGACTTCGTATTTCAACAGCTGGAGTGTTCCAATCTCTTTCTGTCTTTTCTCTGGCCTTCAGGTGTGTTCGGGGCCGACGGGGACCGAAAGAGAGGAAAGGCGACTGCTGATTGCGGGTCGCTCGGGCCCAATTGGCAAGGCTGTCCTCCTTGGACAGGAGTGTGAGGTGTCGAGCTTCCTGCCTCGATAGAGAGTGGTCCTATGGCCAAATTGCAACAAGTTCCACCTGTCCGGCAATCCTTGATACGTTATTTGATGATGAAACTTCCCTAGGCGTCGCCCGGGGTCCACTGGCGCGGCTTACTTCCTATTTTGGATCGACCAGGCCCAGGGCACTGCGTCCTGCAGCTTTCTGCTACCGCGTAGGCCGCTGACCTGTATCGTCATTGTTCAAGAACATCCTTGGTCCCTAACTGGCAGAAGGGGAGGCGCCGGAGCTGCGGTGGGAGCACGCCTGGCCTCGATGCCGACATTCCGCATGCGGGTGTCGACTGCACACGACTGCTAGATGTTTGGTTGTCAGGGCTCCGCAATTGCTTCGGAGGAATCTGTCGACATCCTCCATCCTGAAGGGTACAACGTTAAAATTGAAAATGGGGGGGTGCTCAAAAATTTCCTGCTTCTACATTTGGTGCCTCCGGACACATAGTGTTAGCCGTCGGATCAGGAATGATGTCGTTCTCGTTTCTCCCTGTGCTCTTTTGGTTTGTTCTCTGGGGTTGGGGCCACTGTGAGAGTCTTTCTGATCTTCCTAGATTTGCGAGTGTGATGCCCAGAGGGGCTTCTCACAGCGATAGACCTATCCAGGTACGGAGCCAGCTGGTGGAAGGAATAGTAAGTCGATATGCCAAATGACATGGACAGAGCAAATAATGAGGTCGGCAGATGCACTTCCTTTGCGTTTCTCGAGAACTGAGCCGGAGCCAATATACGTATATGAATGCTTCGATAATCAGCACATAAGTGGTAGCAAGTCTGATGAGGAACGAAGATCTTTCAGAGTGGAAAGGGGGGTTGATTTATGGCTTGCAGCTGAGACAATCCGCTGGGGAAGTGAATGACTCTATCGAGGAACAATGGTACAAACCACAATAGCTGGAGCCAGGAATATGCAATCGCATTACTGAAACGCTGGAGTGACAATGACTGCGAGTGCAAGGAATGACTCTTACAGCAAAATACAAATACCATATTGAATACGGAAGAAGGTGCATATGACCTAGGCAGTAGGGGGACAACAGTCAACCGAGTATTGAGGCAGCGGTCCCCAGGCAACCACATGCGGTCCATGGTGAATATCGGGCGAGTAGCTGTAGCAATCCCTCGAGAGACCATCAGAAACCACAGTAGGCAAGATCACGAAACTCGGAGAAACCCTTCCGGCTGGCGGTCTCGAGCTAGCTAGCTTCGTGTAGCTTCGTGCAGCTTGACCCAGCAATAACGTGGTGCGTCCGTAAGCGTGAAGACATGTCGAGTTCTCTCTCCGTAATCAGCAGCCTGTATGTCGTCAAACTTTTGAAGGAGGCGAATAATGGTAAATCCGGCCAATGTCAAAGCTTGCTGCTGACCAAGACAAATTCTTGGGCCGCCACTGAATGGCAGGTAGTCCCATTTCGGCTTGCGGCCAATCCAGCGATCAGGGCGGAATTCGTTGGCATCGTCCCCCCAGAGGTCTGTTCGTCGATGCATGGCGCCCACAAAATATGCGACCTCCAATCCCTTGCGGATGTAGACAGGAGATTTTCCGTCAGGCCCTCCACCAATCGGCAAGGTGGTGTCTCTGACCGAATGTCTCGCATTTGCCGGCACAGGAGGGTACAACCGTAGGCTCTCGTTCAACACATGCTGGAGATAAGTGCAGGCCTTGATAGAAGCGAAGTCGAGATTCCTCGGCGAATCGTACGACCCAAAGTCGCGGAGTACAACTTGGCGCAACTTGTGGAAGACGCCGGTGTTGTGAGCTAGCAAGTAAAACGTCCAACCGAGGGCGCTGGAGGTTGTATCTCTCCCAGCCACCAGAATGTTCAGTAAATAATTACGAAGCTCCACAGGGTTCCGGGTCTCTTTGACAAGCTCGTCGAGGAAACAATACTTCTTCGGCGTGCCGGTGGACTGAATATCAGCGCGGCGCAAACCTTGCTGGACAAAATGGTCAGCGAAAGCATGCACGACCCTGACATCGTCCTTGTAATGGCTCGGGTTGTAGAGCCAGTGCAATTCTTCGAGGAAGTTTCGAATGCCGACAGTCTTCAATCCACGTTCGTAGGCTCGATTGAATGAACTCCACCCAACCGCAGTCCCATCTTTCTGTTCGCCGCGGAGTGCTGCTAACTGAGAGTCTGTACTCTCCCCGAAAAGAAGTTCGGTGCTCGAGTCCATGGTCAGTCGCATGAACAAAGGCTGCAAGTCGACTCTGTCGGTCCATCCGTCCGCGCGGACCGTGAGATGAGCAAGTAGATTCCGGTGATGCTTCTCCTCCGTTTCCAAGTCCTGCAAAATCATTCTCGCAAACTGCGGTCGCAGCATTGCCCGTTGGTGCTTCCTGGGTTCTGGTTAGTTTGGGGCGAGCACACCTCTCGGATTTCAACAGACCATTCTGCACCATCAGTAGTGAAAATTCCCTTTCCAAACATTGGCGACCAAGAGTTCAAACGATGGCCAAGCCCAAAGTCCTCAAATTGACTTCCCAGTATCGCTTGGATATTTGCAGGCTCACAGGTCTGGAAGATATCTACGTCAAAGAACGGTGTCATATACGACTTTGGGTTCCTCTCCGCCCACTCGATGAAGTATTGAGGAGCCCGCTCCTCCCGTGCCGCCTGAATAAATTCTTTGGTGATTTTCGCGCCGTACCACGTCCCTCGTTCTCGAGGCGGGGGCTGACAAGCCCACTCCCGAGCCTGGCGTCGATGTCTTCGCTCCTTGACAGCATGCCGGATGAGAAGATAGGCCACCCAAGCGATGCCCGCGCCCAGGAGGACAATTTGCAACATACTGAGATAGTATTGCAGACTTGCGCAGCAGTACTCCCAACTACATTTGCGCTGTGTTGGAAAGTGATTTGGAACATCTGCTGGTCGCCTGATGGATAAGATGTCTCAATAGTCTAGGCATCACTCTAAACAGTTTAGCGGGAGGCCTGATCGATTAGTCACCAAGATATACTCCGTACATAAGGGCACCTTACTCCCTGTACGCAGTTGAGGTTCAGCTGCGACTGAAAGAGTTGAGTTAAGAAAAGATCGTTTCGACTCCTTTTGATACTGAAGGAGTGGAACTTTATCTGCTTCTTGTAGAATCCATGGCTTCAAAAGCCAAAAAAAAGTCGAAAGTCGACTTTTTCGACTTTTTTATATATAAGCTGTAAACGAATCAAGGGTTATCGGGTGTTGGTCTATAATTATGTTAGTGAGATCTCTCTTGAATGAGCTGGGAAGAATTAATTACCTTGCGAATAATCTTTTCGAACGGTCGGGGATTCGAACCCGCGGCCCTTCTCTTCCTTACTCGCCCGCGGCCCTCGGTTTTCCTTGCTCGCCGCAGTGAATGGATGTCCGCCACATAGCCATGTGGTTTTAACCTGAGCCATCACTGCGGGGTCTTGGTGGTTGAGGGAAAATTTCACGGGTTTAATTGATATCATTTGAATATTCGGTGGTGAGTGAATAGTCCCTGAGTGGGTCCCGGGATATGCTTAAGGTACATCTCATAGCATCAAGTACAGATAAAATATGACCGGCGGCCTCCAGTTGGGCATCGAGACGAGGTACAATTCACAGCTGAATACTCCGTACCACTTCCGGTGACCACGGTTCACGAAAGCCGTGTTTAATTGAAATCACCTTTCCAACAGGAACGTCTATCATACGCATTCGAGTCCTTCCTCTGCCCGAGCAGCCCAGTCTCTCTGTGCGCTAACGACTAACCACCGATTCAACAATGAACATGGCTGCTTCGTTCGGCTACTCGAGACTCGACCCGATACTGTACGACTTGAGCCATGCTGCTGGTGCGAGGCAGTTCCAGAAGATGGCCAGAGAATTCATGGCAGTTGTCAGAATCACCCCAGATATGGATGCAGAACATCTTGTGAACTTCTCCAAGATTGTTGATAATGCCGATGGCTGGGCTCTGGCCTCCAACGTCGTTCCAGAATTCCGTCTTCCTCAGTACGTGATGTCTTTGCTTCTGAGCGGAAAAGTAAATCGCTAACAGGACCTCTCCAGAGACACCGACACCGACGAAAACACTGCCCTTCATCTGATTCTGCGCACCATGCGCCACAAGAGACCACGGGTGAACATGTATGATGGAAGCTCTCGGGCAGAGGAGGCTGAGAAGGAGTTGCTAAGAAAGGAACATCGCGCCATAATCGACTACGTAGAGACTTGCGGCCTGGGGATTGAACGTGCGACGCCTGAGGAGGTTGCTGCCGCAAACGAACTCTACGAGAGAGTGGTAAACATGTTGGAGAGGTGAATATGGGTACTTTGACCTCCTCGAGAGAGCCGTGATTGCCCTTGGGGCCACCGAAATCAGCAGTGGACATTGTTCAGAAAGAATTCTACCTCATTTCACATCTGAACTGAGGAGAATGATACTGGAGCTCGATCGAGTGGCTATGCAGAACTTGCTTCATGATGCTCCCAATTCGAACTCTTTTGAATCCAGTTCAGTCCACAAAATACGAGACTACAAAGTCGAACTTAACAATCATCACTTACAAATATGCTGCATTCGAGATCGTTCACCACCACCACTTCCCTTGCGTATGCGGTATACGCCACCTAACAAAATGCTCGAGCTCCTCGCGATGCGATGACCTTGGATCCTTAGTCTCCCCTGCGTCTGTTATCCTATCGTAGGGATGCCATGCCCCTTGCCCGAAAGGCTTAGGGATGAAAGTGCCTTCCGGTGGCGCCTAAAGGGTCAAGCTGCACCTTGCCAGGATGTTTCGATAGCGGAGACCCAACATACACGGGAAGGCTCGGTTTACCCGCGGTCTAATAACAAAGAATGTACTCTTAAGTATGCACAGTAACGAATCCGCCAAGGATTCAGGCCCAAGCTGTCTGAAAAGGTGGCCGAGCTGTCCGCTCCGGTAACGGGCCGGTTGCATACCGATTGACCAATTCACAGTTTCGATGTCAGGATTTCCAGACATCATCAAGTTCGCTTAAAAGCTCAGATCGGCCCGAAGCCTGGGAAATCTGCCAGGGTATAAGATGTATCCTTCGACGCAGAACAAGCGGTTTTGCGACTCAATATACGTGTCAAGATTTGCAATCATGAGCCAGTCGGAGCATCCAGATTCCGAGCACACGATAGAGCCGACAGAGATGTCTTCGCAATATAGCGGCGAGCCTGTCAAGAATGCAGAAGACGTCCGCGCTGAGTCATCATCACCAGAGAAGTCGAAAACCGAACAACCCCCCAGCGAGGCTCCATACACTGTCCTAGACGAATGGAAGAAGATTTCCGTCATCATCACCGCATCATTTCTGGGCTTGGTGTCTCCCATCTCAGCCAGCACGTACTTTCCCTCTATCAACCAAATCTCCAGCGATCTCCACAAGTCGATACCTCTGATCAACCTGACTGTCACAATGTACATGGTGAGTTGGCATCGCGGCATTGCCGAAAACGGCCCGAAGTCACATCTAATGCCGTCTTCAGATATTTCAGGGGATCGCTCCGTCCTTTGTCGGGTCCATCTCCGACGCCAAGGGCCGGAGACCGGTCTACGTGTGCTGCCTGACCATCTACCTCGCCGCAAACATAGGTTTGGCCCTGCAGACGAACTACGCCGCGTTGATGGCCCTGCGATGCCTGCAAAGCTCGGGAAGCAGCGGCACCATCGCGCTCGCCAGCGCTCTCGTGGCCGACATCACCACGCGAGCTGAGCGAGGAAAATACATCGGATATGCCACAATGGGCGTGACCCTTGGACCGGCGATCGGACCACTGGTGGGGGGTGCCATCGCCGAGTCGCTTAACTGGCACTGGGTGTTTTGGATCCTGTCCATGCTTGCCGGGGCGTTGATCTTGGTGGTCCTTTTGTTTCTGCCAGAGACGTGCCGAAGTGTAGTCGGAAATGGCAGCGTGCCTCCCCCCAAATGGAATCGCCCACTCCTGCGGTCGAAGGGCCCTTCGATACCTGCAATGCCTTCGACTTTGACACCTAGGCGCCGGCGGCCAAGTCCTCTCCAGTCTCTTGAGCTGATTTGCCACAAAGAAGCCGCCATCATCCTCATCTATGGCGGGCTCATGTACGCTGGGTATTTTCTGGTCCTCAGCACGCTGACGTCCCAGCTTTCAGAGCGCTACAGCATGAACGCCCTCAAGATCGGGCTCTGCTACCTCCCCATTGGCATGGGCAGCCTAACTTCGCGCTGGACGTTGGGAATATTGCTGGACCGAAATTTCAAGCGTACAGCCGCAAGAGAAGAGATATCGATCGTGGCCAACAGGCAACAGGATGTCGACAACTTTCCGATCGAGAAGGCCCGTCTTCAAGTATCGCTTCCATGTATCGGCCTAGCTTGCCTGACCATCCTGGCATACGGCTGGGTTATGGAATACAAGACCCCCTTGGCTGGTCCACTCGTCGTGCTATTCTTCCTCGGCCATTTCATCACCGGCAGTTTTAGTTCTTTCAACACACTGATTGTCGACTTATATTTTCAAACCCCTGCGACGGCGACCGCATCCGGCAATCTCGTCCGGTGCCTTCTCGGCGCGGCGGCTACGGCCATTGCGTCGCCTCTGATCAATGCCGTAGGCATAGGATGGGCGGGTACTATCGTTGCTGCGGTATGGATTGTCTTGTCACCGTTTTTGTGGCTGGTGTATGCGAAGGGATGGGATTGGCGAAAGAAGAAGATCCAAAAGAAGCGTGAGCGAGAGGAACGGGCGAGGGCTCGGCTTCAGCCCAGTACGTCCAAGCAGTGTTATCACCGCATGCCTTGACCGTCGTGCTTTCGTGGCTCTCGACCTTGTACGGGGCGGAATTCAGCTTTCGTTGGGCTGCTTCACTATTTCACGTCATGTCGGATCAACTGCCTGTGGAGATCTCATTTCGTGCCTTCAACCCGAGGCAGCACTGCCTCGGTACTTAATACACCAGATGCGACATGGGTGGCAATACCGACTGGACAAGCATACGAGAGGTCTTCAACCTCCCATTTCGGAGTATCCTTATTAGCCTAATTATTGGCTCCAAAGATCAATCTACCTCCAAAGCACAAAATGCTCACGATGTGTAGTCCTACGAAATTCTGAAGAGAACATGCTCTCACGTCTGACCAACCTCCATACAGCACGTTTGTCCGTTTAGAAACTTGGCTTAGTGAGCCTGTATCGACTGTGGTTGCGTCGGTAAGGATGACGAGGAAGAAGTAGCAGCAGCCTCCTTTGCCGCAAACTTGGCTGCTTCCTCTGCCTGGTCTTCGCGGATCTTCTTGAGTAAATCAGGATACTGTTCCGCCGGGTCAGCCAGCTCCACTCTTTGCAGGTTGGTCACGCAAACTTACCCATCTCTCGCCGACATCAGGATGACTTTTGACCCTGTTCATCAGCGTGGCCTCGCCTAGCTTGCTCCACATGCCCTTGATGAATGTGAACTCGATGTCGTCCAGGCGCTGACCACCTCGCCTCGCTAGAATGTCGGCGCGCAACTTCTTCACCGACTCGGGCACATCCATGCTCTCGAACGTCGCGTCGTAACTCACACCCTGGAAGAAAGGGATGCTATATCGAGCGCCGGATCCTCGGGGCGGGCTCTGCACTCTGTGCGTTGTGGACTGACACACGCCTTGCGTCAACGCCTCCATGCCCTGACCGATGGCAACTACAAACGTCCCGTCCATCGGCGGACAATCCACCCATTCGCCCTCCGCGTTCTGTACCTGCAAGCCGCGGTGGTGGCTCGCCTGTAGGAGATAGCTGCTCAGCATACTGTCCTTGTGCGGTCCGACGCCCTGAGCTTCGCCCTCGACCCCCAGCTCCTCGAGGTCCGGATACTTGACGATCTTGAGTTTATGCTGCTGCGCTTCGTCGAAGAACTGGGCAAATGCGTCGGCGGGCAGACCGATCGCTTCGGCGATCAGACTCGTGAATTCCATGCTCATCTCGCCCATGCGGGCCATGTACTCTTCGTACACCTCGCGGAATCGCGGGAGAGCTTTTGGGTCCGGCCACTGGTTCGGGGCTAAAAGGTTACGGTACAACGGGTCATTTGGGCCAGGTGCCTCATGCGGCGTGGACAAGTCGATCTGTTCGCGCCAATCGGTCTTGAAGCGAGTGATCTCCATCCCGAGTTTGCTGTAGCCGAGAAACGACGGGGCGTTCTTCATTTCGATCGCGAGTTTCTTCTCCTCGGGGAGCTCGAAGAATGATTTCCCCAGTGATATCACCTCGTCGATCAACGCGGGCGGAACACCAGTGTTCTTGATATATAAAAACCCGACTTCCAGCAGCGCATGGCGGAGATCAGCTAGAAGTTGCGGCTTGGTGGCGGGGTCGCGCGCAAGAGACAAATCTAGGATGGGGATACTTGAGAACGACATTGTAGGCCAGACACGTGGAATGCCGTCAAACCAGAGCTGGATATGGAAGAGTAGGTGCGAGTTGTGAGATACAAAGAGAGTGTACAATGTTCGATTGACAAGATGTGGTTGATGATCCTTGCCGAGGATCACGCAATAGCCCCAAAGCGGAGCAGTGGAGACGGACTTGACCCACGAAAGATTCTCGACGAGATACGAGGGCCTTCATAATACCCTCTTCAGCCAGTGGCGTGATATAACTACTAGCTTAGTATTCGAGAGGTCTTCTTCCCGAAACACACGTGTATGGGCGGGCGATTGTTGAAACTGGTCCAATGATGCATTCTCGAAAATCATAATCTCATATCCAGATCACCTCTCACGGGCACACTCTCTCTCCATGTGCAGAGAGACGACGTCCTGAGGACTGGGTTCACGAGTCCAGGAAGATCAGCTCGCCGTCGTTGTTGCTGATACGTTCATCCAGCCTGATATAATCCCTATTCCAACCGCCACCGCCCGTGCCCAATTCAGCTTCCAGGACCCGTCCATTGTCAACCAGTCTCACGTTCCTCGAACTGGCTGCAAAGTTACCACCCCTGGCCCAGACGAAGTGTCCATGTTGGTTCGAAAGGCAATTATTCAACGAGATCGAAGACAACTTGTGCTGGCCGTGGACATCGGCGCACGACGCGATCAAGTCGTAGTCCCTGTCCAGCGTGATACTGTTCGCCGAGGCGGAAAAGTTGCCGCGCATGTGGCCTTGGGGTTCTCTCTGTTTCGGCTGCTGCTGCTGCTGTTGTTGTTGATGCTGTTGGTATTGATGCATTCCGTACGCGCCTGCACCCACGCCCGCAACTGCAGCCGGTGCGGCCCAGCCGTGGCTCTTCTTCTTTTTCTTCTCGTCGTCCGAAGACGAACTCGACGATGACGACGAGGAAGATGAAGAGTCGCGACGGAGACCTGCAGGGCGATCCTTTTTCTTCTTTTTGTCCTTCTTGTGCTTCTTGTAGGCATCCTCGGCCACTGAACCGGTGATCGCACCACCTATAGCCCCCAAGAAGCCGTGGTTGACCTTATGTCCGCCGTAGGCACCCAGCGCGCCGCCGGCTAAAGCACCCATCAAGCCGCGATCCTGGGAGTTTGGATCGTTGTGGTCAATGGGAGCACCGGGGCCCGGTTGTGGTGGGTACGGGCCTGTATGCGTCGGCGGAGGGCCAGGAGGAGCATCGTAGCCTTCGTACTGTGGTTGCTGGGGTGGCGGGTACGGCGAATGAGACCTCTCGGGACCTGCTTGACCATAGCCGTATCCTCCTTGAGATTGGGACTGATAATAGTCCTGATCCGGTGCAGGCGACGAGTACTGGTCCGCATATTGATTGTATGGTCGCTGATAACCTGGCTGAGGAGAATGACCATACGGGGGCTGTGGGTAGTCTTGATTCGCGGGACGACCGTAATCGTAGGGCTTGTTATGATCGTAACCCTGATCGTAAGACTGATTGTCATATCCTGGAGGCGGGCCGGACTGGTGCTGCCATGATTGCTGCTGGTGGGCTTGATCTCCGTACCCGCCGTAGCCATACTCGCCAGGTCGGTCGTTGTAGTACCCTTGATTAGACATGGCGCCGAGGTCAGTCAGTCTGCTTCCACCAGTTTGCCAGGCGTGACTTGACAGGAGCAAGTGATGAAAGACGAAAGCGTCGTTCGAGGACCTCTTATGAATGAAAACTGAGGCTCGTGAGAGGGTGGAGCTGAAGCTGAAGATTAGGCATCGTTGTTTTTCAGGCCCCGTCACGCTTGGAGTTGGAATTGTGGCTGTGAAACGGCCTGTCACCGCCACTGCGCCACAACATGGGCCGTGGTGTGAACCACATATTGAAATGAATGGCCAGAAACAACAACACAAGCCACACATCGATACAGCCGGCATGATAGTTGAGATTTCGGTGGACCTCGTTGGCTGGCTCATCTACATAGCCGGTCAGGGCAGAAGCTTTAGCTGACATCGGTCGGTCCGTTGCGTGCAAGGCTTTCTACAAGTCCTACGAACATCAAGACAACCGTGTCACTCTAGCCAAAAAAAGAATGGACTTTCAGGAAGGTTCCTGTCATCAGCGGTGCCGGTTCACTCGCAGTCTCTTGCCCTCAAATTTGACCACCGCTATTCCGGATGATGATTCCACCCAAACTGCGTCGCTCTCAGTACCGAAACGACGTGCCACTAAATCGAGGGCTGTAGCATCCGTTTGTCTAGAGAACATGTTGATCGGGGAAAAAATTAAGGCGTTGGTTTTCGGTTAGCATAATCACTAAAGATTGGGAGTTCGAATCTTCCCGCGGTAATGGTCTCGAGCAGAGTCGGAATCGCAGGCGAGATGCTTCAAGCTCGACCAGTCCATGTCAGCTTGGTGATAAAGTCTCGATCTTCACGATTCCATTGACAGTCCTCAACCGTGCCCCATGGCGTCTGCTCTTGCTCTCGTCAACAGAACAAGCGAGTGCCTCATTCCTGTTTCTTGTCAACATTCTTGTTGAATCGCCGACCCAACGCTTTGAGCATCAGCCCGAACCAATATACGTTGAGTCCACTAAGTAAGGTGTTACTGATGATATAAGTGAGCAGGAGTCCGGACGGGAAGTTGTCGTAGCAAAAGTCTTGGACCGGTACGGCGATTTGGCTCCCTTCTGCTCTGACCGTCATGAAAGCATCCAAGCACTTTCCAGTTCCGACATCACCCCATGCCCGCCATGTATCCGCCATCAGGTTGATTGTTTGGTAAGTGCCCCATACCAATCGGCAGCCAAAAAACGTAATGATGAGACAAATGCCATTCCAGAGTTGGTAGCGCCCACCGGCCTTCCCAAGTTTGTCTAGGAACCAATGGATGTTGAGGAATGGCGTCGATAATTCATAAAGGACAAAGTTGACGCCGTAGAAATTCGCAAACGGCCGCTGGCACCATCGTCAGTAACAGCGTTGTCTTCCCACCCAGCGGCGGGACAACCGGAGCCTACTCACAAAGCCAAGGCTGGTAATCATTAAAGCAGACAGCGCATGAATGAGGGATGTCGGCCCCAATATCTGGAAATGTTGGACGCTCACCACGACATCCCACAGGAAATAGCCCGCGGCAAACGCTTGAGCGTCACCACTGCCCCTGGAGTATGCCCACAGTCTGGCATCGTAGTCAGTGTTCTGTCGGGACGTGTCCTGGGTAATAACCCTGAGGGCCTGGTAGCAAATGAAGGTTGCCTGGATGAAGGACGTGACTCGCACATTCCAGTTGGTCTTCGTCCTTCTAGGCAATTTGCCGTATGTCTGCGGGAGGAAGACGAGTGAGAATGCTGGAGCGACGATCAAGAATAAGACTTCGTATGTCAGGAAAGCAATGAGGACTTGATGCACATGAAGCGGTAAGCTTGCGAGATGGTATTGCAGACAGAACCGTGTAAAGGATCCATGTAGAGTCATCGGATCTAGAGGCACTGAGCCGCCTCCATCGGTAGAAAGCATGATGCTGGTATTCACGCAGGCAGAACATTTATTGCTTCCCAAGTAGTCGAGGAGAATATCCTCGCGTCAATACCTCAGCTGTCGTACGAAGCGGAGCAACAGACCATGTTTCGATGATGTCAATGACTGAGACGCTATCCGTGATTGACACGGACAAAGGGGTTCGGGCTGCTTCAGCTAAACCTAATCGCGGAAAGCCGTGGACGTGATGAAACAGGTCAAAGCCATGAGCAGAACATTTGTGTAACTTCGTATCCGTACGGAGTACTCCGTGCTCCGAGATGAATCTCCGTCGCATCAGGGCGAAGAGCGAGCGGACAAAAGGTCTGCTTGCAGCCTTTGCAGCTTGGAGTCAACGCGAAGATCTTAGCCGAATGAGTTTGCAAGCTTTCGTGTCTTAAGGCACGCTTGTTGAGTCGTCGATCTGGCCTATTGTTTCCTGCAGGCTCTCCCGTGTTGCTCGACCCGCCGCATGGCATACCCAAGCCCCTTAGTGTCCAGGACGCTTGATGCGAAGGTCGGCATCAATGCTTCATCAGTCTTGGTCAGGTTCTCCGGTGAGTCGAGGGGAAAGGGTAAAAGGAACACGTCGTTACGCTTGTTTGGCAATGGATCACGCAGTTGGACATGCGGTCCATTTTATCCAACACGAGAGTCATGAACTCTAACGCGATCTAGGGCACATCCGAAAACGTGATCCCGATGTCACCACCAGGTACACCTACGAAATACCATCATTAGCGCATTGATCAAGTGCTCGGTTTTGTTCTTGAGACTGGCAGAGGTGGCTACGCGAACAAGTCCACCTGAGGAGCGGAGCCCCTTCGTTGTCCACGTATCCGTCCAGGCCTAGAATCGCCACCATCGCTGTGTTCGAAATCGTTTCCCCGATGATGTGGCCTAGCGCTCTGGGCTTCGTGGTGAGGTGTATCAGACTCGACGTTGTTCGTCCCTATGTCCGTGTACAGCAGCATCGTACCTCGCTTGGTTGTGCAGCCGTACGTCGATCGGCATGCTCGGCTATGGACTCCGGTCGAACATCCTGTATGCGGTCAAAGTGGGAGTCATGACCCTACACTCGACGCACGTTGTGGTGATGCGTTTGCTTACAGCCGTCTTGACATGTGCGTGCATCAGGTTCCTGGCCTGCTTTCAGCTAATCCTACTTCCGGGAGGCCGTTTAGCAGGTGAAACTGGTCGAGCCATGACCAGGACATTGAATTAATTGTGTAACTTTGTCCGGTGTACTTCGAATTCAATAGGGCTATTTCCACAAAATGTTACCTGAGGTAAGAGTCATTCCTTGTTGGCAATCACTACGACGAGGTCGAGAGAGGGGGCTTCACAGGCGTAAAGCGGAGGCAGCGAACCTGGTGACGACGACGAAGCCGAGATTCAATACGTAGTGGAGGGAATACAGGGCCATTGCACGAGGAAAGGCGCCATAGGATATCACATCAAATGGGTTGTTGGCAGTCATTAACTTAGGTGTCTCAGCCATGCGTTTGCATTGTTCCAACTTCTATCTATTGTGGTTCACATTGTCACCAAAGCCATTAACTTTCTCAGTCACAATCTCCCAGATGTCTCAGCTGAGAAACTATAAAGCAACCCTCATTTCCACTTGGAGAGACCATTTCTTCAGACATACCACCACCTGCAGAAGGTGATCATGAAGATGTATGTATATATATACATATCTCAACTCATCCTTCGAGAGACAAAGAGACAGGAAGTATGTCTTGGCTTTCGTTCTTTGCTCTGGTTGTATGATCTTCACAGATCCACTTACAGTATCTACCACCGGCTGGCCTCGTACCTGGATAGGTCTATCACTATGGGAGTGCCTCTAGGCAGTATCTCGAAGCACCAAGAAAAGAAGATTCGAGCCATTCGACTTCCCGATCTTTGTTACGAGGACTCCAACTACGCCTAGCCCCTCACAGAGACTACAAGACCGATTATAACACTCCTCTCAACTTCATCCTACGTACTGTGAAACACAAGAGACCAAGAGCTGCTTTCGACGACCCAACTGCATTAGCAGAGAAGGATATCTGGAGAAAGAGACACCGCAAGGCAATCGATTATCTGAAAGAGCCAGCCCTGGTTGCAAAGCCCCTCCCCTTCCTCCAGAGACCAAGAATGATCGCCAAGTGCTCTTTGGGATGCCCGATTCCTCCACTCGACTTCTCTAGCTCCTGTACGTGGACTATTAGTGGACTATTAGTGGACGGCAGAAGGGAGTCAGGTCTGGTTTCAGAATCCGCAGTCACAGTGTCTCCAATCACTAGCCGCGGAGAGAGCTTGAGTTTGACCTCTTCATGCTTCTCATCAACCGTGGCAAGGATAAGAACAACATGATTGAGATTCAATTCTCAAAAGCCCACCGTCCCGGGCGCGCCTAGTGATTCCGATCCACGGGAGCAACCACTGGGCGGTGGCCGCCTACGACCCGGCTCGACACGTTGTGCAGTACTGGGACTCCCACTACGACGCTCGGACGTGCGAGAACAGATCCTCCTCGAAGGATAACCACAAGACGCCGCACACAAGATCATCTTTCAAGACTACGGGAATGCGTGAGTTAATCATCACATCACGAATTAAATTCCTTCTTAATAGCCTTTTAGTCAGTCCGCGCAAGAGACGACGCACGGCAAGGGAGGAAACCTAGCACACTGTCAGAGAGAATGAATAGCGCACTGCGGTTCCTGGAGGAGTTGCTCCACCTGAATCGACAGCATGTCGTGGTTCCAGAGTTTTGAGATCGTCCTCCGACGCGCGGGACCCTGACCAGCCAGATCCAGACGAACACGGCCGACAGCGGGATCTTCGCTATCGAAAACGCCCGCCTATTTATTGAGGCTACCGGCAACATCGACACCGCCCCGATCACGACCGCGTTGCGCTCGCGACTTCTGGACGAGCTGTTTGCCTATCATTGTCGGTTCCAGGAGATTCCCACCCAGGCAGACGTCCAACGAATGGGGCATGGCCACTGAATAAAGGTGAGGTGATGGCTGCCTTACGGTATGATCTCTTTTCTTCCCTCATCGCGAAAATGTCTCAAAACGGTATGTCCAAGGTAATGTTTCCAAGGTGGATCGGATGCTGATACTTTCAATAATAGTAGATATCACCATGGCCAACGGCCTACCCAAAGGTACTTCCCTGCACCACTCACATGAATGTGCTAGAGCCATTGCTAACACTGGTGGAGGCATCGAACTCCCAACGTTTCCGGTGGAGATATGGGTCGACCGCCCGAAGGGCGAATCTCTAGACGACAAGGACGACGAGGACGACGAGGACGACGAGGACGACGAGGACGACGAGGACGACGAGGACGACGAGGACGACCAGCTTCTGCTGATCCTCCGCTATAGGCGGGAGGCCTTGCTCGCGCTAGTCAACTCCGTGTGGTAAGCAATGCCGAGCATGCTGTCTTGAGAATCTTGTTGCTGATAGTTTGTCGTGTAGGGTTGACCAGCTCGGGCAGGTCGTGTAGCCCAGGAGGGGGAGGGGGGGATCTTTTGATATTCGAAATCCTTATCCTTGAACCATTCTGTATGATTCACGGACGGCTTTTCACTGATACGTCCCTTGACAGATCTCGCCACACCCCCGAACCAGAGGCAAACGCGCCCGTTCGTCTTCCCCTGGCTCGCGCGCTCCCGCCGCCGGGGCCTCAGTCGTTGCCGTTGTTATACCTTCCAAGAGGAAGGCACTTGCGGCTTTGCCCGCAAACACAGCTGGGGTGATCCCCCAAACAGCCAAAAGAGACAAGCTCAAAAAATAGAAAAAGAACAAAGAAAAACAAAAAAAGAAACTCATTTTGAGTGCTGTTCTTTTTGGCTTTTTGGGAGCTCGTACGCCTAGCTCCCTTGTGCTGCTCCCACGTTCAGATTTAAGCTCGGAAGTACGTTCATTCTACGGCAAGCAAGCAACAACTCGTATGCGTGACCTCGAGTTACACAGAGCGCCCTTTTATCACACCGATCGTGTTTCCTCCGCTGTACAGATTGCCATTTATACGGAGGAGATGAGAACAGTGTTGCAGGTTCTACAAGAGGTGGAAGACACCCGCGACTGGCTGCCTAACAACTTGGTATCTGGCAGAGAACTGTACTTGGAGGACATCCCGGAAGGCAAACCCGGCCACTGTCTCGCTGTCCTCGGCACAGTAAGTATTTGCGCCTAACCAGCTTTCGTAACGACCTGATGATGACTGATATCACTGTTTTAGTCTCTCACCGACATCAGAAATAGTGCCAATCAAGTTCTGAAGGACCGCCGAAAACTGCTGGCAGATTTCAGCATCACATGCCCAGCAAACGCCACAATCCAAGAGCAAGTTGAGTCGCTGCCATCAGAGCCCATTTAAGTGCAGCCATTGGCCAACTGAAATGTGGTTTCCGATCCTTCGCCCAGCAAGGCCATGAATCCCATGCTAACCTATCACGAATAGTCTTCCAAACTCATCCGGTCAAGTGGGCGGCCCCCAAGGGGGAGAATCTCGAGAAGCCTTCCGTGGTGCACACCAGGAGGGAGGGCCCCGTTGCTCCACGGGGCAAGCCGCTGGAGAAGGCGGCGGGGAGTGTGTGGTGAGTTCACCATCGGCATTCCATGCTCAGGAACTGAATGAGGTTTTACAGGGTGAACGAGTTCCCCCAGTTGAGGAGAGAAACGGGCGAGGAGGGGAGTGTGGGAGATCAGAACAGGTATTGCCTTCCCTTCTCTCATCCTCACCACTCTGATCATTATTGGACTTACTAACACCTCTTCGATAGATCACGCCACACCCCTGAATCCGAGACAAACGCCGCCTTTTACTCCCCCTCGGGCTCTCGCAGTCGCTGCCTCTGTCTTTGTTGCCGTCTTGGTTGCCGTCTTGGTTGCCGTCTTTGTGTCTTCGAAGAAGATTGTTGCGGCTCTGTCCGCAAACACAACTGGGGCGACTCCCGCCGCTCACCACCGCCTCTGTCGTTATTGCTGTCGTTGTGCCTTCGAAGAGGAAGGCTCTTGCGGCTCTGTCCGCAAACATGGCTGGGAAGCCAAAAAGGAAAATCTAAAAAACAAACCAGAAAAAGAACAAAAAAATGAAGAAGAAATAAACTCACTAAGAGTGCTGTTCCTTTTGGCTTTTTGAGAGCTTGGACGACTGTTTCAGCTTCGCTGTTGGCCTCGGTTCGACACTTTTGGCTTTTGGGGAGCTTATACAACTTCATCGCGCTCTCGTTGTGTCGAGGGTTAGTCATGTGACAAATATCAGCATCTACCCGAAAGGTGAACCCGCTGCCAGAGGCTGCCTCAGGCATGAGAGCACATTCTTCGATGCCAAATTAGTGCGTCAGATAGACAGCATTCACACGCCACCTATTGTGATAGGTCAAGATGTGTGCACCTCTCCTTGAGAGGGGGGTCCTATGTTGTGGCGGCCACAGAGCCAAGCGGGTATGCAAGACTAGGGTAGGAAGGACTGGAGATTGTTCTTTTTCTTCTTCATGCATGTACACAAACAATAGTGCATAGAAATGTACTGACTTCTCATGTTGCGCACATAACGGTACAGACAGCCAACACCACTCAAGTTCTCAGTGTTCTCTACAGGTTCCAAGTTCAGCGCGGATAACATTGCACAGCACACCGAGTTCTAGACGCGTGCTGGGTGTATTCCTGAGGAACCCTACGTCCTCCGCCCTTCCCTGTCGACAGCATGCCCTGAGAGATATCTATCCCACGGGGTTGGCGAGGCAAAACAAGTGTTGTAAGGCAACAAGAGGGCGCCCTGCAAGTGAATCTCTACCTCCTATCTCATGCCACCTGATTGACGACAGCCCTGTGCACCTGGCACTTCTCTGTCTACTCCTGTTATACTATCTCGCGGAAATATCCAAAGCTGACAATCGTGATTCGCCTGTTGAGTTGCCCAGCTCGTCATTCGATGTGCCCACGATGTCCAAACAAAGACGCGAAAGGGGGGAGATCATTCGGTAATGGGTACTTCAGATAAACCTTAGGCCTAAATGCAGGCTCAGGCGTTCGAAATGCCCTTTACCGCAGCCAGCCAGTGAGTCGAGGGGAAAAGGGAAAAAAAATGGGTCAACTGGCTAGGGTTAGGGTTACGCGTAAAAGGCTGGCATCTCGGCGAGGAGCGGTGCCTATGACATGAAACTTGGTGCCCCTTGTGCGTGAGAGCTCAGACAAGCTAGAGTGACCAAGAAAACCCAAATAAAGCCGAGCGTTCCGGCCCCAAAAGATATAAACCCAAAAAACCGCGAAAAAAAATTTAAAAAAAAATCTAACGACCGCGGGAAGATTCGAACTCCCAATCTTTGGTGATTACGCTAACCGAAAACCAACGCCTTAACCATTAGGCCACGCGGCCGCGTCTTGGCACACTAAGTTGTGTGGTTAAATGTCTTGTTGGGCGATTTCGACGCCCAATTTGGAGAAGAAATTGCCAATTAGACCTTATATACTATTTTTACATAGAACCAAGTGGAGAAACTTCATCAGCGGGGCTGTATGTCCCCACTATGACGTCATGCATTCCTGGGTAACTGCCGTAAGTACAGTTCCGGAGGTACCTCCTTAAGAAACACTTGCGAGGCTGAGTACATATAAATGATATATGTTTCCACTCAGCGGCGTCTTAGCTCTTAATGAGCCTAGGTGCTGCTTTGACACGAGCATGAAACGTCAACCCAAACTACATGGTTGTCATCGCTAGAAGGTAGGGAGTCGTCAAGTGGTACCGTGACACATCATAAATTTGTCAGAGTAGTTAACCTTACTAACAATGGATTCAAAAACTGTCAGACGTTTCAAGGGCAGGCATATTGTTTGACTAGCATGACACCATGCCCCCGTTTCATATTGATCGAACAAGTATCGGAAAGTAGTCGGAGTACCAGTCGACATGGAGTCGGCCTCACGGATCACGTTCATTTCTCGGTGCGGAGTACTATCGCACGGCGACTCAAGACTACGTAAACCAATATCAGGAGCTCCTGAGGTCTAACCTCGTAGTGCTTGTGGGATTCATGGTAGGCTTGTAATCCTCCGAGCTGCGTAGTACTCTGAATGCCTACACATATACAATGGCACAAAATTGTGCCGAAACAGGCGACGTAGCAGATGGAGCAACTGGTACTCTGTACAGAAATCCTACGGTCCTCGGTCGGCATGCTTGACGAGCAGCATCCGGGCCTTCGGCTGTGGGAGGGAGGAGTCCCATGATTGATGACCGTGGTGATCTCTCCAAATGATAATGGAACATTGATATCAAAGGCCGTTGGTACGTATATGTATGAAGGTTTTTAGAGTGCAAACGCGGACTTCCCAGACATCCGGCAATCCCAACTTTGCAAAGATGGCCTCTACCTAGGCTTCAGTCTAGGGCGATCTTCAAAAGGATGCATATCATGCTGTGAACCTCACTCATTCGATCCAGATGCGCTGACTTCGAATATCGCTAATCACAACTTGGAATCTCTCTCCTTCCGATCTGTGAGATGGCCCATCTGGTCATCCTCGATGGGGTCGTTGTCGGTTATTTCGGCCTTGAGGCTAACTGGGTCGCCGAGCATTGATCGATTGCCCTTTTTCGCTTCTTGAAGATCTTGCTGGGCGACGTCCTTGAGACTTTTACCGCCGTATTTGTTCCGTCGATCCCATTCAGACGGTTCCGTGACGGACTTTTCCGCCTTGAGAGAGACGGGATCTCCGAGGATCGTTGGGTTGGATCCGGCAGACTGTCTGAGCGTCTTGCCGGCCATTGGGGGTTATAAGGCTTGTGTTGTATGATTCTTGTAACAAGATGCGTAGTGTCCCGAGTTGTATTTACTCGTTCATGAAATTGAATCGCTTGATACCTCCAGCATTGATAGAAGACGATTGAAATGCCTACCTAAACCTGGATAAACCCCTATTGGGGGACGATAGCATCGATGCCAAGATCTGGGCGTAATGTGGTCGTTGTGACGTCTTCCATTCTCCTTGTCAACTTGCTTTTGAGTCTTGTATGACTCGTCTATCAGGCATGCGTGATCTTTGACACGCGCCATGCCGAGGTCCCCAGGTCACTCGGATATTTGTAGAGCTTGACATGTCAGTTTCAAGGTGCTTTCGATGGCTCCCTGACATGTGTGGTCATCATCGTGATACAAGGAGTATGGTAGGAGTTTGAGAGGGTGCTTTGCGAGGGACAAGGGATAGTGGTTGTTCCAAGCCGTGCATAGTGGAAGTTACTTCCCTATGCAATGTTAGGGTTTCTCCGCCGTAGACTCTCGTAATGCTCTCCCATAATTGCGCCCTCACATCTCAACGCAGCTTGCCGCGAAATGTCCCCGCCGAACATGGTGGATTTATCGCCGCTTTTGAAGGCCTTGTTCCCCTCGATGCCAAGTCCCTCCCGTCGTCCCTTACGGGTGTGCTCCAGTACTGTAAGAGGCCTAGCGGAGCTTGGCAAACTATCGCAGCTTGCGGGCCGTCCCTACCGTAGTTACTCTTGACTGCCCGTTGCACTCAGGACTACGGTGCAGCGCCTTATGAAGGCGAGTCGACAAGCAAGCTACTGTACAGTAACGCCACAGATCTAATGCATCAGTCAGTCATTGACATGATCAAGCACGCGCGCTGATGTCACTCTACGCCGACAGCCCATTGGTGAGCACACGAGATGATATCCGTCTTTTCAAGATTCGACAGTCCTCTGGCGAGAGACTTGACTGTACTGTCCAGAACTTTGGCCTCGATGTCGCTCCTAGCTATCGAGCGCTGTCGTACGCCTGTGGTTCGAAAGACACGCCGCATGTTGTTCACATTAACACCAGACCACTGCACGTACGCAGGAACCTCTTCAAGTTCTTACTGAAGCTCAGATGCGTCCATGCTGACGAATGGCTTTGGTGTGACGCCATCTGTATCAATCTGGATGATAAGCAGGAGCGCAATCACCAGGTTCGACTTATGAATGAGATCTATCGGCGAGCATTCTCTGTTGAGGCCTGGGTAGGAGTCGAATCTCATAACAGCAACGCGACTCTGCAGTCTGTACGTTCGCTGGCTGGCCTTGCAGCACAAAATGAAGCTGTACGGGGTGGTCTGGCAGACACTTTGAAACCCACAGTCTGGAAAGGTCTGGCCGACCTCTCACGACGCACCTATTGGACACGAATATGGATCGTCCAAGAGCTCACCGTTGCTGTTGACGCTGTGGTACACTGCGGAGCCGACAGCGTTCCGCTATCAATGCTAGCTGCTGCTTGCAAATTTCCCCCAGATCAACTGACAATATGGGCTTCGAAACTCTGGCAGCTGCCAGCTTCAACCAATCGCCGGACGGCCGAAGCGCGGCGGTTGGCAGGGCGACAGCTTCATCATAGTACCATGTACAGCCTTTTCCGTGCTCAGCGACGCTGGCCAGGCCACATTGACTCTTTTGCAGTCCTTTCCACACGGTATATTGATTCACAGTGCGAAGACGATCGAGACAGGGTTTTTGCCCTGCTTGGGATTGCAAAGGAGGTTGTGCTGAACTACGGTTTCACAGCAGACTATGAGAAAGACATGGAAGAGACCTTCTTCGCGCTGGTGGCTTGGGGCGGCTCCGGTCCTGTGGCCGTTCACTCGCGTCTTCGCTTCACAGAGCTAGCTGCGAGTATCATGGGCCTTCAGTGGTCAAATTTTCAGTTGGAGTCATTGGGGCTAACAAGTGAGAGGACTACTTCCACACAAGGAGAAAGCACACTGAGAATGACTGTATCGTGTCGATCATTTGGAACTGCCGAATTCGACGCACGAGGTAAAGCCAAGCTGCAACCAGAGCTGTTTCAATCAGAACCTATCACTGTCTGTCTACCCCATGTAAGGGCTGGAGTAGTGCCAAACTCGGTGATCCTTGACGTCTTTGGCTTTCCTACCTCAAATGTCATCCTTGCTTGTCAGAAGACCAGAGAGCTATCATGGACAGTCGTCGCAAGGGTCTACTCAAGCGACCTGACAGAGGAACACGCCCAACGCTCTTGGCATTACGGCGGTGTTGAGGTGAAGCCAAGTATCTTTACGGGCTTGCGCATACTTCGTGAACCTGGCCCTCGCTACTCTGTCCAGCTTGAGACCAGAGCACAGTTTATGAACATCCTTCTTGACAAGGTCCCTCCGGATAAGAGACGCCCCGAGGGACCGGGACCTAGACGGACAAGTAGGAGAGGTGGCCTAGGCGGAGGCGGGACGTTGGTCAAGCTACAGACTGTTGACGATCATGGCTTGTCGGAGGCTCTGTCAGACATGGAAATAAGGGGAAGTCTTCAGCTGCCGAGAGCTGAGAGTGAAGAAGAGGAAGAAGAAGACCTAAATGATGAGGATGAGAACCAATATACGGCTCACAAAGCTGACTTCGAGAGGCTTAAGCGCCCGTCAGACACGTTGGCGAGGGCCCGAATTACGAAGCCGCCAATTGACGAACCCGTAAAAAATGGTCGAACAACCGAGCACAGGAATTTTTCAGTGGGCCAGTTCTTGGATCCTTTCTGCGAACGCTTAATAGGCTCGAGCGAACCAAAAGCAATGTTAAAATCAGATGGCTCTGAGATTCCTGCGCTACCCGGAGCTCGTGGACCGTGGCTGAAAGAAGAACCGAGACTGTCTTTGAGTCTGCCGCCTCATGATTTCCCCGGATCAGTCAGCTTTGGTTAGTGTCAGGGCGGGAGACGAAGGACATGAAAACAGTGTACGCCTACTTTAGAGCGAGGGAGAACGGCGAGGAGACGATGGGAGAGATGGAGAGGGCATGTCGTTCCATTTCTATGGACCACGTCCGCAGCCGGACCACACATACGGATTCAAGTTGTCCGACCTTGCTGAGGTACAGTGAAGGAAAGCCAATATCGAGCCCTCCCCCCCCCCCCAACACAAGTCATACAACACTGTACGTGAAGATATCTATTTCCCCTTCCTGACCAGCGAAGCCAAATTGTTGGAAACCACAGTCTTTCAGATAGTCAGGAATGCAATACGTACCCTGGAAGCAGGCGGCATCTTGTTGTCATTCAACAGCCCTGAAGCACGTTGAACATGAGCAAGAGACATGTACATAGCTTGAGCAGCATCGTGACTCTGCAAACCTTTCCACACCTTGTTCCTGTCTTCGCCGCAGTGGCGTGGACTCTGCTCTCGCACATTTCTGCAATAAGCTCACAGGTACTCGTCCGACCTTGCTGGCGTGTCAAGTTCAAGTACCTCTGCCGGCCGCTCGTATCGCATACCTTCAGATACTGCAACTCTGCAGTGGCATCAAGACTCCAGCGACAGCGAGTGATCGGCTCGTTTTGCCCTCCTCACTGTGTTGTACATTGCAAGGGCAGCACCTGGTCTTGAATTCAGTTTGGCATCCCGTCACCATTGCAAGGGCAGCGTCTGCTGTTGAATTCGAGCTGGCATCCTGTCATCATTGCAGGGGAGACCGTAGCTGCGCAATTGAGCCTTGAATGGGTCATAGAACCACATCCACAACTGGATCCAGCTCTGGCGACTTCGAGGACGATTTGGAGACCATAACCCTGAGCAGTCTTCTTCAACTCCATTGAACATTTTTTCCAGGTCGCGAACAGGAGGATGATTGATATCGAAGGGCGCATCCGACATAGGATCGATAAAGAAGTGTCCATCCTCTGCCCGGTCCCTGTTGTCAGAGTCTCGACCTCCAAAAGACCGCCATATCTCGACTTCAATTTGGACGCCCGTACCGCCGCAGTCCAGTTCCACCCGGACTCGCAGGTCGGTGGCACAGTGACCACAGCTCAACAGATCCAGACCTCTCGCCCGGTCGCCAGAACAGCCTACCCGGAATCGGAACGCATATAACATGACCGCAGGGAGTGTGTCTGGAGTATGAACACAGCCGATTCTGGCGGTGAATTTATAGATTGCTGGTAAAAGTCTATTAGAGACAATTTGACTTATGTCGACTCGTGAAGTTAGGGGGCTCGATGGTTGAGTTAGGAGTGATACGGATAGCTTATGAACATTGTGAAGTAAAAGCTTCCCTCTGACGACGCGAGCGTCAATCGTCTTGGTAATGCACACGCCCTCGTTACACACGCCCTTGGGAAAGAGGGCACCGACATCCAACTCGCAGGTATGATTTAGTTGTTCGAGCTGCGGACCGTATCGCGAGCCTTGGGCAAATCCTCTCAGGAACGCGTCGACCATGTTACGATGGATCAGACCGAGTCCATGGGTCAAACACCAAGGTGCGCCCAGCCTCAACAACCTGTGGTCTTGGCTCTTATAGAAGTTAGGACAGAGATACCGCGATGATTTCTCCCAACGGTACAGCATATTACAGCTGTAGCATACCATCATCTCGGGGAAGTCCTCCGAAGGAAGCGTGCTTTTTCTGTACTGTTGTCTCGCCATTTCAGATCAAAGTGGTTGGAGAGGGCTTCGTGGTGCCATTTTGAGTTCAGGCTCATACAGGCGACAGAGCTCGTTGGCAAAAAGGAGACGATACCCAGCAGAACCTCGACTGGCAGTCTCTCCAAGGTCGAGGTTGCTCTGGCTTGGACTTGCACCGAGGGCGGACACTGGCACGCGATGGTTTGGACCTGCACCGAGGGCGGACTCTGGCTTTGCGACATTCGCAGTCGTGATGAGATCAGATTTTTGAGTGAGAGAAGGGCATTCATGGTGTTGTCCGGAGGGTTGTACGTGGTAGAAGGTCGGGTGGGATGTTGACTCTACACCCGCGGGCAGGCCCCTGAATATGCTAGGGTAAAATACAAATATGCGTAGGCCGTAAAAAAATCCCTTGCGGAGCTGGATTGGTCGCGGTATATGTACTTGGTCCCTCGCTTAGGGTTGAACTCTGCGATCGGTTTCACCTTGGTAGGCCTCGAACAAGTTTTCTAGGAGGGGCGCGAGGAGGGTTATGAGGACGCAAAAGGTTGGACAAGGTGGGGGTGGACAGAGTGATCCTGATGAACCGGAAGTCTATATAGTCTAGTTACCTGTAGTTTTTCGCCTTGTACCAGGTGGAGAAAGCGCCATTTATCGTTGAAAAGTTGGTTTGTTCAGTCTCAAGTCTTAGGTTGTCGCTTACGAGTCGCACCTTGTTGAGAGACTAGTTGACAGTGTGTTTTGGCAATATTTATATGTAGGTAGATACAACAGGCAGTGATAACAACGTTGAGGAAGCTTCCGCAAGGAAGAACAATGTTTCGACTGCCAAGATACACAAAGTTATGTGATAGGAACTGGAGAGAGCGCAATCAGCTTCGCAGGTTTCTTGACTAGAAATGCACTCGATACTTGGTTTGCTGACACTCCGCGAGGATAAGTAGAAAGTCAAAAGAACATGTACCTGGCGACAATTTTTGGGGCTAGAGGCCATGGGCCAATGACTGGTCCGAAGGGGCCCCCATACATGACCAAAATGGGCAGGACGTCCCATCAATATTAACTGTACAATCGAGAGGAGATCAGCGCTACCAACTAGGCCGTATCAGGTCGCCTAGAGTCGAGATTCTGCGTAGCCGAGCCACCAACATCTTACTTCGCTGAGGTTGACCGCGGCCATCGCCAGGTACAGACGGAACCCCTCCCGCTCTCGTTGCGGGGATTGACGCTCCGAGGGCGAATCTAGCGAAAACAATACTAATCTTGAGATGAGAGAGGTCAGCATTTCTGAGCTGATCAGGGAAGACCGAGATAAGGTGCCTCCGTTCATGTGCTTTGAGTAGCTTGTGAGCTGATCAAGGTGACAAGTTTCCTCTCTCTTTGACCACGTCCAGAACAAAATTCTTGTGTGGTGCAAACAATCACACACAACTTGCCCTTGATTGTCTTTCGTCCAGCTCCACACTGGAACGAATAGCCCTGCTTACCTTGCTGCAGCAATGGGAAGTGCGTCAACACCAACGACAACGCGTGTCGCCGCAGCTCAATATGAGCCAGAATGGCTGGACCTACAGGCATCAGTGAAGAAGACGTGTGCGATCATCGACGAAGCAGGCAAGATGGGTGTCAAGATTCTGGGATTTTCAGAGCTTTTCATCCCGGGATATCCTGCTTGGGTCTGGTAAACTCTTCCCGGAGCCTGTAAGGATTAACATTGTTCTCATTGATGGCAGGGATCGACCAGTAGATCCGGTCCTGTCAACCAAGTATATTCAGAACTCGCTCGCCGTAGACTCGAGCGAGATGCGCATGATACAAGCGTGCGCAAAGAAGAACAACGTCGTGGTTGCGCTGGGCTTCTCGGAGAACGACCACAACTCGGTATACATTGCTCAAGCGATCATTGATTGCGACGGGAAACTCCTGATGACCCGCCGCAAGTTCAAACCGACGCACATGGAAAGAACGATCTTCGGCGACGCCTCTGGAAACAGCCTGATGAATGTCGTCTCCACGCAAGCTGGCAAACGCGTCGGGTCGCTTGCCTGCTGGGAACATACTCAGCCATTGCTCAAGTATCATACTGCCACCCAGAGAGAGGACATCCACTGTGCAGGTTGGCCGCCGCTGTCGCCTCATGGAGGACCAGAGTTGTGGTCCTTGTCCCAAGAAGGTGTGAAGAAGCTGTAAGGTGTGGTCGAATGAGCTGACTCTCCCAGGTTGTCTGAATCTATCGCGAACATATGCCATTGAGACGCAGACTTTTGTTCTCCATGCGACCACAGTTCTTGGGCAGAAGGGTATCGATGCAATGGGAACTAGATCGGCCATGCTCATGAACAGCCCGGACGGTGGATACTCGGCTGTCATCGGACCTGATGGTCGCATGTTGTCGGAGCCTCTCGAGCCGACTACTGAAGGGCTGGTAGTTGTGGACGTTGATCCCAGTATGTCCATCATGGCACGCAGCTTCCTGGATATTTGCGGTCACTACAGTCGACCTGACTTGTTATGGCTCGGTTGTGATACGAGGGAACGAAAGCACAAGGTTGAAACTCAGACTCTGCAGTCAGAAGAGAAGGTCGTGGAGCAATGAAAATGCATAGTGTGATTACTGCCACCACCGCAGACATGTACGTATGCATCGTCAAGCGTCGGCTTGCCTAGTAGTACCCGCGATCCATATTCACTTTGTCCGAAGCCTACCAGAACATCAGACCAATTGTTCCTATCACGGCAATACCCATGCCTGCCCACCCAGATATCCACACCTGTCTTCTTGTGTACATGGCGCCGGTGTCCCACACGAGATGTTTCAGCCCATGAACCAGGTGAAAAACGAAGGGGAAGCCGAAGAATCCTTTAATGGAGAGTCGAGTGCCGTACGATAATCCGCCGAACCATTCGACGAGATTCGCCGTATCAAGGTGCCAACCCATGAGTGGTGCGGCCAGATATGCTGCGCCAAATATGTATGGTGGTACAGCGATGATGACGGAAGCGTTTCGCATCATCGCTCCTGAAACCCAATGGATTTGTGGTTGGTATACAGACAGATGAGGTGAGATTGGTCGCAATCGACGTTGGGCCGCGACTATGTTTTCATGCTGCGATGCACTTAGTGATTGTAGCTTCGACTGGGGTCGCGAAGGTGTCATTGATGATCTGTACTCGATGAGAATGCGTCGTTCGGCCACTCAACGTCTACCACTGACCGGGACTGTATATTTGACCGTAGTCCGGCTGGTAGGAAATGTCCTTCTATCTTTTTCCGGGGACGGAAGTGCAGTAGAGGTCTTCGAAGCACTGAAATATTGTTATCATGGGCTGAAGGTGCTCGCTGGGAGGTATGGTTTTACCTGCTGTTTGACCAACAGATTTCATGGTTTTTGACGATGCGAGTGCCCACACTTCAGACCTCTGAAAAAGCACTTACTACCAATGTTCTCTACCCCTTGAGACTGAACATACTCGTACGGATGGAACAAGAAGCAGTCGGAAGTATCTTTGTACTTGTATCCATCCGTGGCTGCGAGGAGGTATACTAATTCAGCCAATCGGACTCCCTCATTTGCGGGAATAGCCGCGCTATACCTCTTTTGGGTGGCCAAGAAACTCAACTCTTCGTTGTTTGAAGTTCCGACGATTCGCTTCATCTTCCGACATTTCTTCACCTACACCCAGACCTCCATTCCTCCAAACTACCGTATCCGGTGCCCTGTTCCGAGGTTCCGAGATACATGGCGAATTCTCGGTATGAGAGAACGGTGCAGGCAAGCATGTGAGACATGTAGAGCGCGTAAGTCACGTTGTCTTCCCGGCAAACGCGCTGAAGTATGCAAAAGGTAAACCCTCGATGACACTTCTGCGCAATGCCATGCTGAACAGCTCAGATGTGAAGACGCTCAGATCAGTTGTGTACCACATGACCCTCTCAAAAGAAAAACGCCCAAGAGAAGGCAAGTTTCCTGAGGAACTCGCCGTGGTGACTTCTGACTTGATGCCAGGAAGAAATGTCCGCCAGCAGGAGCCGCTGTCAGTAACGGACAGTGCACATCAGCTAGCAATGATCCCGAAAATGACTCCGGGTGCACTTGCAATGTACCTCATGGGTGTTTGAAGAAGCCTCAGTGTGCATCAGACCTCTCCTTCGGCCAAAATCTGCTCACGACGCTTGAGCAAGACCCTTCTAGTGACAGGTGGCCGCGATTCCGAGCGTTAGGCGTCTTAGAATGCCAGGCTTACCTTCAACACTACGACGAATTGATAGCAGCCGTGCCCTTTGCGATCCGTAGGCCGAAGCTATCGCTCGCGGCTTTTATGACGAGGTCGCCGCTACTTCTGCTATCCATCATCTTGACTGCGAGCAGTTCGTGTCAGATTCTTGAATCAGAAAGCGAGAGCCTTTTCCGCCATATCCTGGCCGACCGCGTGGTTGTTCGAGGACAAAGGAGCCTAGAGCTTTTGCAAGGCCTCCTCACATATCTCATCTACCACCATCATCGCCATAACCATGACACTCAGCAATACTTTCAATTTCTCCAGCTGGCATTAGCCATGGCGGCTGATTTGGGTCTGTACAAGAGATTCAGCCATCCTAAACCATCTGTCTGGGCCTCAGAGAGTGACCTCAACGTATTGCGAGCGTTTTTGTTATGCTACTACCTCAGTTGCGGCGTCGGAATTCTTGGATACGACAGGCCGGACGGCATGCGATGCATTCAAAGCCTAAGGCATGCTGCCCAGTCTCTGGCTCAAAGATCGACCGACGGTTTCGACCGAGAGGCACCAGCTCTAGTCGAGTTGTTGTACATTCTAGCACAACATCGTGACTACCTGAATTGTCCTACAAGTAATCTTCCGCAATCCTGGAATCTCGCAGCGGCAATGGAAGTTTGGAGCGCTTCTTACCCAACCGCATCAACTCTGACGGCTATCAAATCCATGCAACATTTTGTCTATGTTTATGGCATGCTCAAATGTGCTCGTCAGGATACTTTGTCGAAACAGGACCGGGAAACCAGTTTGGAAACTCTTGCACTGGTATTGTCCCACGTCCTTGAAAGAGGGGCGATCTATCTGGTGCTTTTTGGCGTGGCTGAATGGGGTCATATCTTGACGACCCTTTTTCTACTTCCCCGTGTCGAAGGTTCTGCCGCAGATCACCCCGCTGGGACAAATGGGGTTCCTCTCACATTGCACTACGTAAGTCGATTTCGCCAGAATCTGCAGGAGGCAAGGACGCTCGCAACAAGAGACATTGTCTTGGGCACTCCTACTTTCTTTGGCTGGTTGGACAGGATTTTATGTGCTGTCGAAAGGCAGGCCGCTTTGCACCCGACTTCAATTCGTACTCGACAAGACCAAGACAGGGGCGATGAGTCGGCTTATGAACTTGTCAATGCGTTTATTGACCAAGAACCCAACCAGGGAGCAGTATTACCTAGAGGTGAAGACAAAGATCAAGAAGACTTCTGGAGCGATTTCATGTCTGAATGGTTGGACTGGTGATATCAACATTTGTAACTCTCCACTTGCGGGGTACTGCGTTGGGCGGATCTTATGGCATGATTCCTCGTCAGGAGCGTAACGCAGACAATACCTTTTGCATCTGTTATTCATGCAACAAATCGGTGTTATTCCATCGAGGTCCCGGCTAAGGTAATGTTCGTCCCTGTCACTCTTGTACACTGGTTTCGGCAGCACAGAAACTCACCTGAGAATGTTGTCAAGGGAGGTCTCAAGTACGTGAATTCTCGCCTGGCGTTTCCCTTTCCGCAATGGCACGGATGATTGACAAGGCCTGATCCACATTAAACTTATCGCAGTTGTGGCAGCCACTGCGAGACATCCAAAGGACATGTCCGCTTTGATCGACGGGCGTCGCAGGGCGGATTGATCTCTACGATCCAAGCTCGCTTCGTTAATTGTGCAGCCACAAAACTGATCTCGAGCTTCTCAAAGACATGACAAATTGAGAGTAGAGAATATCTCTGGGAATTGCATTGATAGTTTTCGGTTCGGAGCCGCGTTCCCACGCCAAAATCACATCACCATGACGAGTGTCAACAACGCATACAAGATCGACGACTTCATCAACCCTGTGTTGAAGCCTGCGCAGGCGACCACGGTCGAAATCAAGACCGTTGACAGTGACACTGACCAGATTGCATCCAGACCGAACGCCGATGCAAGTTCCATTCTCCATGCAAAAGTTGGACAAAAGCCGGCCACCGTTACTGGAAGCAAGGGAAGCTACCTATATACTTCTGACGGGAACGAGATCTTTGACGCGACCTGTGGCGCTGCAGTCGCCTGTATCGGCCACAATGATCCTCGGGTGAAAAATGCCATCGTGAAACAACTCGACACAGTGGAATACTGTTATTCACCGTTCTTCGCCACAGAGGCTGCTGAAAAATTAGCCCATACACTCACGGAATCGACCGGAGGTGAGATGTCCAAGGTATTCATCGTCAGCTCGGGTAAGTTGGGAACTTTGTCGCTAGTGGTACCTGCCAATTATGGCTTCACGGGCAGGATTCCCCCTGGGCCATGCTGATTCTGACCTCAAACAGGAACCGAAGCGATCGAGGCTGCTCTCAAATTGGCCCGACAATACTTTACCGAATTGCCCACCCCTCAACCACAGCGCACCAAGTTTATCGCACGCAAGCAATCTTATCATGGCAACACCTTGGGCTCGTTGTCTGTGGGTCACCATACCGGCCGTCGTGCCATCTATGAGCCCATCCTAGGCTCGAACGTCGCGCACGTATCGCCGTGCTATCCCTATCGTGATATGAAAGAAGGGGAGACGGACGACGCCTATGTTGCTAGACTGGCTCAGGAGCTAGAGAATACCTTCCAAAGCCTTGGTCCGGAGACGGTGTGTGCATTCGTGGCCGAGACCGTGGCTGGCATGGTAGGTGCTCTCTCCTTCTCCAAGGATACTTTACTGACCCTAGTGACTTTAGACCCTCGGCTGTGTGCCTCCGACTCCTGGATATTTGGAAGCCATGAGGGAGGTATGCCATCGGCACGGAGCGCTTTTCATTCTCGACGAGGTGATGAGTGGCATGGGCCGCACAGGACCGTTGCATGCCTGGGCCCATGAAGAGACAATGGTAGCACCCGATCTCCAGACCGTTGCGAAAGGTCTAGGAGCCGGATATGCCCCGATTGGAGCACTTCTCGTCAACAAACGCATCGTCGATACGCTCGCTCGCGGCACAGGTGCCTTCACCCACAGCCAGACGTATCAGGGTCATCCGGTCGCGTGTGCAGCTGCGAATGAAGTCCAGCGTATCATCCGGGAAGAAAATCTCCTCGAGAATGCCCGCAACATGGGCGAGAAGCTCGGGGCACTGTTAAGGGAGAGGTTGGAGTCTCACGAGAATGTTGGTAACATTCGTGGAAGAGGCCTTTTCTGGGGCGTCGAGTTTGTCAAGTCAAAGTCTACAAAGGAGTCGTTTCCACCTTCCGACCAGGTTGCAGCGAAACTGCACAAGACCGGATTCATGCCCGAGTACGGCATATCACTGCTTCCAGGCTCGGGGACCGTCGACGGAAAGAAAGGCGATGTCATCGTGCTGGCACCGGCGTACAACATCACTGCCGCGGACGTGGAGACTATCGTCGAAAAGCTGGAAAAGGTTGTCCATGCGGTGCTGGGCTGAAATTGGGTTGCTAGGGACGGCTATTTCAATTACCGGAGTACATCTCCAATAAATGGCAGAATCGCCATTCCCGGCAGAGATCGCCTGTCCTTCGTTGTGTTGATCGAGAATTCAACTTCACACTCTAGTTGGAACCAGGCACGCGATGGTTACGTGGTACTGTCTTCCATTGTTGTGTATGTTCACTGCATGCCACTGCCACTGCTCATTGTCACAGGAAGTGAACCAGGCAGTGGTCAAAGTGCCATAAATACGATCATAGCACTCTGCCTCTTAGATAGCATCAATCCTACATTTCTGCCGTCGTGTCCCTTTTCTCGAGTCGAGCTCAACACGCCAGCAAGATGTCTTCTCAACTTGATATCGGGAAAATTCCGCCATCTATGCTGGGGATGAAGGGGAAACTGGCCTGGTCAAGTTTACTGAACCGGAGAAGAACGTGAAATCCTCTACGATGTACACACGACGCCTCCGGACGGGAGACTGACTTGGAACGAACAGAACCCCGCGGGCCCTCGATCGAAGCAGCATTGTGTCTCTGCAGAACGCTACGTCCCGATCGGCGTTGCAGAGACGGTTGCCCTGGGGCTGACCGAGTGCTGTGCGCGTCTTGGAAGAGGCAAGGTACGGCGATTCCCTTCCGGGGGGGGAAGGCTGATTGATGATGAGCGTGACCCGCTGACGTTCAATTGGGCGCAAGGTCTACCACTTCTCCAAGTGGACTGACGAGAAGCGTCGCGTAGGCGGGTTCCAGAAATTTACCGAGTCCTACGTTCGACTTCCAGACCTTCTGTACGTCGACTGCTCGTGGAACGACGAAGAAGCTCAAGCCTGGCTACGATCTCCACACCTGGATCGACTCCTGGCCCTGGACGCGCGCGGCGGCACTTTGGTGGACGGCACCCCCACGCCGGCCGTCAATTTCTTTCACGAGATCGACGACTACGGCACCATCCAATTCTTCCCCGGCTTCGGGGCGGCGGCGATGTACTACAACACCCATGGCGCCACGTATCTCGGGTTCACCGAGGATCTGGCCGCGGTCGCCGTCCATCGGGTCCACGACACTCCACATCGCTCCCGGTGGTCTGCCTCGAAGCTCGACGTGGCACAATTCCAGATGCGATCCGGTACGCTGGCGGCCGAGAAGCTGCAAGATATGTACCTTGCAACAACCGGGGTATTGTCGTCTGAAGCAACTTTTGCCGTCTCTTTGTGCCGTCTCCTGGGAAGCCTGACGGCAGGAGGTCGTTCCCTGTCAACCTGATTTTTATGGTATCGACGTAGAATCCGTTGCTTACACAGTCCGCCCTCCACGGAGTAGTAAATGTTTCCCTTAATGTTGATCTCAGAGAAAATGATCTTGATTGCAGAAATCTACCTGATACACTTTGGCCTCTTAGGTCGAAGTTTCATCCCCGAGCATATTAGCAGTGGAACGCCGATCCCATTATCACTGAATTCCATAAAGTTGCTTTGATTGCATTGCCTCAACATTCCATAATCCCCGTCATGCGTTCTGGAGAAGGACAACGAATGTTGCCTTCCGGCCTTGAACGTGATCAAGATATGCGTCCAATTCGTCGTCTTCGTCAATCTGGTAAGGAATTTCGTTGCCAGAAGCGTCCTTTTCAATACCCTCGATGCGAGCAGGTTTCGTGTTGGGATACTTGACCGCAAGCATCGCGTGAAGTTCTTGTACTGTCCGAGCCGACAACGATCCCAGCCACATCTTGGTGTTGCCGTACAACGTAGACTTGGGATGTGGTCGAATGTAGACAGGAATCATGGCGGACACCGGCGCTGCGGCCACGCTGCTTTCGGCAGCTTGAAGCAAGTCGGGATCGATCTGCAGAACCGAGAGATCCGTGTTTTGTGCGGCGGCCGCAACTTCACTGAATGGATTGACTGGCTGTAGAGGCGCATACGCGTTGTCTGCGGTGGGTTGGTCGGTCGCCTCCAACTCAGGATCGACTGAGGCTGGTATTGGCTTTTGTCTAAATGTACCCTTCTTCTTGGCTCTGTCATCTCGAACACGCTTCATGACGTCCCGACATAGGAGCTCGAGAGCAGCTTTCTTCTTTTCATGCAAAGGATCATCCGCGCCTGGAGCAAGAATGTGCTGAAGTAAAGGAGTATTGGCGATCCATCTATCTTTGAGTTCTTGCCATTTCTCCGGACCCATCTCGATCTTGCTGGTGTAGTGCTCAGACATGAGAATGTCGTAGAAGCCACTGCGGATCTGTCGGCTTTGCTTAGGGTTGAGGCCTAGGACATTCTTCGATTCCAAGATGGTCAGACGGCGGCCCATCGTCCGTATGCGTTTCGTGACATCAGTGCAAATGACATCCAAGGCAAGCTCCTTTTTCTTGGCCACGGTAGGATCTGTCGGGTCGGTGTAGAACCTGGCTTGCAAGATGTCACTCTCGTGAATGAGTCGGTTCTTGATGGCTTGCCACTTGTCGGCTCCTGCAACAGTTTTCTGCAAAACTCCCTCGGCTTCGCACATCGCCTGAAATTGGTCACGAATCACGCGGTATTGTTTTGTGGACAAGGACAGGATTTCTCTGCTTTCCTCCAGTGTAGTCTCGGAAGGAAATCGCGGGGGGCCAGGGGGGTCCGCGGGAAGTCCAGCATATTCCTTGGTTCGGCGACGACGCTTCTTCTTCTTTCGCCGCTCTTCACTGATCTCCTTGAGTTGCTCGAGGCGCTCTCGCTGTCTCTGAACGAATTCCTCGGGAGGTTCTTCAGGAAGAACACTCGGCATGGCTTGAGATTGCTCGTTGAGCGCGTTCTCTTCTTGAGCCACACGGAGCAACTGCGCTTCAAAAGAAGCCTCTTCCTCGTCCATGGGCGTCTGTTTCGCGCCATTCGGAATTCTCATCAGCCATCGATGTTTTGCACGTAGCCTCATGAGTTCCCGCTCTTTGATATCATGACCTTCGGCATGTAGAACTGCAAGCATATTCCGTTGGCTGTAGTTGGCTTCCCAGAGTTGTCTTACGCGTTCAACTAGATCTTCATCGCGATGGGCGGGTTTGCGCTTTGAGGGGAAACCCCATCGCCGGAACTGGGTTTGGAATGCACGCTTGGAAGGGTTGAAGTCTGTGGTGTCGCGCATGTATTGCATAATCTCTTCGAGCGACTGTCGGGTGTTAGTCCAACAGTGCACGGCGACAACTGGGATAAACTGACCTTGCGCTCTTCGATGTAGAGTTTGTACAATACATCTTTGTGAGGCTCCCAGTTGTAGACCTGAACATGTCAGAGGGGTATGCTGGTCAGTAAGTCGAAGTACTCACCATGTTGACCTGCGCGTTGCTCGACCGTAGACAAACCGCGCTTCGAGGATGTTTGGATGCGGTGACGGAGAAGCGGACGATAAAGTCGCGCAGATTGTCGTCAACTGCAATTTTGCAGTCACGTGCCGGGTGCCTCGGCTCACCTTCCCTCGCGCCCTCCAGGCATGTAAACATTGAGCGCCGCGTTATTCACCGGCCTCGACGACAATAAGGCGATGCCAAAGCGATCAATTCACCCTCTGCACGAAAATCATTGACGTCAATGGAACGTGAATCTCAAGATAAATAGCTCGTGCCTCTATTGTCTGCAGCGTGGTCTCCAGAGTCTACCTCTTGGGTCCTATCATTTCCTTCCATTGGTCGTCTAAGCTGACTCGATCCTGTCGCGACTTTTGAAGCCACCGCTGCTGCCAGGCCTCAGTCATCTCTTGCCAACAAGATATTTCTTCATTCACAAAAGAAGCAGCCGCATCTGCACATTGCCTGATCTTCTCCATCGGCACCAGATGGCCGCTGTCAAGAACGACTTCTTTGACCCGACCGGCTGCATGTCCTCCACTTCCTCCAACTCCAATGCCTGTTGTCTCCAGTTTCTTTCTTCTCAGTTCTGGCGTGGCTAGCTCTGAGGATTTTCCAAAGATGTATAGAACCGGTGGTTTGACTTCAGGCAGTCGCCGGAATATCTCGGAAGGTTCAGGTCGGTAGAAAGGGTATCCTTGCTCAACGTCCTCGGGATGCATATCCCCATACACAGAGCGGTCTTCTTCGGGCGCGAGCTCGGGCCGGCCATAATATTTCGGCCTCAGGTATGAAAACACCTCTTGTGCTTTTGTCGTCGTCAATGTGACCGGTGGATTCTCGCCGTTCCCACGCTGAGGGTAAAGCGCCGTAGGCAGATCTCTCAAACCATACTTGACCCACCGAGAAAGTGCTCGAGGATCCCATGCTTGGTAGAACTTGCTGTTAGCCAGGATTTGTGCTGCTTGCTCTCTCGAAGGCCAAAGATCACGACGATATGTCGAAGCTCGAGCAAAGGTCTTGCTTGGGTTCTCCGTTTGAATGACTGGGTCAATCAAAATGAGTCCCTGTAGTAATCGTGGATGCAACAAAGCAAGCTGGGTTCTGTTTGTCGTCAGCGTCGTCATAGTGAATGAGACGTGGCTCCCCATACAATTGTGAACCTCCCATTGAGTGGCCTATTCCGACAAGAGGTTGAGGCATCTCCTCTTGCTTTTGATTGATCAAAAAGAGCAAATCTCGAGCAAAATCCCACCAGTTTGCTGTTCTGTCAGTAAAAGTCCCGTGTTCTCTCGTAGTCAAACATACGGTCGTTCCCAAGAGCGTCTTCATTGAGGATACCACTTTGGCCTTGATGGGCAATGTCTGCAATCCAGATGGCGCGTATCTGCCGCCCAAGCTTATTCAGTTCTTCGTAGAGATCTTCGAATAGTGGCTCATACATTTCCTAATGTGGTGTTGGCGATAATACTTCTTCACAACAATGATGGATCTGGGGCCGCACCTTAGGAAAGCCATTGGCATGGGCGGCAATAAATGTGATGTCGCCAGGACCCGGTTTCGGGTTACCAAGAGGCACATATTGCTTAACTGCCAGCTTCAAGGCGTTTTCATAACCGATTTCAGTGCCCCTTGGCCAATGTCTCGTATGTTGCGCCGGCACGGTATGTTCAAGTACTCGGAAGTGGGATATTGAATGAGCGTGGGCAGAACACAGCACATGCTTTCGCCGGCGGTGCCTTCGAGGTGCAGCCGTCCTGGCTATCCTCAGCATCCTGACGCTGTCGATCTAAAGTGTCGATTGAGAACTATGTTAGATTTCGAGTCATTAGGTAAGGTCTCGAGAGAGCGAAACCCCGAGGGACCGGCCCAAGCTCGGGGCTGAGTTGCCGGGCAAAGGATCAGTAATACCTTGCACCCTCCAGTCATACAGTCCGTCCACCAAGAGTCATCGATCGCAATACATCTAAAGATAGGTTCCGAATCATCAATCGGTAAAGGCGCCGCCGCGAACTGCCAAAAAGTGCCCCTTCCGGTGGCTCAGCCTCGCCTGTCGTGAGTCATGGCCCTGACCGTAGCGATGACCGCACTCCGCCTGGTTCGAGCTCAATCGCTGCAGCCTCACTAGGTTGCTCAAGAGTGCTTTCTTGCAGCTACTGATCGACGGTCGAGTCCATACAGGCACCTGCTTGGCGCTGCGCCGAATGGGGGATTCGCGAAGTATAGAGTCATCGACGCTCATAAGGTAATAATGTCCTGACAACGCAGCCATCGGTGAAAGCCAGTGCAACTATAATCAAGTGCAAGGTCCGTCGTAATCATTGACCAGGTCATATTCAGTCAAGTATTCCAACACAATCTCATCGAGATCTATCATCATGGCGACAGAATCTGTGGCGTCGGTTCCCTCCAAATCTCAACTGGAGGACATCAGTCGATTACGAGGCATCGCAGAGAAGCACCTGCATCAAATCGCCGAGGAAAGGCTTCAAGAACAATTTGATGATGCAAAGCGAAATGAAGAGCTAGAACGATATGCGAAACAACGTCGGCGGGCCAAGTTGCGCGCCACATCACCAGCTGTCTCAACCCCAACTTCCAGAATGAGATCCGCTCAGGGTAAGTTGGCTTCATGGTCGACGCCAGGAGATCTGCTCATGTCACACAGACGTACTGGAGCGGCTCAAATGGGACGACAGTCTCGATCTGTCAAAGTACATAATCGGCTATCTAGAACGCTTCAACGGTATTCAAGAAATGCCAGCTACTAGATGGATCTCCGAGCCCACCGAAGAAGAATGGATCCCTCAACATAGGATCCGATACTTCAAGCAAGTTGACGAGAGTGGAAAGCAGAGCATCGTCTGGGACAGAGACAACCGGATCGACAAAATATTTGGCGCCAGTGTCAACAAAGAGGCCGACAATGATGATCGTTGGGAAGATAGCAGCCCACAGCTGACGCATTGAGCCCAGTCTCACGAGATAGTGTGAGAGGGTTGGGTATCAAGCCGCAGCTCTATCGAGTCCTGTCTGTGTATGAGGTCAAATGCATTGTTTGCTTGACCCGACTTGGTAACGGAGCCAGGCTTGAGCATCCGGATTCGGCGGAGCCATGAGGCAATTTGTCAATTCTGTGGCCTAGCTTTGCTTTGCAGCCTCCCGACAACGGCTCGAGGCAATTGAAATCATAACAGTATGCGGGGAAGCGAAGCAAACCGTCGGTCGTACAAACAAGAACCGATGTAGAGCAACTTGTACAAATATCTTGCAACCTCTCAAGGCCTTGGCTTTAACTTGAGGGGGATGGAATACCCAGAATGATAGCGATTTACGGAATCGCATTGCTTGCAGCAGACTTCTGTTTGGTAGCCTCTTGCATCTCAAGATCGACTCCCATAGACACCTGCGGTGTATGTTTCTCTGAGGCTTCGACACATGCGAGACTAACTTTCTCAAGCTGTTCTATTGTCTTGAGACGAGCTTCCGGGAACCATGCAGGCATGATGTCCTGCCTTCGAACCTGTGTATCGCGTTCACCGGCAAATGGGTAAGTGGACTGCACTAGATCCATGCGTGTCAGCAGTATCCCTACACCAACATGTATTGGTATAGATTTGACCTTCCGCGTCCCCAGAATCAAACTCTTCGTTCGATAGGTCCTGACAATGGGACGTACTGTCTCTTCTTCAGGTAAGCAGTTGATCAAAGATCGGGTACAATTGTCCGCTGAAGATATTGCCAGTGACGATAAATGCACAAGGCCAGTGCGGAACCCTACGAATGACAAACAGATAGAACTCTCTTACCCTGGCAAACCAGATATGTGTGATCTTGGAGTTGGCGATTCTTTTGGTAGCTACGTTTGCCAGAACTCGGCAAGCTTGAAGCATCGCGAATGAAGCGAAGAGAGCCGTCTGAATTCTGTATAGGCAATCAATTATGACCCTGAATGCTACGATCGAGGGAAGTCGATATCTAGTGATCGATAATCGAGGCATAAAGTTTTACAGACGAGTATGATTTGGAAGAGGTCATCTCGTCCTGTACTTTGTCGACCAGATCAGGGATTTAGACAGGGCAGGTTTGCCGAAGGGGTCACGTTCTGATAAGCCGCGTCTACGGTATGCTGTAGAGCTATCAAGCGAAGTTATCAATAATTTTTGTCGCAAAACCCGACACTCGGGTGCTACCAACATCATCGTGTAGACGCTCCTGTAAACACCCGCAGCCTTGTTCCCCGGTGTCGCTGTATGGGAAACCTTGGACAGCCATAATAGAAACGAGGTGCTGCTACAAGGAGCGTGCTATCGACTTTCTCATGTTCAAATCTCTCATCCAAGTTACAGAGACACTTCGCCGACTACAACTCCTTCTCCTCCCAGCCATGGCTGCGCCAACTCCTGACCGGCCAAAGGTGACTGGACGGGCTTTCTATGAAAGTATTGGCAGCCCAAAATGGATTGTAGCCCCCATGGTTGACCGCTCAGAATTTGTTGGTCCATCTCCCCTGGCACTCGCTTGATCCCCGTTAACCACTCCTCTAGGCTTGGAGACTTCTCACTCGGTCCTATTTGGACGAAGAACGATCGAAGTCCTTGCTAGCATATACGCCGATGCTCCATGCACGACTCTTTCAGGAAGGCCCAAGACACCGAGACGCCTATTTCCGACCTACGCGAGATAGCCTTGTCTCGAAAGTGAGATCCTCACTGCCCCCATGGCTAGATGGGAACCCCGAACTTGATCGACCACTTTTTGTGCAGTTCTGTGCGAACAAACCGGAGGAATTGCTCGAAGCAGCGCAATATGTAGCTCCATACTGCGATGCTGTGGATCTGAATCTAGGATGTCCGCAGGGTATCGCAAGAAATGGGCATTATGGTGCATTCCTTCAAGAGGACTGGGACACAATATACAGTATGATCAACAAACTCCACAACGAACTGTCGGTGCCAGTAACTGCGAAGATGAGGATACTAGAGACACGAGAGAAGACACTTGAATACGCAAAGATGATAATATCCGCCGGCGCGAGCATCCTTACCGTCCACGGGCGCCGGCGTGAGCAGAAAGGGCACAATACAGGCCTCGCAGATTGGTCTATGATCCGCTACCTCAGAGAAAACCTCCCAGCTGACACGGTGCTTTTTGCAAATGGCAACATACTCAATTCCGGTGACATTGACGCTTGCCTCGCAGCCACAGGTGCCGATGGAGTCATGAGCGCCGAGGGCAATCTTTCCGATCCGACAATCTTTGCATTGCCGCCGAAAGAGCATAACCCGCGCGAATATTGGTATGGTCCGAATGACAAAGGCGGCTACCGCGTGGATGCAGTGTTTCGGCGGTACATGGATATTATTTACAAGTACAGCTTCGACCGAGCACCGCCTGAACGACCACCTTTGTACATACCCGGCGACCCTAAACCTGATTCAACGAAAGAAATCACGGATCCTGCATCGCAGAACGGCGCCACCAACAGCAAGAAGAGAAAACGAGAAAGTAAGCCCAAAACGGACCCGAATCTAAAGTGCATGCAGGGCCACCTATTCCACCTTCTCCGGCGACTAGTATCGGTACATACAGACATCCGGGACGCTCTGGCTAAATCCAGATGTGGAGACATGGATGCCTACGAGCATGTCCTGTCAATGGTCGAAAAGGCTGTCATGGAAGGACTCGATGCTGAAGCGCAAGGGACAGGCGAGGAGTCTAGCCAACAAGAAGTGGCATCACTCGGAGAGAATGTGCCGCCGAAGCAAAAAACAGAAGCCAAATACAAGAGACCTTGGTGGGTATGTCAGCCCCATATACGGCCATTGCCGGAAGAGGCTGTAAAACTGGGAGCAATGCAGCCCAGCAAGAAAGAACTGGCCAAGCTCGCGGCGCAAGAATCATCGGAGACGAAAGCAGACCCCCTTCAACGAGTTGATGATGGCCAGCAACAGCAGCAGCCCAGCCCCACATCAGGCGACGATGTGCCAAAGTCAGCTCTTGTGTGCGGGTGAAGATATCTCCAGGGCAAGAACAATGTCAAAAACTTCAATTCCCAGTACGAATATGGCTCTGTTCTCACGAGAGCACGTCCATTGTATTGTAATTCTACACCCGAGAAAGACTAGACTTAATGTACATTGGCCCTGGGCATCGCCTCAGCTCTATCTTCGCCTCTTTGGGTCTCTGGACGGGCCGGGCTGTCCGTCGTCAGAACTGCTGTCGGGGCTCGCAGTGCGTTTCCTAGAAGGCTGGTTGACTGTCTGCTGGTATTGCGTCTCGATGAAAGCACGGGCAGAATCTCGCAGCATGGGGTCCATGCCACCGTCCGCAAACAGGTCTTCAATCTCTTCGATCAAGCCATCTCGCAGGGTTTCAGCGAAGCCACTATCCTGTGGATTTATCCCAGCGTTCGCCAGACGTTCCGTCACGCGCCCGTTGGCGTCATTCACGATAGACATCGCTGCGGCTTGAAGCGCCTCCAGGTCCACGGGGGAAGTAGACCGTTCTGACCTCGAAGGGGTCGATTCCGGAGGAGTAGGGCTTCTCGATGCCGGCGGTCTCGCGGTCTCGCCACCTGAGGATGATGAAGACAGGGACTCTACACCAGACATGGCCGAGTCTCCATCGGCATCCACAGCCTTGCCCTTCCCCTTCCCCTTCTGGCTTTGCGTCTGGCTTTGCTGCGTCTTGCCTTCATCCTGCTTCTTCGTGTCCTTTGCCTTCCCCTTCTCGGCGCGTTTCTCCTCTGCCCTCTTGGCGCTCGCTGCGTAGACCTTGTCCTTCGGGACCTTGAACTTCTCGATGATGGCTGGGCATCGGCCTCGCTGCGTCATCAGAGCGGCCGACTCGCGTGGTCTTCTTGGTTCGGTAGACCCAGGCATCAGTCGACCCACGAATTTCTCGTTGATCCGTTTGGCCCACTCCTCCTTGGTCTTTGTCGGTACCACGAGAGGGACAAGCTGATCTTCAGTTTTCGTCGGGTGCTTCTGCTTCAGCTGGTCCAGCAACTCCAGGTTCAATGCGTAGAGGAAGTCGTTTTCTTCTTGTGACCATTTCTGAGAAGCCGCCCGCTTCTTCTCGTCTGCCACTCGACTGCGGTTCTGTCGCCACCAAGCATTCAGGCCGTTGACGTGCTTCTGGAGATCCCAGTCAAACACGACTCGGCCCGAATTGGCTCCAGGATCTGCCTGGCCTCTGTCGGGCCACCAGTGACTGGCCCGCTTCTCGAACACGTTAGAGTGATACTTACCCTTGGCGATGTACTCGAGGAGATAACGGTGCGGGTTAGGAGCGCTTGCTTTTGCAGCGTCCGCGTAATCATCAATGATGAAACCCTGGACACGCTCACGCTGTTGTTTTGACGGGGTCGACGATGACGGCGCCGGCGACGATCCTGTTGAAGACCCGGCGTCTGAATCGGAAAGAAACCTGTCGAGATCATCTCCGAAGTTGTCTTCGCCTTCGGACTCATCAGAGCCGGAAGATGAGGAGGATGATGAGGACGAGGAGTCGTCATCGTCATTGGGAATGTTGACCTGCTTTTTCTTCGGCATCGTGCTTCTTGGCACACAGTCTTGTGGCCTGGGCTTTGGTAACCGCTTACCGTCAGGACCATCTCTCATACCGCCGTTCTCACGCTTGGTGGTGCCACTGAACGGGGGCACGCCGTCAGTGTACCAGTCTTGAACAGCTTGGACGAGATCGTAGTCTCGATCTGCCAGGAAAGTCAGCAAGGAATACCAATCTGGGCGACCGGTGATATTTATAAACTCGGCCAGTCTCTCGTCTCTTTGCTCCTGTCGCTTGTCCTCGGCGATCTTCTCGGCCGTTTTGTCCTGGCCTTGCTTCTTTCGTTCGGTTTTCGGAGCGGCCAGCGGGGTCCTCATACGGTCGTACCGGCGACCGAGCATCTGTCGAATACCGTCCGCATTCCCAGCGACACTAGTTAGGTTCCTCAGGGCAAGTCCAACGTCCCAGTGGTTTATGTTGAGCCAGAGCGAAGCCTCAGTCCTGCTGAGTTGTTGGGTGTTGAGTGTGGTCCTTCGTACACGTTCGTTGAATGCATACGCGGCGTCACGACGCTCCTGCTCTGGATTGTCATTCCATATAACCATCGAGGCGTTGAAGAGCCCCTGCGCCTCGGCATCATCTGCGTCTCTATCGCCACGGCCCCTGAGGAGCTCGAGATGGTTCGTCCGGTCTTGGATGTACTCGGCATGCGCGGTCTCGAGGTCCCAGTCGTTTGATCTCAGATAGAATTCAAGGATGTTATTGTCAACCACGTGTGGGCTGAGGCGTCGTACGAAGGCGTCCAAACGGTCACGTCTCTGCGTCGGGGTGACTGCGTTGTCCGCGGCAACGGAGGGCTTTTTAGCGGCCTTTTTGGGAGCCATGAATCTTGAACGAATGTCTTTCCTAAGTCAATCAGCTTGTACACACGAGGTGGGCCAGGGCTACCACTTACAAGAAGCGAGTATATATATGTATAGCTGCAGAAGGTCACCAGGACCGTAGAAGTGTGAAAGATCGGGGGTTGGTTGATTGGTGGTGGTTGAGATTGAATATTTCGAACACGTTGTGTGAAGATGTAGGACTCGAATGAACCATGGTGCTTCATTCTGCTTCGATATATATGAGTCGATGCAGTAGCAATTGACCGTCTGTTGTCTGGTACAAAGAGGTCGGTGGCAGAGAGCCCCCTTTCACAGACAGCCTCGCATAAAGCATTGGAGTCAGCACGTGACACGCTGGCCATTATGTTCATTGTGCAAATCTGGACGACCAACACAATGTCAGCCTTTGAGCGCGGCTATTTTTGGCATCTGGTTATTGACTGAGGCCCCAAGATAGTAGTCGACACTTTGGGTCACACTTCCGACGGCTGCGAGATGGCCTGGATGATCCTGCTTCGGCTGGCATTCTGTTGTGTCGTATGTACACATAAATGCCCATGTCGGACGGAAGAAGTATGCGTTTAGTCGACCGAGAGATTGTGTATTCCCCAGAACACAAAATATTAGCAGGAAATCCTAGCGCATGATGATAAAGAGTGGAGGACAAAGCCTCCGTCCCCGACGTGGCATGTTGGCTGGCCAGACGATCGGGAACAAAGAAACGCTGTCCATGGCTGACTCCAAATTTTCACTGTAATAGCGTACAGACAGCACTTAGCCATATATTGTGGTTCGACAATGGGCTTTCTCCCATCTAGATAGTCTTGTTTTGTGTCCACAATCCACAGGGTGTGAAGTTGGCTCGTGTTAAAACAGTAATCATTCCATTGCCTCTGTCTGTGCATGGCAAGATCGTGTCACAACTCCGCACCATTGAATGGCCTGCCTTATGGTGAGTTAACTTTGGTGAGCTCAGTTGTTGAAGCAAAGTCTGGTTTGCTGTTGACAGACACATCGAGTCCAGGAAGCGGTGAAGAGGATAAACTCAAACGACATGGTAGAGGGGTACTGCCTTGAGTTATCTACAGGGCTTGTCCTTGCATCAACGTGGAGTATAGAGGCCCAGAAGCAGTTGATATCTCTGGGATGAAGCCACCTCTTGATGAGTCGCACATTCTGTTGGTCTGGCAGAGTTTCCGATAGTGGTCTGTGGTGCTTGGGAACTTGGTCTGGACGGGGTTTACAAAGATTGGCACACAAAGTCAGGGTTTAAAGCTTCATGAGGATTGTAGCTCTCTGAAATTCAACGCACCCATGTGTCTGGCGGGCTCAAAAGTTTGGGGTTTCTTCATCCTTTGCATTTCATTAGTTCAGGTCAAGACAGATCGATTCAAATCACACCCTCAAGGCTGGAGTCAGGCCTCACGCTGGAAAGAGAGGTCATTTTGTTCTTGTCCTCCTCTCTCATACCGGGAAACAGATAGAGACGTCTCAAGGATATTGGTGAAATGCGTTAAACGGCGGTGATGGCAAACAACGGACACCTTGGAGAAGCGCGTGTCATTTGAAGCGAGCATTCCCACGGAATCTTGTCATTTGACCATACACCATCCACGTGATCTCGCGTCGACCCCCAGCAAAAGGGCAGTCGCGTTTTCGTGTCTTTTTCTTCCCTTTCCATTTTGAGAGACACAGCAACTCTTGTCAGGCCTCGTACGGCCCGCCGCAAATCGAGAGTGGTCGCAATGTCGGACCCAGGGACATTGGCAGCTTAGCCCGTCGAGCTACATCATCATATTATGAGCCACCTCGATCGCGATGACTTGAAAAACATGAGCCTGTATACGACAGACGGGGAATAACGAGCTGCGATGAGGGAACGAAGTTCCGGGAAGTATCAATCATTAACACGCTTTCTTCCCTGTCAAAAGTCTTGTACGCATTTCTCTCGCTCAGAAGTCCGAGTCTGACTCACTTTGGCCCGGGTCTCCTTTCTCGAATTGCAGTCCAAAGTGCTTGCAGTGGGCGCGGATCCTCCGGCGCCGCTGATCGAGCATTCCCACGGACCGTTCTGGCCGTGGCACGACCCCAACCGTTGCCATGTCCTTATACACTCGCTCCCAGACCGCGCTGTCGTCCAGATGCTTCCGCACCGTTCGCCACTTGGTGTACAGGGTTCTACCCGCGAATGTCTCGTTGAAGCGATCTGCCAGATCCTCCTTCTCAGCCTGAGACATTGGGAGAGGGTAGGTGTCACCATCACCGAACTTCCGCATGGCCGCGTCCCAGGCCGCAGGGGAAGTGTGGTGGGTGTCGAAGCGATTCTGTTCGGCCGCTTCAAAGAACTTCTCTTCGACCCTCATTGCCTCTTGCTCGACGAGCCACGCGAGCTCGTACTTGTTGAAGGGGATTGTCTCGTCCCTGACGTTTTCGCCCGCGATGGTTCGGAAGCGCTCTGCCCGCCACTTGTTCAGGTCGGAAATATGGTCTCTGTCATCCCAGTCGAACTCGCGGCGCTGGGGGTCTGCAACTTCGGTGAAGTTGTAATAGCGCGTACTGCGTCCGTCATCCCGGCGGCCGAAGAGCTCGATGTGGTATCCACCATTGCGGATGTACTCGATTCGCAGCCTTGACTCGTCTGGCACGCCTCTGTTTGCTGGCTGGCGGTCTTCGTCGATGACATAGCCTCTCCTACCGCCACCGCTCTCCTGGGCATCATAGTCTCGGGGATGGATGGCTTCAATATCATTTCTGCGGCGCGGTTGCTCCATGGTGAGACCTTCTGACTGGCCTCCCTCGACGGAGGGGTTGGGGTGGCGCGGGAGCGGTGCCTCGTCCTCATGATACTCGAAGTGAGCATTGATGACGGTGCGTGGTCGATTGGGGTTCCACTCCCTTCTTTGCCCATCACTGTTTTGAACCGGGATGCCACCACGCAAGACCCACTCGTCAATCGCGAGTGCCAGGTCCCAGTCATGTCTCACGAGGACCCGTCGTGCAGCGTCCACGCTGTTGGTGGAAGTGAGTGTGACGAATTCAGCCAGGCGTCGGTCCTGCGCTGGCACACCTTCAGGCGGGGTTCTCATACTAGTCAGTCCGTCGACGATGTCGTCGAACACTCCCACCCCAGAGGCTTGTGCTCTCCCTCTTCGCGCTGCAATGTTGGTCGAAGCATCGTGCAGATCCCAATTGTTCCGCTGAAGAACCATCGCCATGATCGCATTCGTCGTGAGGTACTCTGGTACTTGAACTTGGCGATTTCTTATGCCGTCTTGTATGTCGTGGAGTAGGTTCAACCTGGTCTGCTCGACGTTGACGGCGCGTCGGTTCCACGAAGGCATAAGGCGGCCTGTGGGCCGATGCGCCCGCTCGAGAATCTCACTCTCCCAGAAGAGCGTGGCTGCGCGGTTGACATCCCAGTTTGCCCAGGTCAGAAGTTGTGTGAGAGTTTCCTCGTTTTGTCCATGTGGGAATCTGATTTGATTTCTGAGGGCCTGAATGCGATGGGTGCGCCGCATAAGGTTCGTTGGAGGATTTGACACCACTGGTTGTGCAGGGTACGCTTGAGGACGGCTGACGGGAAGCGGTCTTTGTAGGACGTGCCGTGCCCACCTGGTGATTATGAATGTCAGAATGCTCTGGAAAGGTTAACCAGGAGCAGGAGAGGAGCAAACAAACCTTAGGGCATCCGTGTTAACATTTTGTCCTGGCCCTCCTGGTCCTCCTGGACCTGATCCTCCTGATCCCCCTGGACCCCCTGGACCTGATCCTGCCGGTCCTGGTCCTCCTGGTCCCCCTGGCCCTCCTGGTACTGATCCCCCTGGCCCTCCCGACTTGGGCTTCTTCGACGGCGGTGGGGATGGACTTGGACTAGGTCCTCGCCCGCGTTTGTTGCCAGAGGGAGTAGCAGTGCCAAAAGGATTGCTAGAAGACTGCCCGGTCTCGATTTGCCCGATGGGTTGGCCTTGGTTGCCCCTGCGGGCACGAGCTGCAACTCTCGGGCTACGTCTCAGAGGAGGAGGAGCGGGAGGGGAAGGCGATTCTGGATCGTCTATGAGGACAAGTCAGGATAATGAACGAGCCGGAAGGACATCGTATGGTCTCGCGGGACATCTTGTAGTGTGGGGGACAAGGACACAAACCGGGAATGAGGGGATGACTTTTGACTTGCCTGGCTGATTTTGCTGTGATCTGCTTCCTGGCCCCTTTTCACCTTGGGAAGAAGAATCGCTGTCTTTTCCTTTGTTCCCGGTCATGGTGGGCGACAAGGGGGGTTGGTTAGATGACTCCGTTTTGCTCTGATTGACCAAACAAGCCTTGATATGTGAAACGCTCGTACTGCCCTGCATCAATGACTGCCGCTGGACGATTGGCGAACCGAGACGGAAAAACAAAAATCCTTCTCGAGAGAGAAAACAAATTGTGTTTCTCCTGGAGAAAGTGGACTTTTTCCAACGAGAGGAGATGGGAATAATATAGGTGCGCGGGTCGCAGTGACCACCACCACCACCACCGTCCACGATCCATTCATTGTCCTCGACGCGAACGGCCACGCTAGCCCATCTCCGGGCGCACTTCCCGAGACGGTCGCGGCGACGACGAGCATCTGGTCGAGGTCGAGATGATATTTTCTTTCATTGCCACCTCCCGCACCTCCTGCCTTCTTGGATGACGTGTCAGTTTAGTCGCGCGATGATTGTGGTGGTGAAGAGAAAGAGGAGTCGTGGGGGTGGTGGCTGGCGGTGCTCGGCTAAGTTGCCTGTCCTGACCACGGCGAGGCTGTGACCCCCTGGCCTACTGACCCCCGCCCCATGGCTGTTCTTCCACCAAAGGCAGTTGACATTACTCCGTGGGTATGTGTATATATATATGTGCGAACATTGTGGTGCGGAACGAAACGGAAAAGTACGAAGGGGGAGGAGGAGGAGGAAAAGGAAGAGGAGGGTGCAGTTGTTTCTTAAATAAGTTCTTCTCCCCATCCCCGCCTTTTGGACCCCCTTTTGGACACACAGATTCCACGGAATTCCGTCCTGCAGCACCGCAAAGAGAATAATAATGATAGCCTGGCCTAGCTGGCCTAGAATACATACCTTGAGCAAACTGAACGACACGTCATCGTCGTCGTCGCCACCATTCCTCATAAAATTCCACGAGACATTGTGTGAACGGAGTGGGGTGAAGTGAAGTGTCGTTCGTTATCCTGGACTTGTGAATAAGGATTTTCCATTCCCTAATTCAACCGGGAGACACAATCGGAAGACATTACCAGTCATTCATTCACTACGGAAACTCCAAAAGAAGAGACAACTGTGAGAGACAGACATGTTGAATGCTGACGCAGCCAGCCGAGCCACGTTTTGCATATTGTGTACTCAGACCGCACTACCAATCATTGTTAATACCTCATATCCTTGTCGAGGCTTTTTCATTGCTTCTCAGGAACACAGTGCCTAGCTAGCGAACTACGACAAAGATCACTTTCAAGATGACAGAAGTAACTATTCTGAGGTGCCTGATTACAGTGCCTATTCGCACCCCTACCCGTACCGAGTAGTGTTTCACTGTCCGTGTGGAACAAATCTCAAGACAGAGTCCAATTGCCACCCCAGGCCTTACCACCAAGAGCACCTCCCAATCCACCGATGAACAAAGTCTTGGTGGTGCCATCGTACGTACTGTTCCCGACTGCCTCGCCATCGATCTTGACCACGTTACTCGACGGGGCTCTCTGGACACCCAGGATCGTGACGTTCGCCAAAGGCAGGTCGAGACCCGTATAGGACCCCGTGACGGTGACGTTCAGACTCAGCCCGCCGATGCCCACTCCAGCAGCCAGAGTCACCGATTTGGTCGCGTTGGGACTAAGGCTCTCCCCGTCGTCGAGGTACAGCTGACCTGTTGCGGTACCGTCGACGCCCGGCGCGACAATGATGGACCATGACGTGTTCCTGGCGTCCCGGGTCGTCATGGCCATTTGCTGTGTGGCCAGGACCGCCCCGCCGCGGATGTAAACGGGGATATGACCGAGTGGAGCGTCGATGGTGGTGTTTTTGCTGCTCGGCACCGACACGGGCGTTTTGTTGTACCAGTCGTAGTACACATCCGTACCCTCGACGACACCCGGGAACACGCCGTCGACGGTGGTAGCGCCCTGCGTGAGCACGGGCGTGACAAGGATCGAGGGGCCCAGAAAGAACTGCCGGTCTGCGTCGGCGAGCGAGGGGTCGTTGGGAAATTCCCATGCCAGCGCCCTCATGACCGTGTCGCCTGCCGTGTGCGCGTTGTAGAACAGAGTGTACAGGTACGGCAGGAGCTGGAAGCGCACGTTCATGGCCGTCTTTGTTGCGTCGATGACGCTGCTCCACACGTACGCCTCCTGCGAGTTGGCCGATAGGACGTTGTGGTTGCGGTAGAAGGGGAAGAAGGCGCTCAGCTGCATCCACCGGTTACACAGCTCTTCGTCGCTGTTGCCGTTGAACCCGCACGTGTCGACACCGAACATGGGGATGCCAAACAGGCTGAAACTCAGCGCCTGCGGGATCGAAAAGTACATGTAGTAGAACTTGGACATGTTGTCGCCGCCCCAGTGCCCTGCAACCGTCCCGGACCCAGGGAACGTCGACCGCCCGATTATGAATGGTCGCTTGCCTGGCCTTGCCGCCAGGAGAGCACCGTACGTAGCTTGGAGAATCTGATGGCCGAAGAGATTGTGCACGTCGTACTCCTCAATACCGTTGTGGTGGGTGGCATTCGGCGAGACTGCGTGAACGGCGAGGTCTCCTTGGACATTGTTGATCACGTAAGGTGGATGGTTGACGTTGCGTACTCCTGCAGTCGGTGTCGTGCGGAGATAGCTTGTTGACGAGGATGAAGCACTGTTGACCGTGGTGCTCGAAGCCGTCAGCGTGGCATCCGCCTGCGACTGTGACGCCGAGGCAGCAGACGCTGCTTGCGTTGCGTTGGTCAGATTGAACCCCTCCGGGTAGTCGTAGATGATGTTTCCTGGCTCTCCTGGGAGTTTGAACGGTGGGTGGACCGGGTTGAGACTCAGATTGCCGGTGCCACAGCTGCCGACACAAAAGGATGAGACTTCGCTCATATCAATCCACGCGCCGTCGATGGGTATTTTCTGATGCCATATCACCATCTGATTCTTCCACCATGCATGTGCAGCACTGGTCAACCAATCCGGGAACACCTGGGGCTTGTCAGCGGGACATCACGAAAATGGGTACACCAAAACTTACAGTGTATCCTGGCCAGACCGAGCCAATGTACAAGGATCCATCGGGGTTGAGGAGGTACGAGTTTGTATCGTTGCCGTCATTGAATGTCGCATATGCGTCGCTCTGGTTGTCAGGATTCGGAGCGTAAATGGCACTATCTATGATAGGCACGTAGTGCTGACCCTTATCGTGCAGCCGTTGGAGGAAAGCTTTGCCGTCAGAGTAATTGAACCGGACAGGATCATTGTCAAAGTCTCGATACTGAAACATGTAGTCAATGTCATTCCATATCGTCTCGAGAGGAATACCGAACTTGGCGTAGTTGTCCACCACACCCTCAGTGACGGTCCAGTTTTCATATCCCCACCGGCATTGATGGAATCCAAAGCCCCAATAGTTCTGCAGAACAGGCTGCCCGATGACGTTGAGATACTGCTGGGTAACATCCGGCTGACTAGGTCCAGAGAAGAAGTACAAATCGATGCTTCCACCCAAGGTTCGCCATGTGACATTATCAGGCCGCAAGAGTACTTCCATACCATGAGCATTGCGGAAGTAGACACCATGGCTTGACGAAGTATAGTTCGCCGTATCGCTGGTAGAGTCGACAGGTTTTGTGACCAATCTTGTGCTGTTATCACTGCCCACCTCGAAATACTTGGTCTGCAGGTAGAATGGATGACTGCCATAGATATTCATGTCGATGGGATCTCCGACGTCTGCAGCGTAAAGGGTCCGTGTCAGATTATTCCCCAATCGAAGCCCGTGAATGACTTCACCAAGTCCATAGAGGTTGTAGTTTTCTTCCTGGCGTGTCACCAGCTCGATGAATTGATTCTCAAAGACCAGTTTGGTCCCGGCGGTGGAAAACAAGACATCTCCGGTGCCGTTTCGGGTCACGTTGAAGCCGAAGCCACTCGATGCTGTATTGGCCCAGGAGAAAGTGAGGTCGCTGGTGGTCATCGTGCCCTGCTCCTGGCTCGGCGCGGGCACATAGTCGGTGGATAACAGGTACCAGCTCTGGTTTTCAGAGGAGACATGCGAAGGGCGGATGTTGATATGGAGCCGTTTGTCGGTCTGATACTCGACTGTCAAGTCTAGGTCATGAACATCCGTGCCGTAGACGTTGCAAGCAGACCCAGCCAAGGCCAGGTGCGCAGTTAGACCAGTAGAAGATGTCTTGACGCCAGTGGCATTGTAGCCGGGGCACTCCGCTTGTGCGTCCGCCGCGGTCGGATCATAGATATTGGGAAGGAGAGTGGCACCCTCGTCAGCGCTCGCGGGAACAGTAAACTGCGGAGTGAATGAAGTTGTCGATGAAGCTCTCGATGCTGCTGTTGAAGTTTGAGGCACCGCAAGACACGGCACAGCCAACAGGCTTGTGAAAAATGCGACGAGATTCATCTTGGACGAGTCCAGAGGCTGGGTCAAGGTCGAGTCGCGACTGTAGAAAAAAAGAGCATGAGAATCTCCTCAAGTACGTGTCGAGTTCGGACCAACAGCCACTTACCATGATGAAGTGAACAAGCTTGTGTGGAGAATGTAACCGCTTGCCAGGAAGAAGACGAGAGAGAAGGAGACAATGACAACAGTGCGCATGAAGCGCCTGCTAGCACCGTCTGCAAGCTTCATCACTGGTGTTTGACCCCTCAGGTACCAATGTCCCCATGTAACCTTGGGGAGATGGTCAGGGCATCATCACCAACCTTCACGGCATTTGAGCGAGTGCCGAAGCGTAACGGAGCATGGTGATCTTCGACGGGTATGGGCCTGTAACCGACTTTGCGGGGAAAAGAGTCAAGGTGTTGTTGTTCACCTGAAGATAAAGATCGCTGGTTTGTGCACGGGCTTCCGTCTTTTGAGAAATGCTCTGGTATATGTGAGGTATGTCGCTTTCACTCGCTCAACGAAGAATCCCGTGTCGTTGCCCAACACTCGACGCGGCGTCGATAAATAATTCACCTGCGCCTGGGGAAACGTTGAGTCCGTCATCACGGGCATGAGATCCAGTGGACCCCGCATACAGTATGACGTACATGACGTACATTACGCCAGAGACTCCGCGCGGTGCGACTAAATACGCGAGGTACGAGTACGAGTGCTCTATTTACAACGCTCCGGATTGTGTCTGTTCTGCCCAGAAACTACGTCTGCTGTGGATTCCATCTTCGTGATCTCCGTCGCCAATCGAAGCATGTGTTCGCGGCACTCCATCACTGGATTTTTGAGCTCTTCATCTGGTAATGCAGCAGGCCATGGGTGAAGGAGAGTTCGACATCTAGTTGAGTCCGGCGCAGGCAAGATCGAAATTGGATCAGAGAACAGTCAATGTACTATGCAAATTCGGCCATCATAATACCTGGAAGAGGCATTTGCTATTCCAGCAGACTCGGTGAAGATTTTGTAGGGCCTTCTTCGTTTTGAGGCACCTTCAATACAGGAAGGTAAAAAGACCCAGTCCACGAATCAAAGAGTATACCTGAATCCAGGCTGTCCCATGATGACAATCTCTCCCCTGTTTGCGCGACGATTCTCGCGGCGGAACAAGACCACGTTCTTGGCCACAAGGACTGCGTACACAATGTTGAACGCAATGCTGACCCACAGCCCTGGTCGGTAACCCGGGGCGTCCTGGGAGCGGAAGACGTTGCCGGTGATGATGCCTGACACGGCACCACCCATGGTCATCATGGCCATGGCCAGACCCTTTTTCAGCTGGCCGACGAGGTTGTTGTGCGCGTACGCCCATTGAAGAGGGATGTTGCCGGTCATGCCGATCTGGCCGACGAAGACTCCCGCGTAGCGAGCGCTGGTGTTGGTGCACCAGCCGACCCTAGATGGGGGTGCTGGTCAGCTTAAATACGAACAAGACTCGAGCCTCTGGAGACTGGAACCAGGAATAAACTTACATGACAATGCCGATAATGTATATTGCGCAATTGGCGATCATGATGGGCCCTCTTGTCCGCAGTTTGTCACCTAGGTAACCACATATGATCATCCACTGTCATTGTCACAACTTAGCACGTCTACCAGATCTCTAGAAGTGGAGGTACGTACCACTCCGCCCACGAGGTAAGGGGGAAATGTCATGACTTGTGCCTTTGCAGTTGAGTAACCGAAGCCGTCCTTCAAAATGACTGGAAGAAAGTATGCAAAGGCATACAATGCGGTGTTCTGCGGCCATGTCAGCGTCTTGGTAACCATGCACGGGGCCGTGATCAAAGGCCACAGCAAGCGGAGAAGACTTTACGTTAAGGAGCAGGTAGAGTGGAAATTCCCAGAGCTTCCAGTCCCGGATGTAACTAGTAAAGAGGGCCCAGGTGAGTTTCTCCTCCACCGCGTCACCACGGTCACGCTCGATGCGGGCCAAGACTAGGGCAGCTTCTTCTGGAGTGAGGAATTGGGGAAGTCCCAGTGAATTCCTTTTGGCAGCTGTATGGTTTCACAACAGGTGTTAGTGCAACCGTGAAATCGCAGCTGAGCAGGAAGTCGGGGACAGGATGGAGAAGCTCACCTCGTTCTGGAAAGTCGATGATGAGAAAGTAAGATGCAAGAGCCACGGCGCCGCTGACGACTCCTTCGATGATGAAGATCCAGCTAGATGTATCCACGTTAGATGTGATTCTGGCGTTTACCGCTCAAAAGGGGTATGACATGGAGGCTCAGAAGCTGCTGGTAACTTACCGCCAGCCGCGAATACCAGCAGTCCCTTCCATCTTCTCGAGACCATACGCAAGTAGACCTGAGAGGCCGGCAGACATGATCCCGATAACATAGAAAGCAGCGATCCGTGTTCCGATCTCATAGCGTGTGTACCAGCACCCCAAGAGATACTATAGTACTTGACTGGTCAGATACACCCATGCACAATCAAAAGAAGACGGGCTGAGAGCAGGGAGACACGGATACCACTTACAAGTACGCCGGGAACAAGTCCACCTTCCAGAAAACCGAGGAGAGCTCGGCATACAGCCAGTGCTCCCCAAGTGTTACAGAATCCCTGGCCAATGGTGATCACACTCCATGCCAGTCCGATGGACCCGATCCAGAAGGCTGGGCCGAGCTTGCGGGTCAGCCACATGGCTGGAATATCAACCAAAGCATATCCGATGAAGAATATCATGGTCAAGACAGAGTACCTGTTGCTGACATTTGTGTTGAGATCTTCTCTCATTCCGGCAATATTGGCCTATCGTGCACACGTGGTTGTCAGCAAGCGAAGTAGTTTAAGGCCGCGCCTCAAAGACAAGAGCCAGCCTACGTTGCCCAAATTACTTCGGTCGATATACGCCCAGATATACACCAGAGCCAGAATGGTGATCTGGCGGAAGTCGACTTTCCTCATGATCTCCTTCAGCCGACGTTGATCTACAAGCGTTTGAGCCTCCATGGCTTCTCCGAGCGGAATGTCTGGTAAGTGTTCACGTAGAGCTTCTGCATCACGCAGCTCTTTTTCTCGTGCGGCTTGTGCCTCCGAGCTCTCCATATATTCGCTGTGCTCAGGGTGAGCTTGTTTGGGGTCGGAGGTATCATGCATAGTGTTGGTGTTAGAGGTCGTCGACGACCGCGCTGGTAAGTGGATAGTGCTGGCAAGGTGTTAACAAGGAGACTCAGCCCTGAACTGAAATTCTTGAGCGCGAGAACAGAGAATAGTGATATGCCAATGTTTAGGACCGCATCTGTTTCCTCCACTCGGAGACAAGTATATATGTGGAATGGATATATTCGATTCTGGAGTGGTTGCAAGAGTGTCCTCGAAGTCTCATATCTTGGGCAGTGGAGACGGTAGACTATCCCCCAGGCGGAGATCTGTTCTCCGTCACGGGTGAGAAACGGGGTAAAGAGTGCGGGTTAGCTCCATAGCTTGCTTCAGAATGGCTCCCTTTCTTCCCGGCAGAACCTAGACGCGAAAGACGACATTCGACTACTATGACACATTGGTATGGCCACGTATTGCAGCTCCGATGTCTTTTTCGCTTCCGTATGTCTATCGTACTTCGCTTCCGTGGTAGTTGCTTTCTTCGCTTCCGTCAAGCGAGCGTCGAGAAGCAGTAGACACACTTATACAAGAAGGTGCAAGAGTAGAAGGTAGAAGACAGAAAGTACCAACTTCGGTAAGTTGCTGATCTTGATTATCACTAACACCATAGCGCAAGCCTGTAGTATCGACCTTGTATCGACCTTGGTGGCTGCAGGGCCTAAAATTGACGCCTATAGGTGCCCATGGAGTGCCTCATTCAACTAGTACTTTTCTGGTAGAGCATATTTGTTCATCACGCCGCTTCTCGCACGCATCTGGACAATACGACAGCACGCTACATGATGGCCATGATATTTGGAGGCGAGGCCACTACGCCTGTGTAGTTCAATGGCGACGAGGTCAAGAAGAAAGTCCACCGTCCTTGCTTCTGGCATTCCTTCGCCAGCGCATCCAGGTCGAACAGCTCACCGATCGTTGTGCCCCAGCCTGATAGCAGAATTGGATGTAGCATGCCGAATTTCGGGTCCGCAGGCGCTTCAGTTCGTTAGTTGCTGCTCACTAAGAGATGAAAAAAACTTACGGATACATTCAAAGGCAGGGTTATCGCCAGCAACTGCTGCGAATTGTTGCTCCCATAGCCATTTCGCTACCTTCTTCGACTGACCTAGGCCGGGAAAGGCGTGGCTCGAGCTATATTCTGTTCTTGACGCTGTGTCTAGTTTCGAATATACCTCCACAAAGCCTATATCATCACCATCAGCTAAGTATACTAGAAATTTTTCCTTGCGGTGAGAGATAGATATACTTACCTGTTCGAAGAATGAAGATATCGCCGGCGCGTAGGGCGATATTGGACTCTTTAATGATTGCTTTTACCGAGTCTAGCGTGATTGCGTGGCCACTCAATCGATCGTATTCAATCCCATTGCGCTGTGCCCATGAGTGATAGTCAATGAGTACACCACGGCCAGCGATCCCCTGTAGAGCCCACGCGTCTATACCATTGATTGTGCTTCTTTGTTCTGTGTGAATATCATTCTGGGTTACACTATAAGAATAGTTAGCTTACTTTTTAATGACCTGTAACTGAAATTACTATATCATACTTATTGTAGAACTTGCCCTCTTTTTGATACGCAAAATGTCGAAAACTATCCCATTGGCTACTCCCTTGAGTGTTGAACGTGATCTATCGACGTTGTGATTAATAAAGCGAATACAGGAGGACTTAGGATCGTGTCGACATACCACATCATCGTTAATAACTCTCGGGGCCTTGTTCACAATATAACGCTCAAAACCTCTACGGCCAAGTAGAGGGGGGTCGATAAAATCTAGCGGTAAACTGACCAAAACTCAGCGAGAGAGCATTGACAACAGTCAAACTCGGAACCTACTTCAAGCCGATACGCACGCCGGTTTGGATCTCTTCCTTGGCTACTCGAAGAGTATTGGTATCGGACAAGTAGTTTAGAGCACCGAATTCTGGTTTTTCCCAGAGTCCCCAGGCTGAATACGGAGGGTCTTCCTTTCTGAGTGGAAGTTGCTCGAAAGAGGGGACTTGCTTTGCTAGGGAGGCCATATTGGGTGGATGAGTGTCACTGTGTATAAGGATTGCAAAGAAAGATTGGGGGTTATGATCTCGCTCGAACGAAACTGCCTCTTTCACGCTTCGACCGTCAAAACCGACTGTGTCCGAGACTCGGCAGTCTGATATCCGGCGCTCAGCTCCACTTCGGTGATCAATGTCCCAGTATAACAATGCTTCCTCCTGAGAAGATCATAGAGGTACCTGTGGCCGATCAAGTTATCACATACTCGCGTTCGACAATGTCTAGAGCTATCATTGTTCTTTACTTGGAGCCGACGCCCACTGCCCCGGCGGTAGCCATGGAGCAATGGCGCGTCGACATTCTCAAAAGTCTTCCTAGCGCCAACTGGGTCCGTAAGGTAGTGGCGAGCGACAAGATCAACGACACTCAGCCATACAAGGAACAATTCATCGTTGACTTGGAAAATGAGAAGGATGCCACCGAAAGCGTCATCGAAGCCCTGAGGACCGAGGGTGGAAGCATACTAGCGCATTCTGACTGGCACATTTATCGGGAGATCTCGAGAGAGTTGAGAAAAGGCGTGAAGACCACGGACTATCCTCCCACAGGCACCGAATTAGTTCAAGTAGGCATGGCGCCTACACCGGCCTCGGTTCAAGACTACCACGACTGGTTCGACCATGAGCACCTTCAGATGCTCGCCGATATCCCCGGTTGGCGCTCCGGCTCTCGGTATGAGTTGGCAGCAAGCTATGGCGACGGCAAGGAGGAAGCGTGGCCATTTATGTCTGCGAACGAGTATGAGGTGGAAAATGGACTGGGTGGACCGATCTGGAAAAAGTCCATGGACACGCCGTGGACTGTCAAAGTGTTGTCAAATCTCAGCAGACCAAATCATCGGAGGACTTGGAAGTATGTTCCATTGTAACTCGCTAGTTAGAGCATGTCCGAACTTCCTTCTAATTTCAGAGGACACTTCAGTCAAGTAGAAAGCCAATGTAAGGAGTCAGGAGAAACACGTTTAAAGTATGTCCCTGACCCGGGAAGGCAAGCTCAGCGGCTCAAGTATGAGTCTATCGACTCGACGTTGGATTTTGAGCGAGTCTCATGCACTAAATGCACAAACTGTGTCTATGGTGGAGGTGTAGGAGCTCTTCTATAATTCACTCTCGAGTGAGGCGTTTCATATCTTATTCCCGGTGTGTCTATGCTTTGACTGAAGAAGCTGGCGTGGCCACAAAGAATACAGCTGGAGCTTCTGATTGCAGAACCTTTGGCTTTGACGATTCCGTACCCCTGATATGTCCTATGCCATCACTCCAAGTCGTGATATCCACCTTCCACTTGGGACTCTCGAGTGCAGATCTGAAACACGTGTCAGTAAAAATTAGGACTAAAATGATCATCTAGACGTACTTTAGCGGCTCGAGATTCCCTGTGAGTGAGTTGTAGGCTTCCTCAGATCCGTACTGCTCAAAGACAGTCACAACGAGGCTTTTCCCGTCTCGACGAACCAGTGGAAGGTATGAGACAACATCGTGTTCCAGGCGGAGGCTTCCGCCCAAGTTGGAAAGGGTTTGATATAGTAGTTCTTTGTCAGCGTCTTCGACTTCAAACCTGGTGAGCACAACAAAGGTAGACCGACATTCCTTGAAGAACAACGAGGATCTAGAGTCTTTGTTCACAAAGCCGGAGTCGTCCAATGGCTCTAGGAAGATGATCTCCGGGTAGACTTTGCCCCACAGCTGTTCCTCTGCAGAGGCTTTGCGCATTGCTTGATACTCCGTGCTGCTTCTGTGGACAGTCGTCAACGCTGCTTCATTATCGTACCTTCCGGTGCATTAGCAGAAGCCATGGCATTGGGCAACAGGGAAACACCATACAGTTCGAAGCCAGCGATCCATGGTCCTTCCAGTGTGCTGTGAGAAGACTTTCTAAACCAGCAATACGCTCGATTGTCTGGCTCATCCAAAAAGGTAACCCTTGCGACATCGTCCAGTAGACCTCTAAGCTGTGAAGGCTCGACTCAGCGACTTTGCATTTCGGAGGAATGATGCACTTACCCTTTCGGCCTTCTCTTCGGATTCCACTTGGTGCTGCAAGCAAATGGCTAAGGACATCGTGGATTTAGTGAGATGTTTGAAATTCAGGTACCACCCACGGTGTGAGAGCTCATGCTGGACTCAAAAGACTCTCACGATGTGCGAAAGAACTGTCGCGCAAGATGAATCAAGGTTTGTATTGTCCCGTCGGACATCTGATGTCCGTCCTGGGTGCCGCACTCGGTCCGCGGTCCGTGAGCATAAGCACATACCGTGACCATGAAGTGCTCTCGGTGTTGTGCTGGACCTACTTTCCCTGAGTTGAGACAGACAGGCATACTTAGGTAATGATTCAGACATGTCGACGGTACTAGATCACGATTTCTTGAAACACCTTGCTGCCATTCACGACCACGCGCCAGGACACCAGCCGCCACGCCTCAAATGGTACCTAACGACGATAATCGCTTTTGGCGGGATGAACTATCCTGAGTTGATCCCTGAGCTGTACCAAATTCTACTCAGGGAGCATATTCACGAAGAAGAGCAGATGCAAGAGACTCGTAAGATCCGGGAGGGACTCACCAAGATCTGTGGCATCTGGGGCGCTGCAAAGGTAGGTATATATGCTTATGATTCGTCAACTCAGCTTCGAGCCCGTTGACTTGGAGCAGACTGGTAGCGCGACACGGCAGCTATCGAAAGCCACTCCACCGCGTCTTAAAGATCCTACCGTCTACAGGTGAGTTTGATGTGCTTGCCGAATTCTGTCACTTCTCCGTGCTCTAACATTCTCGCCTTCACAGGAGCCGTGAGCCACAAGAGGTAGCCTTCAAGAGGGGGCAGGAAATGCTGGACCAGATCTATAAACGGATACCTGGTTATGATATGTCACTTGTCTCTGAGGCATCTCCAGACTACGGCTGGATTGTGAATAGTGAGTCGTGAAGATCAGCACCGTTACTACCGCAAAAGCTGATGACGGCAAACAGACCTATTTTACGGACATGTGTTTTCGTTTCCCGACATACTCGATGCTGTGGAGACGGGCCAATGCGTTGTAGCCGCATTGTTCAGCACGGATTGCCAGGAGCAGGTTCGCAACCACATGCTGGGTATGATGTACAGCGGAGCCACTCGCGGAGAGGTAGAAGGTATCCGGGCTGTGGTCATGGCGGTAGCGGATAAGCTGGGCGTCGTTGGCAAGCAAGGCAGACGTGCGATTGAGGTTCCAGAAATGTAGGCCAAGCCAAAGACAAGGCAGAGACTCATGACTTTGCATATTAGTGTGCGGGTCTACATTGCAATGGCAAGGTACAAAGTTCCGATTCAGTAGTGAATCTCTGGCAAGACCATCAAATCCCAGTACTCATCAAAGGTGAGCGTCTGCGTGTCACCAATACTCTTTCCCACCATCTCTCGTTTCGTGAATCCATTACCGAGCCATGAGAATCTGTTCATCCCCAAATGGCCATCAGGAAGATACTCCAGATCATAGTCCTCCCATCTCGGATCGCGTAGAGCTTCAGCGAAATGAAAGCAACTTCCAGCATAAACACCAACGACACGACCGTCCGTGGTGCCTCTCTTATACCAGCTTCGGCAGGGAGCGACCCATACCGTCTTTGAGAGCCAATTCTGAGAATACTCGTTATAGTCTTTTGTTGCGGCTGCGTTGACCGTCATAGATTTCAGGGATTGAGTTTGCAATTTGTTGATACATTTATAGATGTACACACCCGTCATCTGAATAGCCTGTACAAGAGAGCCATTCGAAATCGGGCTATTGGGGCCGATGAACACTGTCCCGCATTAGCTCCTGCGTCGAAATGGTGGTAAAAGAAGAAGGGCAATTTTAGGTGGTATTGAGGCTAGCGTAGGCCAGGAACTGACTTACTGAAGTAATTTGGCATGTCTGGGACGGTGGTGCTGAAGTAGGCCTCTGGAGGATCCGTCAACCACTTCTCGGCAAGGTCTAGACCGTTTTTGCCTTTCAAAGGGAAACGAGGCCTAAACGTGGTGTCGAAGCCGGTGGCACAAAAGATCGCATCCAGCTCTTTGTGGCTGCCGTCCTTGAGTTGAATTCCAGTCTGAGTAATGCTGTCAATATTGTCCCAGTGGCTGTTGACATTCTCCATGGTAAGAGCTTCGAGAAATCCCGGACCCGGGGTCAGGCGTCTGCAGCCCACTGGAAAGTCAGGAAGCAGCCACTCCGCAATGCGTTTGCCCTTCTCAGAGGAGCCCAGGCGATCAATCATAGTTTTCCTGAATAGCTGATCAGTCTCGTTTTGAGCTTTAGATCCAGCCATGGAGCGCTTGAAGTTGGCAATGCGTTTGTCGGCGAGGAATCTCCGGTGGCGCTGCAAGTATTCTGGCTCAGTCCTGAACCGTTCCAGTTCATAAGACGCGTAGTTGTAATGTTCATCAACATCCGGATCTTCGGGGGTGGGCTCGTTGATCCCAGGAGCCGGTGATATCCAAGTTGATGATCTGACAAAAAAGTCCACGTGCTTCGCGGCTACAAAAATGTCAGCCTGGCTCACTTGATGCCCCGCGACAGACATACCTGGTGCCACCTTGGGCAAAATCTGAATTCCAGAAGATCCAATGCCGATGACTGCAACGTTCTTACCAGTCCAGTCGTACGAAGTATCCCAGTTGGCTGAATGCAGGAGCTTACCCTTGAAGTTGTGGATGCCGGGGATCTTCGGCCATTGCCAATTACTCCCGCCTTGTCAGCCCTCACGTCCACATCTGTTGACGTCCACTTACTTCAGCACGCCTCCAGCATTGATAAGAACGTCACATGTGTCCGTAAACTCAATTCCGTCGGCTTCCACGGTCAGGATCCATTTGCCAGATTGTTCACTCCATGTGGCGCCGGTGACTTTGTGCCGGTAAGCGAAGTACTTGTCGCAACCATACTTCGCCGAGGTATTCTTCATGTAGTCGTAGATCTGTTCGGACGTTGCATAGTAGTTTGGCCATGACGGGTTGGGCGCAAAGCTGAAGGCGTAGTTATGCGCTGGAATATCACATTGGCAACCCGGGTACCTGGTGAAACGTGTTGGCCTCAGTCAAGGCGTTGGGATGGTCAGGAGAGGCTTACCGATTAACCAGCCAGGTACCCCCAAGGTCTTCGTTCATCTCGTAGACCTGGAAGCTAACATTGTGGTTCTTCATCTTCTGCTCCACAATGATACTCATCATCAGACCGGAGTATCCTGCGCCTATGCATACCACGCGAATTGGGCGATGCTCTCCAATTGGATGAGAGCTTGCATCTTGCTGTGCATCGAGGTTTCTTGCGGCCATCGTGTGGTTGGCTTGCATTTCCAGTGTGCTGATCTATCGACTCTGCAGGATTTTCGAGTCTTTCATATCGAAATTCCGTGTCGCGTCCCTTGGTGACTCCAATGCGGTGGTGAATCTCGACTCTTCTCGACATGAACCGAGGTCATCGTGCGGAGTTCTGATGTCCGACGACTTCATTCTTCTCCGATGCCAATCTAACCGCCGCCGAGCAGCGGATAATGTCAGGAGCTTGTGGAGTAACACAGGACGCTGTCGATCAATTTACCCGCGAGAGAGTCTGGGGGGAGGTGATGGCGAGGGTGGCAGACGCTGGCGATCTCGGCGGCCCGGGGAGAATATGTTAGTGGGGTTTGATGTTGCTTCGTTTGGTGGACGGAGTCAACGTATCACTTTCGAGGCTCTGTTAACGGAAGTGAACACTCGTTATATGCGAAGCGTGCTTGTAATCCTCGGTTGCAAAGTAGGTCGATTGCGGTATGGGCGTTTCTGGTTCTTGGAGCCACCAGACCGAAGATTCGAGGTGAAGGAAGAAAAGACTGATGGAAGGGCTTGAATAGGAGCGTTGCGTCGAGGAGCGCGAAGGCCAGGCGCCCGCAGGGAGTCGGCAGGAGACCATCATGCCTATACGTAGTAACTTAGATAAGCCTTTGGTCAGTCGACATTCAGGAGTCTTCTGGTTGAAATATGTGCTAACTGCCCAGGGCGATTCATGCGGAGTGTGCCTGATGTACCCCAGCACCGCCCGCCCTTAAACACGGGTAGCCAAGTACTCGGGGTAGTTGGTAGTCAGCATCTCTTCAGACTCGTAGAAAGCCTCGGTCACCCAGGCGCCTCCCACTGCCTCCCATAATGCATTCCATCAGTCGAAACTGCTCCAGGCCATCAGCAACAACCAGAGATGACTAGTATTGGCCACCGCTCTCGAAAGAACAAGGCTTGTCAAGCATGTCGTGTTCGCAAGGTAAGATGTAAAATGTCATGCAACAGTACCTCGTTGACGACTGAAGATCTGCTAATTACTACATTCTTTCACCACAGGTGAGATGCGATGGACAGCGCCCAAGCTGCTCGCTATGCCGGTCATCGCAAGCGTCATGTGTCTACGAGACCGACCGTAGGCAGGATTCCAGAATTTCCAAAGAGCATTTTCAGCAGGTGAACGACAAAGTGGCTAGCCTGGAGCAAATATTGGCGGGCATGAGGGATCAAAATTCGTACAACGAGGTGCTCCCATCGACCAGGACGTCAATGACCCGAGAATCTCGTGTTGAGGCCGTGGACGGTACACTGAGGGCATCGGTGTTGATCGATCATGAGAGCCTACCTCAGCTGCCTCTCCGCGCGCCTTTGCCTGAATCGCCATCTCGAGACCTTCCATTACACCGGACAGTACCTGTCCACACACTAGTGCAGAGTGAGACTGGCATGTCCATCCATGGTCCAGCGTCTGCTTTCCACGTGCCTCCGTCGACGAGGTCGGTGCCCAGCGGACTGAGCGTTGCAGCCGACAGCCCAGTATCTGTGCGCAACCAACAGCAAACAGATGACGAACTCCGTCGCGAGCTCTTCGCGTATTCTGCGCTAGAGTTTCAGAAAGAGTATACCTACATGTCAGAACGAAAGATCGATCTCGATGGCCTCGATTGGGAGACCGCGGACCATTTGTTCCAGCTGCACTGGAATCACCACCACCTTGGATTCTTGATCACTTATCGACCAGCCATCATGCAGAGTCTCGCGACGGGCGGGCCACATTGCAACAAGTTACTACTCAATGCGATCTACTACACGGCCGCCTTGCAAAGCAGTCGACCCAATATGCGCGACGACCCTGCACATCCCCAGTACCTCGGCACCAAGTTCTTCCATCGTTTTCAGTCATTAGTAGCTTCGGAGCTGCAGACGTCATCTACGGCCACTATCGCAGCGCTCGTGTTAATGGGATCGTCATGCGTGTCAAATGGCAGACAAACAATCGGCTGGTTGTATGCAGGACTCTCATACCAGATGATTGTTGATCTTGGTCTGCATGTCGATCCTGACAAGGTACAAATGTCCAGTCTTGTACCAAGTAAACCTCCTATCCCAATGACAGCAGTTGATCTTGAAATCCAACGACGTTACATCTGGGCCGCCTATCTGAACGACCGGTTTCAGTCGCTGTACTTCGGCCGGCCTCCGAGCCTCCGCATGATCGAAGGTGTGGAGACGTCGCAGACTGTCCTCGACGACTATGAAGAACTGGAGCTGTGGAAGCCATACATTGACCCCACGGGCGCAGATATTCCAGTGAACTTCACTCCACAGCCGGCGCGAGCCATCTCTACAAGGGCAGCGCTCGTTCGACTTGCAGAAATCACTGACCAGATCATTGAGAGCTTCTATACGCCTAAGTCGGGAAGGATGTCCACGGATGCGGCACACTGCGAAGTCCAACGGCTGCAGCACCAGCTCGACTTTTGGGCCGAGACTCTACCAGTACACCTACGCTATGAGCCGGGAGATCTACCAGTTCCACCGCCCATACGATTCAATTTACAGTATGTTGTCACCGAATCTTGTGGCTTCATCGATGACCCTTGAATGGACTATTCAGAGCCAGGCTAACCATGACCAACTAACATCTAGCACCACTTTCAGCCTCCTACACATCCTCCTGCACCGCCCTTTCCTCCGCGACGGGCACCTTGAGGCCCTCAACGTAGACGAGTCCACCCGACACGACATCTGTGTCACCGCCGCATTGCGTATCTACAACCTGGCCCGAATCTACCGTGACGTCTTCACGTTGCGCCGAGCAACCTACCTCTTCAGCTATGCCGTGTTCTCCGCCGCAACTGTCTTGCCGATGCACACGTCTCCAGCGTCGGACGCGACTGATGAGCGCAAGGAGATTGTTGTATTCTTCTGGAACGCGCTCAAGGAACTCCAAAACGGCGCAAATTTCGGCCTGCGTAAGACCATCCGTATCATTGGCGGCATGTTTGAGCGCGCCGGCATCGACCTCAATGCCTTGCCGCTGACGGACAAGAGGCCCCACAGCTACCACCAATCTTATGACGAAGGTCTCCGCGCCAGTTCCGACCCGTCTGCCAACGTCAATGCTCAAAATCTACCGGTGCAGCCCGCAAGCGGGCTCGACATGCTCGCCGTCGAGAGTTTCAAAGACTTCTACAACGACCTCTCCATCGAAAACATCGACTGGCCAGCCTTTGTTGACGTCGATGCCAATCATGACAACGATGAGTTGCTCTATGGACTTTTCCGGGCTGGAGACGGCAGCATAGACGCCTCACTGGGTCTTCCGTCCAGGTCTCATAGTCCGCGGTGATACCTCTGACCGGGATAAGTATAAGTTTTTAGCATCGGGTCAAGCATGGACCTCTTGACCAGATGAAACCCGCACTCTGCTGGCCTGGCTCTACGAGTCACTGTGCCATTCTTCGAATTCCAGCCTACAAACACTGCACCACTCGTTTGTTGCTTTCCAGGCCACCCAACAATGACACTTTCGGCGCCCTCACTATCGTGCCCTGTCGAGCCGGTTCTCAGCGTTTGGGCAGCGGCCGTCAAAGACAGCCATCGGCCGCGGGAGCAGACTCCGCCACCACCCGTATAGGTTGGATAATGAATTGGATCGTCCAGCGAGATGATCCTCCGACTATTTTTACTCGGAGCAAATATCTGACTGCTGCTCCGTGTGCTTGATAACGACGATACGAGAGGAAGAATTCTCCGACAGAACAGACGACAAAAGCAATGACAAACAAATGCCTTGCCCAGGCACGGGCAGCTTGTGTTTCATTTCAATCGATGCTATGTAGGGGTATCCCACGCTGTCTTTGGCAACGCTCTCTCACTCTAACAAGCCTCAATACTCCAGCAATAAAAATCTATCAATGCCATCAAAGCTCGGATGCGACTCCCGGCAAACCCAGAGTACCAGGAATCGTTTGGACAATTACCAGAAGGGGAGAAATGGTTGAAGGTGCCCATCCACTCAACATCCGCAATGCCTGCTAAACACTCAATTATTCATTACAAGAAAATCACTAACCACTCCAATCTGGCTCACGCTTGATGGATATCGAATGCTTTGCGTGCTTCCAAAATTTCAATCTTTGTGTTGCCGTCTCTACCACGTCATCGGTATTCCTCCGTGCCCCGACGACGACGGAAAAAGTCTTGCACTCTCTTGACCGCACCGGAACGGCCTCCGTGATGGTTTGGTCCGTGGTCGTGCGCGTATGCGTCAGTGAACTTGCGGTTGTTCTTGACGAGAACGCTTCGCTGTCGTCCCTGTTGCATTGAGGGTCGGCTTTCGGCAGGTTCAGCCTGTTGTGACATCATGTGGGCCATTGGCTCACTTTGCTGGCGTTGATGGACCACTCGTCCCTGCTCATACGGAGAATAGACGCCGGTTCCGCCGTAGACATCTGTCGATGCTCCCCGTTGTTGCTGAGGAAGTCGGGAATAGTTGCTGTATTGAGCTCCTCGAGACATGTCATACTGACCGTCCGTTGGGTTTACAGCCCCGCTTGCATACTGCTGACCTGTCGGTGGTCGGCTCGAAGTCGATGGCGCGAATCGTTCCGCCGGAGGAGTTCCGGGCTTCGATGAGGTCTCATCCTTGGAGCCACCCATCAGACCTTTGAAAGAAATTGTACTAAGAAGTGAAAATCGCCGTACCGGTTTTTCTGTTTGTCCCTGATTTTCCAAATCCGTGCTTCGCTTCCTGCCCAGACCAAAAGCAGAGAATGACCGCTTCGAGTCCGTGGACGCGCGTGGCTGCGGCTCGGCAGGGTACTCCCTCATGCTTGTTGGAGGATACTTTCTTGCGATCTTTTGGCGTTCAGCGTCCTTCCTGACGACCGAGTTTGACCGGCCAAAGAGTCGCTCTCCCAGCCCGCTCAAGGTGCTTGAACGTCTGTGATGGGTCTTCTGCACCTGCTGTACCGCTTGTGGTGGCATAGGTGTAGCTGTGGGCTGACCGATCGATGGATATGTGGTGGACTGAGGGATGGGTCCTGAAATATTGTAGCCTCGGCTAGGCTTCGTTGGCTGAGTGACCCGACCTTCGACATTGGTCGCAGCAACTGTTGGCGCGACAGGTTGACCATAAGACCCTCGAGAGGGTAAGCGAACATCAGATCTAGGTACCCCAGCAGATGTCATCGACCCTTGCGTGCTTGGTCGGGCCACGTACTGATGGCCACTTGTTGGGGCAGACTGACCGAATGCCGTGGTAGAGTCGGATACAGATCTCGGAATGTCACGACCCGGCCTAACCGGAGGAGGCATCTTTTCGGCACTTTGGGGTTTTCTCTGCCCAATGTCCATCGCAGGTTCTTGTGGTAAAGGTTTGGACAAAGACTGTGACAAAGTCGCGTTTGGTGTTTGTTGAGATTTGTCCACCCCTCCACGTCCAGCTGCGGCTGAAGTAGACTCCGATGGTTGACGGCGCGCTGTGTGTGTCTGAGGCGGCACATACTCGGGCTGTAATGTGTGACGGGCCGATCTGTCACGTCGGGACCCTGTCGAGCCATCCTCAACTTCGGGCAACAGCCCTTCAGGGGTGCGAGCGAGGGCGCCTGGAGAGGTGGCGCTAGGTTTGGAGGGCCCTTCACGGACAGAAGCGCTCCGGTGCATCGTCGATGGTTCCTCTTCTGGAGGGGGTATTAGTAGCTGTCAAGACGTGGAGAGAACAAAGAACGTACCAGAAGGCACAGTAGTATGGGCAATGTCTGCCACGTTGGTGGTACTACTAGTGATGTGAGAGACCACATGATGATACTCACTGAGCCAGCTGTGACGGGCCACTTCAAACAGATCGGCACGCTTTCGTGGATCGGGGACCAAAATCCGACGCAGAAGATCTCGCGCATGGGGTGTAACATATTCGGGGAAGGTCAATGGGGTGGTGGTGATGTACTTGTACAGGAGGTTGATATTGTCACCCTCTGGATTTGAAGGATCGTCGTCGAAAGGAAGGTATCCTGCTAGCATTGCGTACTAGATGACATTAGTTAAGCCACGTACGAAAGAATTCGGTAACTCACCAGGATGACGCCACAACTCCATACATCGACCTTCTTGCCTGTATACAATGAGTCGCTAACCACAAGTTCAGGTGCTGCGTAGCAAGGGCTACCACAGCTGGTCTGCATCAAGTCGCCTCGTCGCATTCCGCGCTGGTCCAAGCGGTCCAGCTTAAACTTTCTCACAAAATCCTTGTTGCTGAGATTGTACACTATCTCATCGGACAACTCGTCTGTAGGGTCGAAGGTGTTGGCAAAGCCAAAGTCGGTGATGATGATATTTCGGTTCTGGTCGAGGAGCAGGTTTTCGAGTTTCAGATCGCGATGAACGATACCTTTCTTGTGGAGATAGCCGACGCCAGAAACAAGTTGGGCAAACAGTCTCCTAGCCGCAGGGTCCTTGAGATATCGGTGGTTGAGAATGTAGTCAAATAACTCTCCGCCCGAGGCGTACTCTAGTATGATTCCGATATGTCGTTCGGTCTCCACCATTTCGTGGAGTCTGACGATGTTGGGATGAGCGAGGTCACGTAGAATCGTGATCTCTCTGTAGATTTTCGGTAGCCGACTGGGGTTGCTCGCGACGCTTTCTCTTCGAATGAGTTTAATGGCCACCTGAGAGCTGCCGTCTCTCTTCCAGCCCAACTTGACCTTGCCGAACTCGCCTTCACCGAGTGTCTGACCAAGCACGTAATCACCAAACTGGATTTCTTTCCTCCGAGACTTCGAGTAGTCTTGTCGACGAGCTGGGCCGGGTGCGGGTAGCAGATCTTCACCATCCGCAGCTGTGTTCGCACTGTCGGCGCCGATGGGGGCTGGTTGTGCTTCAGCAACTCTCTCTTGGGCTCTTTCCTCATCTTCTTGGGGGTCGGAAACGACGACTCTGTGGATAATCTCACTGTATTCGCGCACCAACGGTGCTTGTGGGTTGGAGGATTGCATGATGGCGTCGGAACGACTGGATGAAGGCGCGGTGTGATGACTTCTCTCTCTTGTGCTCGAGGCTTGCTGCGGGCCCTCGGGACTGGAAGGATGTTTTCGTCGGTTACGTGCAGCAGACGCAGCCGCAGTAGCTGTATCCTCCCGTGGTCTGTCCCGAGGCTCCTCATTGTAATCTCCGACACGATTCTGAACCCGACTAGAGGAGATGTCTGGATTGTTGTTGCTTCTTGCATGTCGCCCAGGAACCGCCTGAGATCCTGAGCTTTGTTGCTGGGAAGAAGTTCTGGGTGGTGGTATCGGTGGACCGTCGTACTGATCAGGAGCTGCAGACTGATTGCGGATGTGGTAAGGAAGGTTCGTGTAAGTGGCAGGGACAGGGTTTTGTTCCTGATGAGATGTGTATCTCACAGGTTCTTCCATCTGCCTTGAAGAATAGTACTGGAATTAGAAGGTTAGCATGAATCTCGAGAAGGGTTCGAGACGATGACACTCACCGATTGATTGGTGTAGTACCCTTCAGGATCCACGGATTCTTCTTCCTCGTCGTCCACTTCTTGTTCTTCGTAGCGAAGATTTCCAGACGGTATATATGCTGCCGACGTCGGTACATGTTCTCTGTATTGGCCCGTGGCTTGCATTGTGTCCATGGACATCCTTCTTCCACCTGAGTCGCGGCCTCAACCACAGACCCTTGGGCTAGCTTTTCACGCAGTTTAATGACAGGTCTGCGCGTATCACGCGGGAGAAAGGGACTTGGGAGCCACACGACTCGATAGGATGGACAAAAAACACCTGTAGCTGATGTGGTGTTAGAGCGTGTCCCTAAATCACCATACCGGCAAAGGTTGTTACTCACGGCTTTTCTCTCTTCATCCAGAAATCCCAATGCTATTTCTTGACTAGCAGGAAGCGCGATGGCAATCCACGACGCGGCAGTTCCGTGATGACAAGCAACGGAAGTGAAGGCCAAGTCGGACCAGGGACGGAGAACAACGCAGAATTCAAGATCGAAGAGCGGCTCGAGGTCAGGTGTATGGTGGGCTATTGCTTGAAACAAACAATTCGAGACGGCGAAATCCAGGACAGACGTCGACCTGCGACGCCGATGGATGCAATATTTGTTGATGAGGCTGTGATTGTGTGCACTCAGGGCCAATCATCAACAAACACGAGGGTGAGGAGATGGGAGGATGGCGGTCATCGCGCTCCAGACGAGGCGGAGGGAGAGGTGGTGGTGGTTTGTTGACAGAGCGGCAGAAGCATTTAGGACGAAAAGAGAGGCGGTCTGGAAGTTCGAGATGAACTGAAGATGGGAGTATGTCGATAGGAGGCCGTTGCGATAGGTCGCGGCAAGAGAATAGAGGATAAAGGAGGAGTGTTATTCTTGATTGCTGTGTGTGTACAGTATCGGTGAGCGAGATACTGTACAGCAGCAGTACGGGGTGCACGAGTAAGAACAGCAGCCGCACAACGAAGAAGAAGCGCAGGTGTGTCTCGGCCCCAGTAGCAGCGACCGCACCCTCACGCCCGAAGTAGCTTTCACAATATCCGTGCGATCGGTACGGATAACGACCTTCTATGGAGGAAGAGAGAGACTGGGAGAGAGAGCATTCCGGGGCTGGTGTTCACGGTTCCCTGCCGCTCGCACTGTAGGCTCTAAGGCTTAAGGACCCAGGCTTATTAGGAGGCTCGCTAGGCAGCACTAGATGCCAACGCTCCACCAAGGCAACGGCAAAGAGGCCACGCTAAAGGGAATTGCTTTGAATTATCCGCCCACAATGCCTATTGTCGTTCTGAGGATCATCAAGGCCTCCTTGGAACACCGTTGGATACGTGAATAATATGGGAATTTTTCCTGTGTGCCTAACTCTAAGATCTGGGGGAACAAACCTCATTGGCGACCTAGGCTTCCGTACAATGAGTCGCTTTCGACAAGCACTCAATTATCTCTCGTAGCTAGATACAGCAGGGGTGGTACAGTAGACGCTCTTCCCCCTGCAAAAGACGTGGAGGTCGAAAAGGTAACTTGCTGTACTCTGTACAAGACTGACCTAGTGGTTACTACCTAGTGACGATCACCTGGCAGTACCGTAGTACGGCGACTGATGATACTATCTATTGTTAATTTTGTATAGCATCGCGGTCTGTTCCCCAGTCTATTGGCAGCGCGGCGTCCGGCAAATAGGGGCTCCAGGGAATCAATATTCAAACTCCACCAGTCTCTCAAACGAGCGAAAACTCCATCCTAAGGCCATGACGACTCACGGCTCCAGGGTAGAACAGGGGCTACGAAGTACGGGTATCCCTAGTGCATGTAGAAACAACAAACACGCTGCGTGGTCGAGGAGACGCAGCTGCAAGTCGATGGCCGAGGTCAATAGTAAGGTTCTTGTGCTGAGACAGTCCTCCGTGAACCAAGAGAGGCGCCATCAAGCGTGTCAAATGTGGCAGAAGCCGTGTCGACCTAATCCTACCTTGTAGTCAGTAGCGAGATTTCGCGATTTATTCTTGGTCAAATCATAATAATCGCATCCCTTGAAACGCCGACAGACGCGACTTGGAAGCGTTCGGCTCGAAAGTGGCAGCCGAGAGATCAAATCAGATTGCAGGGAAGCGCGGGAAGTCTATGTTGCTAGTCACAATAGTTGGATCTAGAGATGACATGCTTTACGGAGTCGGCTACCTGAGTCTGAGACCTCTTTGCTTGCCGCACAACTACGATCATCTGACTACGAGGTAATTCCAAGAAGACTGGACGGATGGCGGAGGAGGGGCACTTGACCTTTGCTTTACTCCCATTCGAACGAGACACTCAATGGCGGACATGAGGCGCAACAACACTACGGCATCGTACAGGAGTTGTGCTCTATCTCTATCAGTTTTTCAGGTAGGGATATCTATCTAGGTAGGAACTGCTAAGTGCTAACTCAGATATCTCCTACGACCATACGGATCCTCCAACTCGTACCTCAGGTACAATACTCAACACCTATGTATCATCTCGAACCCCTCCTCCGGATCATGGACCACCAGCTGCGCCCGCACCCAGAACACGCCACAGTGCGAAGTCTGCTCCTCCACCGCCAGGCCTCACGATCGCCCGCCGGAAAAGTAAATATGGAGCCTGCCACCACGCACTGGACTCGTCGATCGATGCATGTGACAAAGCACGGCCCTTTCGCTCGACACCGCAGACTAGCTAAGCTATACGAGTATCATGATCATTCAAAAAGTCAACGTAATAACAAAGAGCAGGATAAGCAATATCCCTCCATGATGCACTCAATTATACCCCGTAGCTTGTACCACATTTTATCGGATCGCAGACCTGAAATCAGATACCACCGGTCCACAGCGAAGAGAACCTCCTCCGGGCTCCGTACGGCTGCACGCGAAGCGAGGAAAAAACCCTGGCCTCGGTTTCAGCCACTTCCGATGGTCAAAATGTCATGCATGCCATCTCACCAGACCAAGCCGCATTCAGGAATTGAAACACGAACTGCATCCAGCATTTGTGTCTGCAACTTGTCTTGTACAACACATCATGCCCCTGGCAATGTCCCAATGGAGTCCTACAGGCCAGCCGACTCGGCGTTGATTCACAGTAACAAATCAATCACATCCCGATTGAGAGCCTTTGCATTTCGTAACAAAATCAACAGGAAATTTCACTCTTGCCCCGGACAGCGCATTTCGTTCCGTCGTCATCGTGTCTCATCGCTTTTCCCTCACATTCTGCCCTTGCAACGTTGAGCCCAGAGGCTCTCCAACTCCCGACGAATAGGACGGGGGCTCGTTGGCTGCGTTGCCATAGCTCTCCACTCCATAGCCAGGTTTGCTGACACCAGGTTGTGTGGCACCGCCATAAACGTCGGGGGAGTAAAGATCATGCTGCTTGGCATCAGGAGGAAGTACTTCCCCTGGGACTACGCCTCCATCTCCAGCTCCTACTACCAATTGCTGCCCGTTTGGCATCCTTCCGACAACCATACCCTTGGCCACTGACTTGATGACGGCACGTCGTGATACGCCCATCGCGTCAATGTAGACAAGACCAACGTTCTTCACACCGCCTGCAAGGCCATACATGACATTGCCTGCCTCTTTGCCGTATTTGTGGCCCACCACGTTGGTCGCTGCCGCCGACCCGGATGCGAGGAGGTTTCGTCCAGCCTGGTCAATGCCATCGGCAATGGTCGAAAAGGCAATCATCGATTTGTTCAGCAATCCAGGTTTAAAGTCCTTGCCTGGCTCCTTTTTGTTCTTCTCGCCCTTTCCAGCCATCCGGGCGCCGAAGTTCTGCGCATACCGGCCCAGTTGACCAACCGTCTTAGCACTCAACCCGACTGCGCCTTGGGTGAACGAGTGGATCTGTCGGATGCGAGCATGGGTTGCGGGAGAAAAGGTCATGGGCTTGGGGTTAGGCTGAGTCTTTTGTTGGAATGAGTTTGCCCCGGAAGACATTTTGTCGGCTAGATAGCTCGAGCTGGTCACTATGAACCTCGAGGCCGTCGCAGAGGTCTGTACGATGGTAGATTTGGCGTAAGCCGGATGTCTTGAGATGGCGAGGTATTCTTCGGACACGTTGTCAACTCTAATTTGGTTGCCTTGCCCTTCAGTAGGCAGTTGAATTTGGACAGGACCTAAATGGTGTCAGCGTGGTGCCCGATCTGCAGGGGCGCAGAAACATACGTTTTGACCCAGGCCTGACTGTAGAGGCCTCGACGACATCGTAATTGTCTCCAAGTTCTCCGATCACACTACCGTTCTCTTCGTCAATGAGGACGATCTGACCGTGCTGAGGCGGACGATTCTTTTCTCTATCCGCGGAACTAATATATCCTTCTCCAGGCCTGTAGTCCTGAGGGTTATAGCGTTCAAAACCAGGAGGTGTTGCTTGTGCTCTTTCGAGAAACGCCGTACATTGCGCAAGAATCGTCTCGAACGTGTCCACCTCCTCTTGAGTAACCTTTCCGGGGCCCGTACCCACCGAAGGGAATTGTATGCGAATGAAGGTGCCAGCATCAGGTCCTAGATCCCATCGTGGGATCAGGTAGCTGCTTGGGGGCTTATGGAAGATCTGTGTGGTAGCGGGCAAAGGTAGGTCGAGTTCGGGGGGCAGGTGAAGGTGGAGGTAGAAATCTTCTTCAGGCGCAGCGCTCGTGGGATCAGTGGTGGACAGATCTGTGAACGGCGATGATGTTGGCACCATCAGAAGAGACAGAGTCTGTGGTCCAGAAGTGGTGATGGCATGCTCTTCGCCATTTTGGACCGCAAAGGCGGAGATGTTGTTGACGCTGTAGAGCACTTGGGGCTCAGAGTGCCCTGCCGACATTGTCTTCTGTAGGACGTGGAATGGTTTCTACCTCACGAAATCACCGAACTTTTGTGAAGGGTGAAGGAAAGAGACGAGAAGGAGGGGATAGCGAGCAAAATACATCGTAGGCGCCTACTGCAAGTCTAATATACAAGAATAGGTCGCAAGCATATCTGGACCGCTGGGCATTTTCTTGTCTCCAGTCAATCATCATCATTACCTGCAACTTGCATCCATCCAGGGCGGCTAGTGCTGATTACGTCACAATATGTGGCGGTGCACGCACAGCCACTGAATATTTCAGCCACATCACATGTCGCGACTTCTCGCCCAGGTGCTCAGTTCTCGTCCTTCGTATCATCCCAAATGTCTTCAGGCTGTACCAGGGAGCCTCCTGGTCCAGAACAACCCCAGATCTCCGGCTCGGTGCTTCATGAGACATTGAACCGACGGTCGATCCACGTTTGAGTTTTTCAAATTCCCAGCCCTTATCTTCAATCTCCAGCTGGATAGACTCGGTAATCTGATCTATAGGATCAAGCTTCTCGCCACACAGGCACCAACATTTGCTCGAGAATTTCAGCTCTCACCCTCCCCCAACATTACCTCTTCTTTCAAAGTTTCCAAAGGGTTCGACTCCTACACATCCTCGACTTGCTTCTCGCCGACCTTCTCCGTCTGTTCATGTCCAACGTGCCTGACTGAGTCGTTTTCTGCGACAGTACTTGATCTCTCACTTGAGATGTCGTTATCACTGCTGAAGCTCTCTCCATCTTTGATAAAGATACGGTCGATGTCTTCAAGAGAGATGTTCGATGTTTCAGGGTAGAAGAAGTAGATAATCGGGACGAAAGAGAAGGCCAAGGACATGAAGATGAGGTATGTTTTCCAGCCGAGACGGTTGATGAGGACAGGCGTGATCATGACAACAAAGAAGTTCCATGTCCACTGTAATGAGGTGCGTCAAATAGTGAGCTCATTTCACCCTGAAACTTACTAGTCAAGGATGAGGTCAGATGGGAGGACTCACATGTGCAGCAACCGAAATGGCAGTTCCTCTGGAGCGAGCCTGCAACGGTAGAATCTCTGGACCGTAAACCCAGGGGACAACGTTGATTGAGCCGCCAAACTAAAACATCCCGAGGTCAACAGGTCTCTCCTGGAGTTACGACCGGAGAACAGAAATCCACAAGGTGGGTTGAGGATACCACAGCCCTCCGACCGATCGGTTGAATGACTTACTATGATCATGTACACAAAGAAGAAGGCCACAGCGGCGGAAGAGGTGTTCTTCTTCCCAAACGATAGCAAGATCGATGCCATCATCATGCAGATGCCGAGACCAAAGCAGCCGTATAGCATAGTCTTACGTCGACCCATGCGGTCCAGAGCGAGGGCAGGTCCCAGATTGCCGACGATGAACATCAGTTGAATGCTGTACCTTGTAAGCAAATATCTAGAGCGTGTTGGTAGGTCCAAACTTACAATCCTGCAATGATTTGTGCAACACGAGGCGTGAGATCCACCGTCGCAACGAGAACTGTGGGCATGTAATAAACCACCAGGTTTATGCCCACCTAACGAATGAGTATCAGTCTTGAAAATGTCGACCGAGCTAGAAGTCACGCCTTACCATCTGATTCATAAAGAGAGAAAAGTAAGCGAGAATGATTCTCCTTCTCGTTTTGAGTTTGTCGTTTCTGAACAGTGCTCTATGGCTCCGAACGCCGGACTCGACGGCCAGAGCGTGCTTGATGTTTGCCACTTCGGACATGATGTATGGATCATTTTCTGGAAGATCGAAAACAGCACACAGAACTTGAATGGCTTCTTCTTCGCGGCCCTTTTTGAACAACCATCTATTTCACACATCAGTAATCAGTGCTGCTGGGCCCATGAAAGAGTGTCAGGCTTACCTAGGAGACTCTGGGAGGCCAAACAACAGGATGATGACACAGATGGCGAAGATTAGCTGAACAGAGATGGGTAAACGCCATGCAATTGCACCACCTGCATATGACATGCCAAAGTCTAGCCAGTATGCGAAAGAAATACCTTTGATAAAATCAGCTCGAGTCCAACCCCATCGAACGCGAGAGCATACCAATGCCGATGAATAATACTTCCCACGAAACCAGTCGACCTCGCTTCTCTTTTCTGCACAGCTCGGACTGATACATGGGGACTGTGGATGAATCTATGCCTGTACCCAAACCAGTGATTACGCGCCCGACGATCAAATGCGCTTTCGTGTATGCGGATGTTTGCAAACTGGCGCCGACAATGACGAAACTCTGCGCGATCGTGTGGTCAGCCACGGCTAGATGTGGCAGAAAGAGCTAATACTTACCATAGCAAGCCACATCATGCGACGTCGACCGAGGTGGTCTCCAATAAAGAAATTGATGCCGCATCCTCCGAGGGCACCGAGGCAGTAGCAGCTGACGAGAATCCCGGTCTCAGTGTCATCCTACGCATTTGGCGGTCAGCGTTGCGACTGACACAAATATGAGGCAATTATGCGCTTACAGGGTGATGGAACAGGTCCAGCCAATTCTCATTCTGCAATATGCCGGAGAAGACACCTTGATCGAAACCGAAGAAGAGGAATGCTGCGAGACAGCATGCTGCGATAGCTGTGCGCAATGGCCGACCACGCCCGTACCAGTGTCTCATGTTTGGAAGTTAACGCAGGGCAGAGGAGGATATATCTCTAGTTGGTATCAGGTGAGTCTATTGTGTCTGATCTAGTCGTACAGGTTCAGTCGAGAGCGACTCAAGAAGCATGGAAGGTGAGGAGAAAATGGAGAGTGCAAATGAGAATGTCATCTTGAAATAACGAGAGTGACGGAATGGGCATCCCGTGGCAAGAGCATCAGCACCGGGTACGTGTATGAGGGAACCTTGGGTTGGGGTTGTAAAACTCGTTCCGTTCACTCGCCGTCGGCAACAGGGAGCGAAAACCTCCTCCTCAATGGAAATGGCGAGCTGAAGATCATCTGGGCTTGTCAAGCGAATAAGGTCGCTTCCAACGAGAGGAACAAAGAAGTACGACGACATGGGGTCCCCAAGACGCCGATCACCGCTATGATGATCCGTTGGCAGGAGGAGGAGGAGGAGGAGGAGTGGTAGTAGTATGTAATGTAGTTAGTAGTAAATAGTGAGATGTAACCTGGTAATTAGTCGGCTTTGAAGAAAAAAGATTGGAGTCGGCCGCTCGCCGATCATTGTGCCAGGTGTACAGTAGAAGTACTCGCAGGTCGAGGGATCGTATTCTTTTCTTCCCTTTCGTAGCTCGTGATCGTCCCGGCGTCTCGTCTCCAGGGTACACGGCGAGGTCCTAGTTACTTGAGTGGGTTGACGCGAAGACTACGAGTTGTTACAGTACGAGTGTGTCCCTGGGCAGTGTAACAGCGTCAGGTATTGAGGTACTGTAAATATAAATGTGGAGTCGGGGTATAATCCACGCGGGTGGCGGGTTGAAAAAGCAGGCTGTTGGGGTGCGGGGAAGCCACACACAGTGACATACTACTCGTATAAGTCACCGTACGTCACAACTTTCAAAATGGGGTTTGTATATTTATTTTATTACCATCCTTCCGGCCATCCCCAGGTGATCATGACTACCTCCCCACAAGGTAATCACCGTGGCAGTATACCTCTCTCTGTGTCTATCCATGATGCAGTACCTCCGGTACGTACGGTAGGTGCCTCATAAACCTCATTGCTGCCAGGTAAGGTAGGTTTGGGAGGTGGGTAGATCAGAACGGTGTCGTCGTGCATGGAGGAGTCCGAGGTAAGTGTGCGATGTTCTCCATGACGACTGCCCAAACTTGACCTACATAGTCCTCGACCTCGATCTTGACCTTGGACCTTGGCCGGGTACCCTATGTAGCTACCTAGGTGCTGCAGGTACTGGACAATTTTTTTTTCTTTATGGAAGTGGGCTCCTCTGTGTGGCTCTGTATCTGTCTCTCTTTCCCTCGCTCACCCAAAATATCAAATCAAACACATATGACATTCCTTGTTCTTGCCATCAAGTGATTTCAGACGTCTGTCTTTCTCTCGCTGCTTGGACTCTTTGTGTTTCATCCTTCGTGTTTTGCGATTCTTGATTTGTCCTTCGGTGTGTCGGTGGTCTCGGTGCTGGTGTTTCCTGTTGATGCCTGGACCGTCGCTCACTCAATAGCCGTCTAACCAGATCAAGTTCGAAAGCGTCGTTGTTGTATGTCTCGTGTGTTTGACTGACTGACTCGACGCACGCCTCTCAGGCATTCTCTCTCCCTGCCTCTCTCTCTCTCTCTCTCTCTCTCTCTCTCTCTCTCTCTCTCTCTCTCTCTCTCTCT